CAAACCGCCTTGCGCCGGTTTTGGCTGGTTAACGAGCAATAGGGGGCTAGCAGGGCAATTAGCAAAGAGCGCATCACCACTAAAAGCGGACTATTACACACGCCAGATTGTATACTTACCTAGCTATTTACTTAAATTTGTCTGTGACTTGTTATAGGACAGCATTGATTTAATGTGACTTGTTGCACTAAGTATTAGATTCGAATATAAAGATTCTAAAATGTCGCTATCGAAAATTATACTACCTATAATATCAAATAATTTATAAAATTAGTGCGTAACGATTTGTTTTCAAACTCATAAGGAATCTATGATCCCAGAAATCCCAGAATAAAGTAATAGGTTACTTAGTCAAAAATAAGATTTTCCAATGTTTCAATGTCAAATAAAAAAATAGTCACACTTTAATTTCAATTGAATAAGTATATTTGACCTGATAAGGAACATAACGTAAACACACGATCTCATCGATTTTGACAATTAGAAAACTAAGACAAGGTATCGAGTACTTATTCTATTATATTCTGCGCACGCGCCGCTGTCAGTGGCACCGCGCCTTCAATGCAGATTGTTAGTTGACAGAGGTTTCGTTAAAGGGGAACTTTATTGATCGTGATGAAACTTTGCCGATTTATTATTAATACCGATATGAGTGACCAATAATGTAACGTTTATTAAAAGGCATGCGACTTTAATATCTACGTTTGCTTCATACGTTCTTAGGTACTTTATAAAGATGTACCAGCTGGCGAAGGTACAGATATTTTTTGGAGACTATGTGACCTCCTTTAGTATGTTGCAGTACGAAAATAGTTCGGTCGCAAATGCAGCTCTTGAGAAGGCAATTGGAACATTATATCAACAACACAACCTGACCTTCGGCTGGTGTGCTGCAAATGGCTGGTTTCCTGTTGATGCCCCACATCCACGCTCCTTGACTCCAATCAGAACCCACAATAGGTTCAATCACAATCTCAATTATTTGTATTTCATACCGGGTGCCAGCCATATTCTTGTAGGATACTTGCGAAACTTATCTAGTGAGAAATCTCTGTAATTTAAATTTTTTTCTGTTGAGACAAATGGAGTTATATCTATAAATCGACTAAAATACTGATTTTGTGTTACCTCATTTCAACTTCATTTAAGTGTAGGAGAGTCATGCTTCAGCATGAATGGGTCGGGTCGGACCGATGTGATACCATGACCTTACAGAAAGCCGACGTGAAACAACCACAGCGTTGTCTTTCGCCATTTGAGTAATCCCCAAATGGCCGACTATGCATTCCTAACTCCTCTTGTATTTCGGGTATCCATGGAAGGCGCCGATCGCTTACCATCAGGTTATCGGACTGCTTGAAGCCTTCAAGTTTTTTTCACTATCAAGTTCTGTACCTAAACTAGATGTCTTTTAGTCTTCTGATGGCTGCAATGACTGTCACTGTGCGAATCGATATATTAACGTGTGGACATGAAGACTTGAAAATTCTATACATTTTAATGCAGTTAGAATTCCTGATTCCCTTAACACATTTTTGTTCATACAAACTTTATTGTTACTTTACTCTTAGTTTCATGGGAATGAATGTTAGGATACCTTACTTCTAGAGCTAAAACTAAATTTCATAAAAACACAATAATTCAATAAACCCATTTATTTCAAATTATTGACACTCTTAGAACATTTGACAAATAAATTATAGTCATTATCGACATCGAACTTTATGATTACATTTACAACTACAGTATAGATTTATTAGAACAAACACATTCGTATCATTGGAGCTCAGGTATCAACATTTATACAATACTTATACAAATAATATATCCAAACGTGCTTATAAAGTACACAATATTATAATTACAATATCTAATTCGTGACAGTCTTCAATAGTTATGGAATTTTTAAACTGGGTACTCACACACAGTTTTAGTAGATCGAGTCCCTCTTTTTCAGAGAGGAAATAAGCCCTATTTGGGTTGCACCCGCAATCCCGGCTGGACAGCGGCCCTAGTTTACCCTACCTGTGGTGGTCTGGTGGTGGTTCATTAAGGAGTACGCGAAAATCGACGCGCCGCAAGCAAAGGGCGACTTTTGAATTTTTAAATCAATATTTCATCATTATTACTTACAATATGAGTTTTGCTATACACTCGTTTTAAACTGTGAATGAGTATTCAGCGATAGAGAAATATTAAATTACAGCTCATACTGTCCCAACCAAGTTTCTTTCCTTACAACATGACTAGCGGTGTGCTCACAACTTCGTTTACGCATATATTCTTATGAGACTTCCAATGAAAAGATTTCAATCTTTGCACCAATAATCTGGGAACATTCGCTTACACTTATTTAATGTATATTTCGTTTTTATACCGTGCATCGAAAACAATAACAATTATCAGAAACAGTGTAACAGAGTTTTACTATTAACTTTTGGTCCACTTCAATGGAAAATACAAAATGCAATGCTTCAATATTAAATGCAAATTTCTCATATATAACACAACAAAGGCAATATCCGCCCAAGTTACATGACAATATAAGTAAAATACATCTAATTTTAAATAATAATACCCTTTTATTAACATATAACATTATTACAATAATACCTGAAGTCCAATATACACCGACATAGAATTTTGTGACTTCGTAAACACACAATGATTACAATATAATTAATAAATCGTTACATCTATAGATTTACACCTATAATACTTAATATATTTGGCCTCTACTTGGAACATTAAAAACTTAGTTCTCAAGATATACTTGAGACAGTGATTCACTAGAGATGTGCAATAATAATACGTCACATTTATGATAATTATCTCGCCATGAATTTGGAGTCGCTACCAAGCTCCAACTATGAATATGAAAGATAAAAACAACACACTAGTATCCTTAGCAGTGTGTATACATTTTCCTAATCAATGTTAACAAAATTAATTATATTAATAAAATACAAAATATACAAATTGTCATAATTTCTTCTTCAAGTGAGATGCTTTCGCTGTAAGGGCCATTAATGAATGATAATACTTTTAAACATTAAACTAAATAAATGTTGAAAACTAAAGATACTATGTACCTAATCAGAGAGACAGTGGAGAGAGACGTGGCTATTTAAGAGTGATGCATTATAAAGAGTTGCATTGAAATATCCCATAGCGGGGACCAAGTTTCTTATTTATAACTTACATTATATGTCTAGCTAGCTTAATTGATATAATCCCATGGAACTCTGGAAAAGTGAATGCCTTTTACATGTAAGACACGTCGTCACAGTAATATTTCAAGTTGAATAACAGATAAACTCGCTATTTTAAATGTGAATATCAAAAGTTTATTAACCTAATCCATGAGAATTTAATGAAAGTTTCATCATATATTGGGCGGTTAAAATTTATATGTATATGGTATGTTTAGTTGTTTGTAGAATATTTGTCGAGTGAACTTCAATTTTATTACACCGACTTTAAGGTACATTTTATCGTGGTTTTCATAGATTCGGTATTCGCGTGACCTTAGTGGCCAATAAGACTTTGTGTTTTAGATATTCTAATATTTATGTCTAATTTTAAATTAATATGTAGTTATGTAGTAGGCTCGGAATATAACTTTACTATTGTCAAGTGTAATAATAATAATACGAGTGGCTAATACATTATTTATTGTTGTCTGTTTCATTGTTTTGTTTAAATAGAAATGAATATAAATATGTTCTAAATAATTTCGGTTTTTCCAGTGTACACCTTATAAGCTACTAGCGACCCGCCCCGACTTCGCACGTGTGAAATTCTGATACTAAATTTCTCTACAAATTAATAATATAAAACCGCATCAGATTCCGTTGCGTAGTATAAATCGATAATCTATTTTAATCACATTTCAGCATACATAGGAATATAGGGACAGAGAAATTGACTTTGTTTTTTACTTTTTAGTGATATTTATTTGGAATCGAATAGATAATTCTATTATTCAATCAATCATACATTTATATGAGCTTCAAACTGTGACATTGAATCATCAATTGTTTATGCATCGCACAGTAACACTGTGCAATATTTTCAATAGCATTTGATTTTACCATTAATCACTGAACACACCATATCGTTTCCTTAATTGGCTTTGTTATATTTTGCTTGTTTTTACAAAAATACTCCACGCAATTTAGTATTGCATTGGAACAAATACTCATGGTTGAGAACTAGATTTTTGATTTGAGTTCTATGATTGTGGTGACAATTTCTCTCAATATTGAATTCGAATCACTTTTATTACATGTTCTTTGCACATGACAAAGAAAAAAGCTATAGTCGCTGTCAGTGTTATGTTAATCGGGTCAAAATCAATCTCAATTTGCCAGTGCTATTTTAAATATTGGTCACTATTGTTACAGCCTGTATCATTTTTATCTTGATTTGATATTCTATTAAAGTAACATATATTTAATATAATATTATAGAAGTTATTAGTACGTACATGTTAATATTGAATAGTAAGTATTATTCTCGGAATTCATTTCAAATTCGTAATTTATTGATTGATAATATTGTGCGTACCTTGTTATTTACATAATATTAGTGCCCCGCCTCTGTTTCTCACGGATGTCCAACTACATATGTGACAATCTTTGCTTTGTTTGTGGTTTGCTACAGACCTGAAAGGGTAATTATTTACTGACTTTTCCCTATTTTGACAAACATTTTCGTCTTCGGACTATTTTCGTATTCGGATAATTATCGGACTCAGTGCCTCGCATGATGCCAAGACAGAAGGAAAGTGCGTTTTTCATTTTATATAATGAATAATTTAAGCTAGGGATATGCATGGCGACTATCAAACTGACTATTAAAACTCATTAATTTACAAACATTTATTTAACAACTGACTCCTGCGCAGTGGAAAAGGCATAAGCTACAAGTGCAAATTAGTAAACATTTTATTTTTACATAAAGTAACACTGCTTTTATATAAGCATAGAGGAAGAAACAAATTGTTCATTATTATTGACAATGAATATAAATTGTACTGGTGAAAATAATCTAGTTTATTGTATCTATATTGCTTTAATTGAGGGCCTTTCGTTGCTTAATGATTTATGAACTTTAAGATGTATACATGTATGAAAGAAAATCTATGTTATAAGTAAATGTCAATGCGTGGGATTTGCCGTGTAAACATACGGGAATATATAATTTACTAGTATTGCTATTAAGGGTATCGCGATACGCTGTCGTCGCAGGACCGGAAGACTGAGTGACTGCACTAAAAGTATATCTATTACATAAAAAATGCGTCGGGAAAATGTTCTTGGAAGACTTTATTGTGTTTATTTCAGAGTTATCTTAGTGACTGTAAACAATGTTATGATTGGCGGGGTTTTTTTACATCTTGGCAGTTTCTTTGTAGGATTTCCCAGACCTGTTTATATTTGGGGGCAATAAGACTTAAAACCATTCTCTCGTAATGTAAAGCATATAACGCAACTTTCGTGTCAATCATTGTAAGAAAAATTATATGAATAATAGTGCTATTCTAACCAATCGCACATCGATTTATTGGTAAATAAAAAAAAAGGTTTATAATTTAAACAACAAATTATTTTATAGTGTGTATACTACACGACATTAGTATGTATATCATGTCAGAACATATACGTATATTCACTATGTACATATAAACGTGTAATTATGAAAGTGGCAGTAGCTGTCATTGATATATACAACTAAATGTGAAGAACATAAATAAATCATAATAATAACTTAATTAACACTTGGATTTTAGAAGTGCGTGCTAATTATAAATTAGGCCGTTTATATATTAATAGTTTCTATATGTTTGACGGATTTTTGCACGTACCTCTGAGTCCCAAGCTTTATTTCTCTTGGACCGTTCAAAATGGGGTCGTTGGGGTCATAGTATGGGGAAGTGTGAGTCGCTGTTATGGTGTAGAGCTGCGGCCAGAGCTGCGTGGAGCGCGTAAGACTTTCTCGGCGGCGGCAGGAGAGAGAGCACTCGAGACTCTGCGGTTGCACTCCCTTCTGCGCCGGTGTACCGCGCCACGCGAGCCATCGCTGCCGCGCTTATCTGAATGAGATACGTCATCATTATAGACCTGCAGGAATACCACTACGTATTTTAAATTTGCTCAGACTAGATTCTGACATCCGACTTTATTTTAGTGTTTTGTCTTGAAGTTCAAATCTGTATCACCTAACATACTTCCGAAGATTGCCGTGTTAAAAGGTTATTTTAGGGTAAATTACCAAAATAAATTTTACATCCTTATCATGTAAGTCTCTTTAGTACGAATAAATAATAATACTCAATCATTTTAAGAACTGCGCACACGCACATGTCGCACATTCTCACGACTAAATAAAAATGATTATGAATGATGTTAGGTACTTAAAAAGTTATAGAGGTTTATCTGTCAGATCGATCTTCATATTAATTACAAGTCACAAGTGATATTTATATGCAAAACGTTTGTCTAGTTTTAGCATAAACTACGTTACCGCCATAAAATATGAAAATGAATAAAACATATTGAAAAATACCTGGAATTCCTCATCTTCATCAGGAACCCTGGTCTCCAGCAACTTAGGCTGTCTTCTCTGCATCACGCACAGCTGTGTACATACAAAGACCACATAATCAGAAAAATCCCTATTCAATCATGAAAAACGAATAACTTTAAAAAAAAAATATAACTGTTAATCATAGAAATAAGTTCACGTATGCGTATATGGAAGTTACAAAGTAACAATATCAGCACAATTTTCTGTAAGTATATGAAATTATATGTTTATAACCGACACAGGAAAAAATCCGAAGTATTAAAAAAATTACAAACCTGAATAAACATTTATATTCAAATATTCAATTGAACAATTACTTGCTGAATATGTGACGGATTCTAGGGTCAATCTGATGAAATGTATTATAAGGAATGTCACGAAGACATTTCCTATACTTTTGTATTTTGTTGTATTTTTACGTTGGTCAAATAGCCAATAACATATTAGTAAGCAAGTTACCTCAATTATATGTCCTTGGTAGGGGCTCAGGGTGCAGAATCTTAAGTCGATCATCTCCACGATGCGCTCAGACTCAGGTTCAGCCACGATCAGGACCTGCATAAGATAATATGAGAAGTAAATTTATAGAAACTCAATATTTTTATTCACCTTGTGTATAAATAAAAACAAGATTTCTACTCAGTAGCATCTAGCGCGTAAGTAAAACTGTCATCTTGTGGGCAAAAAACGGCAGACACATTAAATCGATACTATTGTTAACATTCATTCATTGATCATTGGATTTTTTTAAGGGTTAGGCAATCTGCATAACTGCCTTCGGTGGCATACCATCAATGCAGTTTTACAAAACTGAATAAAAGTAGTATGTAAAAATTGCAATCTATGGTGGCCTTACCTTATGTGTGATTAGCAGTTGTAATGGCGCGTTATCTAACAGTACTTCGAACCCGGTGAATGCAGACAGTTCGCAAATACGGAACACCCAGCGCACGCAGTCTCTGTGCCAGCCAGGCTGCGAGCGTGGCTGGATCGATGACGATGTCCGTCGGGGCTGAGGCGGAATAGTGTTGACATTTTATTATTTTTAAAAGTAATGTTTTAAACTAATGCCTGAGATAAACGAGATTAATATAGTTAGATAAACGCGGATAAGTAATAAATGTAGTTAGTGAGAATTTAACTACTATCATCTGAGTCAGTCAGTTTAACTTTAAATAGTTTTTAACAATAATTATTAATACCATATTTTAAAAAAGTAATCCCCTCTCTAAACATACCCGTCCTCATAAAATGATATCCCTGTACAAAAAGCAACAACATTTTATTATGTTAAGCTGAAAAACCGACAGATTTTTGTATCCCACCAATCGATAGCGCGATTTCTAAGGAAGATCCATGTGTACAATTTATATTGTCACACTCAATACGCGTGAAAATATTAAGTTTCCTACCTCTGGTATAGGATCCCAGCCAGTCTGGCGGAGAAGGCCGGAGCCGGCGTACGCTACAAGGTCAGCAGTAGCGCTGAGCGGTTTGGTGAGCGCTCCGAGGATACCGCGGCGTAGCGCCACCGCACCACTCTCCGTCTCGCCCACTGCCACCCCTACTAGTGGGTGATGGGCTAGACCACCGACAGCACCTATACAATGAAATTATTGGTTGATAGTTAGTATGCAATAAGTCGACAAAGTAAAACAATTGAAGTCAGTTACGCAATAATTCGTTAAGCAAAAGCTTTTTGGTGCATACACAAATAATTAGACAAGAAATCTCCGTGATACGTTCCACCGTCCGTTATTATGGCTATAATCCAAGCAACTTCATATAATGGAAAGTTCAAGAAAACTCCAATTCAAATTATAAATTTTACCAAGTATATTAATTGCGAAGTTAGTGATGCCAGCGACGAGTCCTGCTACGAAGCTGGGAGGTGGTTTCCTCCTGGCCGCCGCCGCTCTCCTTGCATGCTCTTCATCACCAGCTAGCAGGTCCAAGTTCCTCGCCAAGGACCCTGCCCATGCGCTTAGTGAACGAAGCAACGCCGCTGCAGCAGCGGAGGCGACGCCCCTCACACCTCCCGTAGCACCACCCAATCGCGCCGCGAGGGCTCCAGGCGCACCCAATAATTCAAGACCACCAACTACCCAACCTAAAAAGAAATAAAAAAGGGATATAGGTACTATTTTAAGATCTACTTCCTCAGAATAGAATGAAAGACGGAAATGGAATATGAGGTCGAGGTTCCAATTTCTTAATTCATCCCACACACACATTGGTTAAACAGATTCGTTGATATCGAATTAATTGGACAAGGAATGGACGAAATAGAGAAGTACACCCAAAAACGGTTTTATCCCGGTTATGTGTATGTTACGTAGTGGTGGCCCGGAGGTTAACGCATCCGCTTCTCATGCATGTTCGCAACCTGGCAAGTACCAATGTGACTTTTTCCGAATTATATGTAGATACTTTCTATGATTATTTAGACGCCACTGACATACACTGAAGGAAAACGTCCTGAGGATATCTGGACTTATGGTATTTCAAATTATTAATTTGAAATCGCCGCCTTCAGCAAGAGTGGCGATTAATGCTCAAACCTTATCCGTGTGAGAAGATGCCTTTGTTCAGCAGTGGGCACTTATAGGCTAATGATGATGTATGTGAACACATAAATAGGAAAACTATAGGTTAAAATGATGATGACAAACATCAGCGGTATATAATTGTGTAAGATTAAATCACCTGCTCCCAATATGGCGGCAGACAGGTAGTGCACGGTGAGCGCATGCGTGAGCCGCTCCGCTGACGTCATCATGTCATGAAGTTTAAACGCACTCAGTCGCAGCGGACTCTGATCTAGAGCTATGTACATTCGCACCTGGAATATGAAATACGTTTTAGTTTTCGCCGATTAGAAACAAATCTATACTAATATTATGAAGAGGTAAAATTTGTAAGTTTGTGTGTTTGTAAGTTTGCAAGCTTGTATGTATTCTTTCACTGATAGATAGCTACAATTTTCCTGAGTGCTATAGGCTATAAAACACCACGCTACGATTTAATGGAGCCGGGCAGCGGGTGAAACCAGCGCGAGTGTAGCTAGTCCCTAATATTTCTAAAAAGCCTTGATAGCTTGTCGAGACTTTGTGCAGAGAGCCGGTTAAATATATCTTTAAACTTGATTAATGCGAAGCAAGATGGGCTCCCATAGTGGGCTTTTATGACACTTATTGTCCATATAACCCCTAGACCTTTCATTCTATACAACAATGAACTCGCAACAAAAAAGTAACAAGTAAACAAATAACAAATCAAAATGAAATACACATAATACTTACTGCAGTATGAAGCGTCAAAGTGAGATCGAGTGGGTGGATGTGCAACACCCTGAGGCGAATTGGTCTCTGTATGGACCTCTCCTCGCTTAGCGAGCCCTTGTCGATAGTACTTGACGAGGGTAGCAATAGTTGAGACATGTCTACTAAAGCCTTCACATACGCGTCCTCCACGTACAGTGCCAGCGTGCCTATTCTTAAGTCCACCTCCGTCAATTCTAGGGTTGTAAAAGTAAATCAGTCTTTATAATGCATTATTATTATTACAATTACAGACCGATTAGTTTGCTATATAAAAACTTTAGTTGATTGGATAAGATACACAAATTAAAATCTATATTGATGTTTTGTTGTGTAATAACTATCGTGAGGCATACGACGGACGTTGAAAATATCGACTAAATCACGGGTTTTAACTAAGAAAAGCTCTACTCGGTTCAAGTTACAACCGGACGCTTATTCAGGAGCAACGTGTGCGTACGCAGCGACGTCACGCAACCAACTTGTTGAGATTTTTTAAAATATTTTATTTTAAACTAACTCGTATTGTTTAATTAACTCGACTTGTTTCAAGCAGCGCCGGATGTCCATAATATTGAAAAGATGTGCGCGACTTGCAACTAACTTTCTCGAAATTTATTATTATTCAACGAGAAAACTCACAAAATGTAACTCAATGTGAACTTTATATATTATTATGCCTCACAAAAGTTACAACACAGTGATGGAAATGATAGCTGGCTTTATAATTATGATAACGTTTTTTTTGTTGAACTAACCTTCATGTCTGTTGTTGACGACTTCCCACTTATCATGCTGTAGCCTTAGTTCGAATTTGGCTATGTCGGCTCTAGCGGCGAAAGTGTTTCGTTCAGCGAACATGTTCCACAATGGCGGCCACTGATCAGGCTCCAGGGGCTCCGAGCGAGTGCTAGCAATCACTGCGAAATCATACTGTCCCGTCTCATACTGCAAGTTATCGATCTGCGCGTCCGCAACCGATATGACTGTTTTTACTTTCTGTAAAGGATACAATAAATTATTTTTGTGAATAAGTTTTCTTTGGATACTAAGAATTGAAGGTCTCTGAAGTGATTATATGATTAGGGCTGCTGATTGTCTTAACCAATTTCTTAAATTAAAATAGTATCTGCCATATATCATGACAGTAAACGCTAAGGTTAATCAATGTTGATTGAGGTCTCCACTTCTTTTAGTCTAGCAATCGTACTTTTTATCGGGATCATCTAAGATAGTCCTGCTCTTAGATGTTAGAAGTGTATTTGGTGGTCGTATGCCAGAACATGCCTTACCTTGCTATCAGACTGCACGAGTAACGCTGTGCGGTCGAGGTGCACCGCAAGTAGAGGCATCACATCAGAGGCAGCGGACAGTTCCACAGAGACGCCTGCGATAATGCAGCGGAACCGGTCGGCATTTTCTCCAGTATCATCCATCTTTTCAATATCTGTAATATTATTGATATCAAATTAGTAGTAGATCTTTCATTTGCCATAAAAAGTTTGTCTATATTTCAAAAGATGGTGCTGTACTAATTCTATATGAGCACACAAGTTGGCACGCGGCTAGGCATACATTAAACGAATCAGATTTCCAATTTAGTAAAGCTTAGTAGACATAATAAAATTAGTCCTCGTCTGGCCAGAAGATTATCAAAATACTACAAGGAAACGCAACTCCCTATATCAAATACGCTAATAACCAAGGCTTATTCAGGTTTATAACAACAATCACTATATTGAAAGAGGTAAATATTACAATATTGAGAGAAGAGACTCTGGTGAAGATAGATACTAGACTTAATTTATTCACACAACTTGATCCTAGCCAAAAACATATTTTAAAAGCTTAAAAACCATATTCGCACTAATATACTTACCAGGATCAAAATCTTGGTTCTGGAAGTTAGTGTCCGATGTGAAGATGACGGTTGAATTTCGAATCATGCGGCTAGGCGAGCTTTCTACAACTGAAGCCGAGTACAGATCCTCCCGGTTTATAGACTCTACAGTAATGAAATAATTATCAATTTCATTTTCTCATGTACTAGAAAACCAGTTTGCGCAAATAGCGCAGTATTATTTTAATGTGTACAAAGTACAAATAAAACATCATCTTAGGACTAATATTAGAATAATTTTGAGTTTTTTCCACTTACTTTTACGGGCGTTGTCCATCGAATCGTCTGCAGAGTGTACTGCAATAAAAATCCTGTATGTAATACTACGCTATAAAAAAATTAGCAAACTTTGCGGTTCAAGTTATTTTTTTTATTACCCCACTTTAGGATTTTCTCCTGTGTTGTGGGAACGTTTACAAACATACAATTTCACATGCACATCACACCCAGACCCGGAACAACAATCTGTGGATCACACAAAGAGTTGTTCCGTGCGGGAATCGAACCCGCGACACGTTGCGCGGTAGCCAGTTGCCCAGCCACCGCGCCAACCGTGCAGTCTATCTAAATTTAAAATGTAAGTAGAGGTAAAAAGTAAAAAATAATATCCAAGTCAATTGACTCATGCAGGGTCCATACTAAAATCATGATTGTTGTTTGAGTTTAAATGTTTATTTGATAGGTGATATCTTGGATTACCACATAGACTGATTTTTATCAACATACCACACGGGCGAAACCGGAGATGGAAGCTAGTTGTTCAAAAGACAGTCTAGTGACAGACTTAAATACGACCCGTTATTAAGGTTTTTTGCATCGGTGACATAACCAATTCTGTATGTATATCCAGTTTTACTGTTAATAGGAGTAAAGAATAACTAACCTCGGCAAGCAGCACCCACTCTCTCCAAACTGGCGACATCTGTGACCTGCAATAACATCATTAAAGTGAGCTTGTAAATATAAAATAAGTAATGGTGTTTAAGTCAGTGTTACCTATCAACTAAGACCGATACATAACCAACCGATAAAGTTTTTTATCAGCTGCTTTCATAAATATCATGTTCACAACTCGCTAATCGCTGTTTGAGGGCGCTCACCAGCCGATTATTTACGATATCCGAGAGTCTGTGAGTAATTCGAGGGATCATGTAAACCCCAAAGAGGTTTTACATATATCTTCAGTCATTATAAGGATATTCAAAGAGGTTGCATTCAACGTCATCTTTGTTTTAAGCTTCATCTAGTTCATTAGCTCCATCTATTTTTTCATATAATTATGAACCGTGATCGTGCCAAACTTTGGTCTATTTCCAAAAATAAATTCATTCAAAGTGCTGGCATCGACAGCGCCCCTATGTACATACTCGCCTGAAATTTAATTTAAAAACAACAATTTGGATATGACGATGGTCATAATTGACAATAGTGACAAGTTTACAATCATTCAAAATCGTTCGGTTATATCATCTATCGCAAAACGAAGTTGGTGGTGAAAACTCGTTTCTGGTTAGATCAATCACAGTCGGTTCGGAATCATTGTTTCAACGATTCTTGGTAAACTTGGGCTTTGTGGGGAAAATCACAAAATAAGGAGGATCATGAATGAGAGACTGTGTCAGATTCTTACTGACCAAAACCCCCTCCCCCCATTCCTTCTCTTACCTTATTGCGCCAGCCACCCAACCCCGACGGTAAACTTAGACCATTTTTTCAGGAGATAATCATCAATTGTCTTTTCCCGCCCAGAGTAAGGCGAGAGAGAATATCGGACTCTTACCGACTAAAAACCCTCGTTCCTTCTCCTGCTTTAAGGGATTCGTTATTTCATAATGTCTGCACAAGATTTGTGCAAACAAATCTTGTAATGGCTGTCGGACTAAGCGAAACATTTGCTTACCTTGCGAACAGATTCATCGCTCTCGAAAGCTCCTAATAAACGGCGTCTGATGTCACTCGCTGATATGTCATTCTGAAATACAGTCACACAGTGAAACGAATTACTTTAATAAATTGCATAAATTAGCTCGAAATCGCGAATGAATTTTAACGAACGAAATGTTATATCTCAGATTGGTTAAAGTTACTGTTAAAATTCTTCTATTACGAAAATGTTTAAGATCGGATTATGCTTTGAAATTGTGATCTGCCACCGAGAGACAAAAACCTAAACTGCCTTTCAAATGTAGGAATGGTGGCAAACACTTCAAAACTTTTGGTTCAAGGATAGATAGACATGCATAATGTGTTTTAACAGATTATTATGATGATAAATGGATCCTAATTAGTCATTAACCCTCTAGGTAAAGAGGAAGGTTAAGTTAAGCAGTGATCTCAGCAATGATTTGCGGCAAATACTAGTTCTGGACCACTTTCAATTGTATATCTTACATGGTCAACGTCTTGTAGTTCGAGCAGCGTGGAATGTGGATGGGTGCGCACGCGCAGCTTGATGGTGATGCCGCCGGAGTACTGTAGGAGATGCTCTCCATCCGCGGCTACTACTGGTGAACACCACTCCTGTTCTAACTCGTCTGTAAGAAAACCAACAAAATAATAATTATTAAAATATAAACAATCTAAAGACAATCCAGTAAATTAACGGTATAAAGGAGAAGATAAGTGACTTTATTAATTACTAGCAGCTCGCACCTGCTTTGCATGGGTCTCATCATCTCTCTTACGATGTAAGGGTCCCTATTACCCAACACTCCCCTCTACTTTTCTTTCATAAGATTCCTACTTCTGACAATAACACACATAACAAAAAAAAAGAATCAGTAGAATTGGTCCAGACGTTATTGAGTTATGCGCTTACGAACATATTTTGCGATTCATTTTTGTATATAAAGATATATAGATTTTTTTCCGAAAAGGTGATGTTTGAGAGATAGGAAGCAAATATTTTTGTTTTGCGCTAATAAAAAAGAGATTAGGCTAAGTTAGGTAAGCAAGCTGTATTCAAATTTTAATGATTCATAATAATTGGACAATCAGCTTAGTACTTCTAAAACAAGATTACCTTTGCCTTTAGCAAATGTGAGGTAACAAGAAACGATAGATGTCGCTGGCATTCCTTCGGGAGGAAAGCGGGCACAATGCGCAGGAGTGGAATAATGGATCGCCGCATTAGGTGGCATCACACACCACCACCGAGTCCCCGCGCATTCTGTTACCGGCTGTGGGATAAAAATGGTTAGAAATAGCATATCCGTGACCAGAATTTACCCTCGCAACTGTTTGGCAAGGATATTTTTATATAAATACTACGTTATAATTACTACGTCTATACATATATCAAATTTATTTTTATATATTTATATATATTTGAATAATATTTATGTATAAGGTATTGTACACTTGACGACCCTATTTCCCCGAATTCTAATCGCTGACTCCATCCAAAGGATCGCATTTAGCGATAAGACTACTGTACATTGTATCTTAAAAATTTTTTTTTCTTTGTATATTTTGAGAAGAGCTGAACATCGAGGCATCAACAGGCTGATGATGATGATGATGTTTATTTTTATGATGTGGTGTTGGTGTGATAAGGTGTACAATAAAGAGTATATAAATAAATAAATAAATATTTTTGCGCGCAATGCTGCGCTTGAGCAAGCGTGGTGATTAATGCTCAAACCTTCTTCGTGTGAGAGGAGGCCTTTGCAGTGGGCACTTATAGGCTGATGATTTGATGTGCTTCGCTTGACTAGTAGACCCTCGCATGGCTTGATACTAACTAAATAACCTCGAACAGTTACAATATGAGTAAGAGAGTTAGTTACAATAGCAATCCAAGTTACAATACCCATAACTGTAATAACAATTGCTCCGCCAATGCCTCCCCAGGCCCTAAATCACCTAAAACCTAATCCCCAAAAAGGGCAGCAACACACCTATTACTTCTGGTGTTGCAGGTATCCATGTAATACCATTGGATTATCTGATGGTGAATACTATCAGGTAATCCGTTACGCTACTGTGCCGTGTAGTCTTTTAAAAACATACAAAAAGTTTAGAGTCCTCCAATCAAACTTACCTCAGTATTTGAAGTGGACGGTTCGTCAGTGAGATGTACCGGCTGTGCGACGGCTAAGGTAAGTCGAGTATGATTGTGGACGAGGAACTGTGGACACGGATCCGGCGCCACCACCACCAGCCAACGGTCGTCGCTCTTTATCTGTGTCACTACTATTGGCACCTGGATGTAATAAGACAATGTTTTTATACTTCCATATGGATCCGAGTATATTATGAAATAGCTATTAGATATTAGAACAATGACCTTAACTGCGATCAAAACTTTAATTCGATTCCTGATTTGACATGACCTACTGTCATTTTGTGAAATAATGATGAACAGTGTAGTGATGAACACAAAAATCGAGAATCAGTTTCAGGAAGGCATTCAAAAAATTACGGCTACCGAATTGTCTAAATGCGTATCCCATGTTTTCAAAGAAGAGGAAAAAATGATTAAGCTAGATATGTTAATTGAGAATAAAAATCACAGACACAATTCATAATAAATATTACAGAAAGTAACAGCGATAGCGATAGCGATGACGGCGACAATTTATAAAATGTCTTTTTTATTTGTCGTTTTCCTACATGATCACATTTTTTATTAATTTCACGCACAATTACAAAAGAAAAGTCTCAGATCGTTAATTAATTGTCAAAACTAAATTATCGGTTCAGAAATCTTTTATTTCCTGATAAACTTAGTTTACGAGAGTTAAGTTATACACGTGAGGAACCGATTCAGAAATATTCGATTTCCATATCGAATAATTTCGCAACGTCACTATTTATTACGTGTCATAACGTTGCAACACTGAAATTGTCAAATCTGGAATGGAATTAAAATTCCGAGTATAGTCTAGTTTTGAGATATAAAATAATTTCATCTCTACTTTTTGATAGTGGATATGCTATTCTTTCTAGTGTTGAGTGTTCTGTATACTGGGCAACTAAGACATTCAGCGGAAACATTTTCATGTATGAGTGTGAGTGAGGTTACCGGAGGCCCAATCCTTCCCCTTCCCGGACCCTTCCCCAATCCCTAAATTTCCAAATCCCTAATCCCTAAAAGGTCGGCAACGCACTCGTAACTCCTTCGTTGCGTGTGTCCATGGGCGGCGCTGATTGCTTACCATCAGGTAATCCGTCTGCTCGTTTGCCGACATTAAAAAAAAAATATTTTTATAGATAAGTATCTAGATTTAAGCCGGGATTGTGGGGCAAGCGGAGTAACGTACCGCGGGCTCGGCCTGAAGCAGGAAAAGGAACAGGGTGGTTTTTAATCTGGGTGAGAGATGTCAAATAATATTTCTTTTCCCATAAAAAGTTCCTAGATTTGTACATAAGTCTAGGAACTTTGTGTGTATGAAAATTGTAATCGTAGAGTTAAGAAAAAATAGGGTCATATTTTAAGAAGTGTTGGTTTAAAACTTACGGATTGCATAGACGAGTCAATTAGAGCTACGGCTCGTCGTAGCGGTTGCTCTCCGAGCCGGATGGGTACTGGCGCCCTTGTCGGATACGTCCCGGAAGACAAGGACAGGCACACGTACGTGCGCAGTTCCGACGGGTCGCCGCCTTGCCAGCGCCCGTGCAACCAGAAGCGAGTCAGAGGCGTGCCGTGGACACTGGAAATGAAAATAGCTACATAATCACCTGGTAGTGAGTCACACCCCCAAAAACTGATAACAGAATTGGGTAGTTTCTTAGGTCATTAATAAAAATTAAATCGACGTTTCAATCCAATAAATTATTGAAAAATGTCTATACTTTTTTTATTCATTAATTTGGCGATACATAAAATTTTCAATATTTTTAAGCTAATGTTTAAAAAATAAATAAGCCATTTGACCTAAAAATACTATGACATAATTCGGAATTTCATACAAATTTCATAGAAAAGTATCGTTTTTGACATTTAAATAAAAGTATTGAATTTGACTAGTTGGAAATTATGGTTTTCATTAAATAACGACCTGTTTCGTTTTTAATACAAGTTTTACTATGAAACTTCTGCCGATTGATCTGAAATGTTGCATGCACGTTTAGTTTGCATGACCATCAATACCATATAAAAAAAAATCTAAATTTTTTTATCGCGGGATTATGATTAGGAAATTTAAAGATTTGCACGTTAAGAAAAATGGTGCAAATATTTGATAGTGTTTAGTTCAACTTTTTCACGCGGGTTGTTATATCATATTTTAAACTTCAAACTTTATTTGAGTGCAGCAATTGCAGGGTTTTTGTCAATTGTGCCATCATCTACTATCATAGTCATACGACTACCGAAAACCGTAGGGATAGTTGTATTCACCCCCCGGCAAGTTCATTACATCATTAAGCATACAATTCCAATCAAACGACTTTTTCAAATATTCATATTTCAAGTTATATTCAAAATGGTAGTGATTACAGTACCTTCCATCTTTGACAGGTAGGACTACTTTGAATGCCTTGGGGCGCAGTGTTATGAACTCATCCACGTCGTTTGGAACTGCTAAAGCTGAAACCTGTTAAGACAAAATAAAAAACATAACTATTAAAGTAGAAACCCGACATGACTTGAGACTACCACCCGGTTTCTGAAAGGCTTGTCAACGCTAAAATTAACTAATCTCCTGTCAAATCTCTTGTCAAGTCATCTGATTGGTTGTTGATAATTCAGTTAACCAATCAGATGACTTGACAAGAGATTAAATTGATTTTAACATCGATCGGCCTTTCGGAAACCGGGTGTAAGTCCAGCTACTTTAATTAATAATTGCACATTAAATAATAGAAAACGGTTAAGAATTTCTACCTTTGAATCTTTGCAGGTGCGCAAGCGCAGGAACCAGGTTACAATTTAGTTTTCGTGATATATTCTTCTTGTGCTTAGTTTACTTGTTATGCTTTACAATTTTGATAATTTATTTATTTACTTAAGTTGTAGTACAGTAGGTCTACGTACCAAGAGTTCCGTGTCAAGCCTGTTTATGAGTACATATGAGGCGGACACGCCCAGCACGTTGATTTCCTTTTTGATCTCGTAGTACAGGGTCAGCAGTGCAACCTGTAGTACATTAACAATACTAACATTAAATATAGTTTAGTATAAAAGAAAAAAACATGTCATTGTACGAGAATTTTATGATAGAATAGATAGAATTTCATGGCATCGTGGGTAAAATCTGTGTGTAAAAGTAGAATGACGTGCAAGAACCTTAATATGCCTTATTATAGGTAACCGCGATTTTAAATTATACTCGAAACCCTCTTGAAGATCTAGCGGAACTGATGTAACTTCTGTTGTAGTTGAAAAACTAGTTAAATTGAGTTTGTTTCTTTGCTCGTAGTTGTTGATGAGTTATGATAGAAAGGTGGTCTTTAAAAGAGACAGACCTTGAGATTGTTTCGGAATTTCTTCTCGCTAGTTATCATATAGTAAATGCCGGCTACATGTTGTCTTTTTTAAATAATGCTTTGTCTTTATATTAACAAAAACTCATTGTTTCATATACTAAATACAGTAGGCTGCGCGACGTCGCCGCGTCCGCGCACGCTGCTCATGAGGAAGAACCCCTCTGTGGTTCGAAACTAGTAGAGCTTTTCTCAACATTTACACGTGAGTAACCCGCGAATTTTAGTTAAATTAGTATGTCTCACGATAGTTATTATAAAAACATATACTAAATACCTTCTGGTTGCAGACTATAGCGAAGTTAGTGGCGTGGTCGAGCGCCACATGTCCGGGCGGTGGAGTACCGTATCGACCAGGATCTTCGGCCGACACTTGTAGTTGACTGCTCACAAACGTCTCGCGACCCATCTCCACCGATATAAAGAATGGTTTCTAGAATATTAAAGTTACAAGGAATTAAAATGCGTTGTGTGGGCATCAGAGAATATGCATATGATTCAAATGCTACTAATTCTACTAATCTACTATCGACTAATTTACTGATCTACTAATATTATATAAATTTGAAAGTTTCTGAGAATGTATGGATGTGTGTTTGTTATTATTTCACACAAAAACGGCGGGACAAATTTGGTTGAAATTGGGCCTGTAGATAGATGATACCCTAGATCATCGCTTAGGTTGTTTTTTATCAAAATAGGTACCACGTGGGCGAAGTCGAGGACGGAATCTAGTAAAAATATAAATCGGCACCGCCGGTGGACACTCGCAATGCTAGAGGAGTTACTACTGCGTTTTCGGGATTGAAGGGATTCGTCGATTGAGGTTTTGGAGATTTGAAGGTGTAGGAGGACGAAGCTTACTCACACGGTGAAATACAATGCAAGCGTTCTCCCTAAAGATAGCCAAGATAGTTTAAATTTTTAGTAAATTACCTAAGCTGATAGGTCATAGAGATTTTATGTCACTGTGATGAGTAAGAGAATGAGATTAGATACTAATTCTAAAATTGTATGAGTGACTAGTGGCCTCTCCGCACCTCCGCAAACCCCACATACTAAATTTCAACAAAATCGTTAGGGATGTTTCCGAGATCACATGCTTTTTCAAGCTATCAGCGCCATCTACCGGGCTGATATGTGAATCAAAACCATCCAGTGCGCTATTCAAACGCTTATAGAAAAATTCAAATCGGTCAAGCCTTTTAGAGGAGTTCAAGGACATACACACGTACAGCAGAATTATATATATAAAGATATACAACAACAAACATACCTTGATGATGATAGTGGGTGGTGATATAGCAGTGCCAGGGTCGAGCTTGCAGAGCGGTGCGGCGTCGTATGCGCGGAGTGTAAGAGATATGGGGGTGGAGTTACACATCAGCGCCATTGGACATAACTGGATCTCCAGGCTGCAGCCGCCACCAGCTCGAACGGCGTGGTAACGCACCTATCCAAATGATATTTTTGTTACGTTACAGTAGGTACTTTCTTTTTGTATCATTTTAATATGACTTGCGATTTATTAATATTCATTAGTTCTTCGAAGGTGGCGGAGTTCAGTACACGCGTAAGCTTTTCACTAATTCATTTCGGTTGGGTCCGTACCGATTTTAAAGATAGAATTTTGAAAATAAAGAATGTCTCAATAAATACTATATTGAGACCACACCCAATTAGCAGCTTGTACTTTCTGTGAAATAAATTTAAAAACATGGGAAATTACTTTTTCATCATCACCACCTGTCTTTTTCTCTTAAAGGCATTATTTTATTAGAAAATAAATAGTTTATATTAAATATTTAAATAAATAATTTTCTTTTTATATTTCCCTGAATAAATACTTGTGTTAAACTGCTCACATAATTGGACCAAGTGTTTAAATAAGGAATCTGTATATGAAACTGATTTAAAAAGAGTAACCATGAAGTTTCTTGCTCGTTCTTCTCCATCAGAATCTACTCTTTGGAACGAAAAAAGGCTTCACTAAATGGACTGACCGACAGGCTGACACTTAATATCTTTAAAACTTTGTTTGACGTTCAAAAGTGCCTGTAAGGGTGTCTAATTGAAATAAATGATGACTTTGATTTTAATGTCGACGAAATAACATGACGACACTATTTCTTCAATAGCCCCCATAACATTCCTAACTTGAGGTCGATTTGCATATCGTGACATCACAAGGGGAGTCAACTTTCGAATTCCTAAATCCGCATTTAAATATAATTAAAATTATTTTTCTATTATTATGTATCTTTCTCATTTTATAACTAAAATTTATCAGAAAAATAAGCTGAATATATTTTCCTATAGTTTTTACATTGTACGTTTATATCGGTTAAATAGCCGATTCAACTTACAGTGACATCACACCGTGGCTGCAGTGTGGCGGCCACCCATTCCTTGTTCCAGTGACTTGTCGCTACGGAATACGGCCATTTGGATTTTGCACCACGGGCCGAGCGCTTCAACCTATAATGCAAACATACATAATTGGGTAGTTTCTCAGGGCAAAAATAAATTAATTCGACGTTTCAATGCAATAAAATATTGAAAAGTAACTATACTTTTATTCATCGTTCGATACACTGAGTTTTAGATTTTTTTAGCTGATTATTAAGAAATAAGTAAGTTATTTGACCCAAAAATGGTACGACGTCATAACTCAGTTTTTCATACAAATTTCAAAGAAATGTATCGTTTTTGACGTTTGGAAGTATTGAATTTAACTTGTTGGAAACTATCTTATTGCACAATATTTGTAATTGCACCATATTTAGTTATTTTGATTTTTCGTTTCTTTAGACGTTGCCTCCTCTATGATTTTTTCGTGTATCGTGGGTGCGTTTGCAAACATACAATTTCAATACACAAAACAACCACTTGTAAATCAAGCAGAGTCATTTAGTGAGAACATTGATGAGCGTACTTTTTCACTACACGTTACGAAAACAATACTCCTTGATATAAATATGGTTACACTATAGCTTACTTAAAACATACTAAATTGTGTTTTTTAGGGATGCTCAACTAGTTTCGAGCCACACCGGAGCCCTTAATTTGTGACTTATCGTGTCAGCTCCAGGCGTACGGCATGAAAACGACTTTTCAAACTGCCTACAGCCGTTTAATAGCACTGCTAATAGTAATAATATTTGACATAATTATATAATAGCTCACCATCGCAAGATGTCCTTGATGACGTCATCGATGTTGAGTACAGGTGATCGTTTGTCAAATACGGAAGTGTCGGTCACACCGTAGTGTAAGGGCACCGCCTCCCTCGTCACTGGGCACTCAATATCCCTGTAAGTATTTTCAATAAATTAATAATAGAGACGAATGTCGTGGTGACCCGGAGGTTAAGGCGAATGCCTCTCATACATAGGGTGGAAACCTTGCAAGTACCAATGTGACTGTTTCCGAGTTATATGTACTTTCTTATGATATCTCTCTCGTATGATTATTTAGACTTAGACATACTATAAAGGAAAATATCGTGTTTGAAATCAACAATCCGTCTTGAGTAGGCGTGGTGATTAACGCTTAAACTATCTTCGTGTGAAAAGAGGCCTTAGCTCTGTAGTGGGCACTTATAGGCTAATTAATGATTATGATGATGATTAAGAGAGATCGCACAACAAATATCACGGTATTCTATCGTTAATGAAATATTCGTTTACATCATGAATTCTTTAGCTAAATATCTGTGATCGTAAGATACATACTTGTATTGGAAGGACAGACTGTGTCTGGCGGAGGTGGTGCCAGGCGCCTGTAAGTGTGTGCTGGACCCTCGACCCTGGGCGGTCTGTAGCATCGGCGGCAGCTGCATCTGCGCCGGAGACTGGTCCTCCGATGTTTTTGTTGTAGTTGTTGTTGTTGTTGTTGTCAACGTCGATTCTGTTACTATTAGCACCTAGGACATTAAAACGGGAAATTATAATAAATAAACGAAAGCCCAAGTATTTTTAAGCATTTTTATGTAGTTATTGCAAAGTAAAAAATAATACAGATAATATTTTCAAGTCTGGAAGGTCAATGCTTCGGCACGAACGGCCCAGCTTGCCCAGAGGGATACCACGGCCTCACTGAAAACCGCAGTGACAGAACGCTTGCTTTGTTTGACTGTGTGATTAAGGTTAGGTTAGTCTCTAGCGCATCCTACCTCTGCATCTAGCGGCAGATGTGAATGTAACACGTATAGAGGCCACATAGTAGCGAGTATACGTCCATCATTGCGCCCGCGCACCACACGGCACCACACTGACACAAATTGGGTTTCTCCTTCCGTTGGTACTGCAAAAATTATAAAAAATTGTATTATTATTTTATCACATGGATGATAAATGTATTTTTGAGGGGGGGGGGGGAATCATTATTATCACTAGACTTATTGAATAAACAAATCTATGTTTATGTAGGTGAGATGTTTTTACCTTTGACCAGCCATGGCACGTTTTCTTTAGGACACTCCTTGAGCGGTATGTCGCCCGACCAGCATGTATTGTGTGACCTCAGCTTTATTCTGGAATCACAAAGTTAGCAAAGTTAAAATTATAAGTCGTAAGTCCGATGATAATGCAGTCACAATATTAAAAACTTTTTGCGTGTGTCATTTTTATGCACTTCAAGAGCCTTCGAAATATTCACGCATTTCCAATAATAAAACAGGGTAGTATCAAATTACTTCTATCACTCTGGGTGGGGCGTTCCGCACCCCGTTCCCTCTTCTGCTCCAGGCCGTGTTTTTCAATCATTGTCATTTATTACCTGTGGCATTTCATTGGTAATCTTCTATACTTTAGGGAGAGGAGAGGAAAAGTTTTAATCTAAGTGAAGGACAGCTCTATAGTTCGGCCCGAAAAGCCGTTAAGCTGGCCCAGCTTAACCAATGTGATATCACGGCCTCACAGAAAACGGGTCTGATACAACTACATCGCTTTATTTTAAAGTGTGAGTTATTCCGAAGGATATCGGAGATCTTCCCTCATCTCCAAAGGCCGATACCGAACAGCCAAACAGAACTGTTCTGGTGTTTCGTGTGAGAAACTGATAACATATAGTTTGTTGTCTCTAATTATGGAATGAACTATAGTAGAAATGACAGTACAAGAGTTGAAGAGCTGCTACATAGTCTGTCAGTTGTCGTAGTCAATCCCTACAGTACCGTGGCATACGAATTGGTGACCGCCACATCACGGGTGCCTCCATTTTAAAAATTAATCAAGCAGGTACAATAAAGGTAAGTACTTACTTCAACACCATTTCACACTCGGTACTGCAGATTACGCTACGACCGACTGTTTCTGACGCCATCTCGCCCGAGCACACCGTGCGCCATTGCGAAGCTTCAGCTGAGTGAGCACGAACCTGGACAAATGAATATTTATAAAATTCTTTATGTAACTTCATCATTTATGTAACTAGACCGTCGTGAAACAACAACCAACGTTGTGTTTCGCTGTGTGAGTGAGGTTACCGGAGGCCCAATCCTACCCCGCCCCAATCCCTCCTCAATCCCTAATCCCTAAAAGGTCGGCAACGCACTCGTAACTCCTCCGTTGCGGGTTTCCATGGGCGGCGCTGATTGCTTACCATCAGGTAATCCGTCTGCTCGTTTGCGGACCAATTACATAAAAAAAACATCCCCTAAAATAATATTTGTATTGACATTTACTCAATATACCGTGAAATTGTGAGCTAACCGAAGCACGGTTTCCTGAGACGATTCATATATCCAACTGAGACCAAAAAGCCCCTATCTGTTAGTGAGCTGGGTTTTTGTTTTATGGCGTTATAATAAACATGCCAAAATTCGATATTTTATTTCGAAGATCAAAATATCAAAGGCACAAAAGTGAATTTCTAAATTATACTGACTTTGTACAGGAGGGCAGCTCGCAGCATATTAGCCAGTACCAATCTGCCAGAGAGATGCATGTTCCTGGTGGCTCCTGTCTCTTCGACCTTCACGTGAACGTAGGCTTTTGAACATGAGAACTGCTTGCTGTTCCCTGGGTCTGGAGTATCGATCTTTACACGGCGAACGCCCGCCAAGAAAGGTATGCCTGCGAGAAAAGAAAATTAACGGTGTAACGGGACACTCCATCAGTTTTTATTGGACGCATGAGCATGGCTTTGTAGACAACATTACACCCCTTTAAAAACAACCATAACAATTACCGCTCAATGACTGAGTAGAAGCGAAACGATACATTGACTCCCGCGCAAGTGGCCGTGACGCACGCGCCTTGTATTTATACCGCAAATTCGAATCATTGTTATTATTAGTACCTATCTAGGAAACTACCAGATTGCGCAACTTATAAAAGAGTAATACTTACTGTCAGACCAGCGCCAGTCTGCTGTAGGACCAGCCAGTGCAAGACGAAGCCTTTTCGGAGCCGTTGGACTGCGCCATCTGTAGAATTAGCAAAGAATTTTAGAATATGTTTGCTAATTCTATTCCAGCAGCGAGTTACCAACTATCAAAGCTAGCATTACGTTACCTATAAGCCAATCTAGCGCCAGGCCCAAGTGGTACGACTTCATCGGTGTCCTCTTGTCCGACCCGCATGGCGGAGGCGCAACTATTGTATATCCAAAGCGACACCCTCCCTTCTAATGCCTCGGCCGCCGCTTCAGCAACCGCCATGTCGTCCGGCTTATTCGCTTCTGACATTTCCTGTTCGTCCTCGACGAAAGATGCAGTTATAGATTTGCGCAAATACTGTAATAAATATTTTTATCGTTCACATAACTGTTATTAGACAAATATAAACCCGTACGTAGCAAATGTGCCAATGAATGATAATAAGACCAATAAAATGGCGCATTTATAATAACCCATCTACGAATGAAACCAGGCACGAATTTTACTATTGTTTTTTCTACTATGCGTAAAATTGACCCCTTTCCAAATAAGAATTCCTACCTATTCTAAAACGCACTAGGGCCGAATGAGAAGTACAAAATCTATTGGACTGACCTTATCGCAAGCTTTTTTCCAATCGTAGTGAAGAGACTGCAAGGTCCTAAGCCTTGGTATTTGCAGCGCTACGTGAATGCCCGTGGTCATTACACGGGAGCGGGAAGCCAGCAGCGAATCTTGTTTACATGACAAACCACCTTGTACGCGAAAATCTTCCACCATCTGCTCCATCGTACCCGTCGAACAGTCTATTATGTCGCAGCTGTAACCACAGATTAAACTTTCAATGTTATCGCTTTACAAAAGTTGATATCTAAAATGAGAACAAAGCTAGTTTATTGAACTTCTAATATAAATAATAAATAAATAAACTTTATCCAAAATATAGATGAAATGAATAAATAAGGGCCGGTAATAAGTAATAAAATTGTTGCTGTCACCGTCTTACACAAACATTCTGACGCGACAGCATCATAATTATTACCCAGCTAACTTTTATCTAACCATTGAAAATTCAGCCCTTAGTAAACAAAAATGGGTCAGAAGTTGAGGTAAAAAAGTCTTAATAATAACAATCGCAGAAGCTAACATAATTTAGGCTAATATTTACAGGCAGCAATAAAATAAAACAGTTTTAGTTTTAAATAAAGGGACCAAAAACAATTCTAATAGCAGTTTAATGGCTTTAATACCAAAAGACTTATAGTAAGTATACTTACGATAGATTAGTGTCGACCACAACAAGAGTGCCAGCGGGAGATCCGTAAAGTGTATGGAGCGCCGTGGACTGAGCTGTCAAGCTGAGCACTCGGTGAGTACGCATCAGTGGCTTCGACACGTAGTAGCCTTCTAGGTACATCGCGCCACTGGATAAATATACATAATTGTGAAACATAATTAACAATATTAGTTTATGCTAACTAATTTTATTGACAGATTGATAAAGCGTTTATTTAACGCAACACAAGACACTATTCGTTTTGTTTCTTGCACCGACCATTGACTCGACTCTGCATTACCCAAGGCTCGACTTGTAGAAAATGCCTCAGGCACTAAGTCCGCCTAAGTACCCATTGTGCATGAAGTTTATATAAATAATCTAGCCGATCTGGCATATTTGGCAATAATTAATGACCAAAATTAGTCAAATCGGTAAAGGCATTGTTGAGTTATATCATAACAATGAAAAGTGGCATTGAAAGATAAAACACATACAAACTATACAACCTAGAACCACACTATTAAAATTCGACGCCACCCAACGCGACAACAGTTTGCAACAGTTGCTCTTTTCCTTGTATCATATCCAGTGTCTGTCCCCCGGTTTCCGAAAGGCCGATCAATGTTAAAATCAATTTAATCTCTTGTCAAGTCATCTGATTGGTTGACTGAATTATCAACAACCAATCAGATGACTTGACAAGAGATTTAACAGGAGATTAGTTAATTTTAGAGTTGAAAAGCCTTTCAGAAACCGGGTGTTAGTCTAACAATTTTAATATTTGTCCTAACTTACCTATTCAAAGTAGGCAGTGAGTTATGTAGGTGCAGGTTAAAACTGGCAACACGCATCACAGCTTTCATCTGCGGCAGAAGACGTGGCGCGAAGTATGAGTCGACGCGCAAAACTCCCGACAGTTGCTCCGCCGTCACTCCGGATACGGGCGTGACTTTACTTTGCACTGGATGATCTTCCGTTACCTAGAAAATAAGTTTTAAATTTATTTTCTAATAATGTAATAAAAGTACAATGCTTTCAGTTTAATATGGTATATGGCTAGGAAGACAAATACGGTATATGGCCAGGATTAAATCGAAATGTGACTATAGACCATACTTTTTTATGGATTTTGTATGAAATACAGATCAAACAATGTGGTCATCATGTTTTAAACATCAAGTACTTAGTACTTTCTTCATAGCAAGTTTGTGTTATTAAATCAAGCATAAAAATGGGGTATATCGTGAAATCATTGATTGAAATTTATTTTTAGCTGAGGAAAATATCCAAGCAAGAAATGGGTGAAAGTGTAATATTTTCGCAAGTCCTGCATTTTTTGAGAACTTTGATGTCACCCTGTATTGTTCTTGTGATTGTCAAGGAAAATTTATTTAAACTATGAGAAAATCTACCTATCTAATTATAGGAAGTTCTAACCATCTAATTATAATTTAAAATTTAATGACAATCCGTAAAGCTTGATTAATGCTAAATATTTTACCGAGTGAGAAGATGCCAATGCTCAGCTGTAGGCAAATAATCATAGGCTCACTGAGACAGCAAAATAGTAATAAGACAGTGTAAGGTATTTGTGTAATAGTTTGTTAAGTCTATTTTCAAGCTACAATTTCGTTAGACAAGCTTACCAAGGGATCTGTTCGTGGCAGGAACCGACTTGACACAAACTCGTAAGGCGCTGGGGGCGACTGGGGGTCTTCACAAACGCGGAACCGCCACATTATAGCAAACACCGTTTCTGTTCGGATACAAAAAAAAATATAAGTAGTATAAATTAAAAATCATATAACTAAAGCAGGCCTTGGATAATTCAGAACTGAAGATGCAATCTGAAGATTCCCAATCTTTGGAACCGCTGGTCAGATTGCCAAAATTCTTTCACTAATAGATAGCTACAATGTTCCTGAGTGCTATAGACTATAAAACATCACGCTACGATGAAATGGAGAGCAGCGGATAAACCGCGCGAGAGTAGCTAGTAATTTGTATTGTGATATTGTATAGTTTATAGTATAAAAATTTTAGACTATCAAAGAGCCTAGTTACTGACAAAGAGACAGAAAGACAGACAGACGGACGCGTACAGCGGAGTTTTAGTTCCCATTTTTACCGATTACAGCACGGAATCCTATAACCACTATTATCCTGAGCAATCACAAGTCCTACTTTTTTCCAATTTGTAAAGTATAAATAAAATGATGAGAATTGTTACCTGGCGGCCTGACGAACAGACTGAGCTCCTTCGGCTCCCCGACGGGTATCTTGAAGTACGTATGTGACTCCCACTTCGATAACATACTATTGTACAATTCCAGCACACAACTTGTTTCCTTTTCCTGCAAGACAGAATTATACATGTATGAAGAGGCCTTTACTCAGGGTTGGGCTTTTAAGGCTGGTGCGAAAATTTACACAAGAATTACAACACTAGTCTAAACAGTAAACGAAACCAAACTCGAGCGTACTACGAGAATCTCGAAAACAACTTATTTGTAGACACAAGAATTAGAATTTTTAAGTGTCCTTAATATACAATTTGTCTATATAAGGACACTTAAAAATAGTAAAACTCAACTTAGAAATAGTAGGAATTCGTCTTTGAAATATTAGAGTTTGAGAACCAATATGTACCGAGAATAATAACTGGCTGTCTGCTTCAGGCGAATCTGTGGCGCATATGTATAAATTATTATAATTAGCTGATATAGCATTTTATGGCATTTTATATACGGCATTGAAGTACTAAAATAAGGTATATCAGTAGGACGCGTCGCGGTCATATATGATGCGCATGCGCTGCTTGATAAAATACAGGTCCTACATGATTTGGTTCATCACTTGTCTAATCGGTTGTTGGTGTCGGGTTTGGTCACCTTCAAAACCAATGCACTTTACACCACATTTCGCTTATCTTTATCATTGATTTAATCGATCACAGTCGCATCAAAAACCAAAAGATATACCCTACTAATACTAAAGTTAATTTAAAAAAAGTTTGTGATTATGTATAGATGTATGTTTCTTAATCTTTCAGCCAAAAGCGGATGAACCGATTAGGTTGAAATTCGGTATGTAGATAGGTCATACCCTGGATTAACACATAGGCTTATTTTTATCTACCATGCAGGCAAAGCCGCGGGAGGAAGCTAGTTAAATAATATGTATGGATTACCTGTCCGGGTAAAGGGAAGGCAACGAGTCTAGTGATGGCTCTGGGGTGAGGGTATCGCCAAGACACCGCGCTGCCGTGTAGCATCACTTGGTACGCCATAGGCAACTGACCGCCACTCAAAATCTTGAAAGCTCCACTCCTGTTGATAAATCGTAGCCGTAGGTTATAATGTGCGATGATGATAAATAAAAATTAATGTGTATTATTTATTGCTAAAGAAATATATCCCCGTATTTTTTACTAATAATCAAGTTACCATTTTAAAACTAGTATTTTTTCACACTACAGCTTACCGTAGGGATGCTCGTGATAATTAATTATCGATTAATACCGATTTTCGATATTGTATTACGATGCGTTTGGTGCTGCGGGTGTCCATGGGCGGGATTGATTTGCCGACCAATCTCATAAAAATAATAATAATGGTTGGTATTTACCTAAGATCATCTTTGTAGAAATGGTCGCAGGACTCAGTCTCAGGGGCAATGAAAGACTGAGAAGGTTTCAAGATGCTGCGGGTCGAAGCCGAGTCCGTAGTCACGTACGTGTCCGTATTATTCGGCTCATTCGTATCTTGATCTGCTGGCATCTGTTGAAATTAATATATATATATATATATATATATTAATAAAAAGACAAGTTCCCTGTCCCGGTAAACTTTGTACCACCTCAAATACAACTAATATTGATTTTTTTTCTGACCTTTTATATTTTCCGTGTAGGTTTACCGAAAGGAATCCAGGAATATTTAAAGAAAACATTAAGCCCTGTCGGTCCAGCCTTTCTGGAATTTTAGCGAGACTGACGAACGGCAATTCATTTTTATATAATATATAAGAATATGTACTTTCATTTATAGATTTCAGGGATATAATTAAGTTTTCTAACATTTTTCAGAAACAGGTATACTTACTACGAAAAGCATCATGCTTTTGTGTTTGACTTTTCGTGTTTCGATTTTCTAGGTCAAAAATAAATTAATTCAACGTTTCAATACAATAAAATATGGAAAAATAACTATACTTTAATTCATCGATCGATCGATACACAAAATTTTAGATATTTATTAACTATTTTTTAAGAAATAAATAAGCTGTCGTTTTTGACATTTCGATAAAAGTATTGAATTTGACTCGTTGGAAACTACCGTATTATACTAACTTCATAAAAAAGTATGTTTTTTGGTTGGTTTTACATTTCAATCACAGTAACATATTATAATGCGGATTCCAGTTACCCGCGTTCTGTTGGATTGCTTCCTCTGCATATGGTTGTTTCCCACAAACTCCATATTGATAGATAAGTTGGAGATCACAATTTAAAAGGTCAGGTTTATCGGAGAGTGTAAAGTAGTAAAGGCTCTATGAAAAATATAATAGATATGAGGTTTATGAAATATAGTTACCGATTGCATCTTAGTCAATTCCTTAAAAGATTTTTCCAACCGATGAAGGGTGGCCAGATCGGAAGGCCGGAGGTCCACGGTGACGTCATCGAGCTCCACATTAATCTTTACAGTTGGCACCCGCATAGACAGCCAACCTTCTGCACGACGCCAAGCTTCCCAATTTGCTTCCTCTTCAAAACTAAACAAGTTGTACGACAAAAAAATTATAGATGCAGAGAGAGTTTCTTCGCTAAAAGCCCATTGAGTAAGACTGATGTGCCACAGTCGCCATGTGTCGAACGCAGAATTAGTTTGAGGTTAGGCCAATAGATGGCGCAATTCAATAGTCCATCAACTAAACATTTCAGTTAAAAGGTCTTTTTTTGCATATTAGAAAACCAACATAAACATCATGGATCTACAGAATATTTGGTAACGTTAAATCAATTCCAATGCGTTTGATAACATACTTTTTAGAATCGGTACTGTCATAAAGACCAGACAGACCAACATAACATGATACATACCCCAACATGAGAGGCTGCAGGATGACATGTCTCCGGTCTCCGGGCGGGCCGGCTGCCACGAGTAGCGCGGATACGAGACCGCGAGCGTTGAGTCTCTCGGGACGAGAAGAAGCCGTAATCTGCAGGGAGAAGCTGTCCCAGCCTATTATGCCCTCGTGGCCAGAGGCTGAGATCTGACTTGTCTGGATCGTTATACCCTCCATGCCTTCCGATACTGGTGATAAAATTAACGAGTTTAACTTGAGTAGCACATAATTATGGAGGGTTTAGATCTATTAATTGGGTTGATATTCGACTAACTAAGATAAATTTTCAAACCGGTAACTTACTCGACTGGTTTCAAGCAAAGCGAGAGGGCCATAATCATAAGCAACTAATGCTAAGCTGGAACATATGTGTACCTTGATATCATGGCCAAGATGCCATGAAACTACTACCTTTGATACTTTTTATATAATCTGTTATATCATACGGAAATTAAAGCAAGTCACACTTTGCGTAGCAGCCAGAAGCCCAGGCACCGAGCGAATCGCGTAGCTTATTTTTTAGATGTATCAAGATAATTATAATATAAAAGATTACATATAGGTAATATGTATTAAACCCATTTTTTGAGAGGGGTATTCATACTTTCAACTAGTCTAGACTGCCGGCTGACTATAAACCATCTCTGGTATAATATATATATATATAAAACACATTCTTGCTACTGTTTCAGGCCAAAGCCACAGTACATATTAATGCGCTTGCGCATGCTACAATACATAATTTTTATGAACATTTAGTTTGCCATCTATAGCCAACCGTGGCGGCGAAACGAACAATAATTTGTAAGAATGTTCATATGTATAATAAAATCCATTAAATAGTGAAAAAAAATTGTATTCGCAATGCATCCGTGCGAAGGCGGGGCGAGTTGCTAGTGTATTCAATTAACTACGAAGTGAATAATTTGCTTGGAAACTTACAAAGATGATTTTTAATTTTGTACAACATTGGCGTTACATTGTCTTGTGTTGGTTGTGGAGGCGGGGATTGGTGTAGACTCGATGTCACCTATAAACAAAATGGGTTTTGTAGTACTTGTACAAACTTAACTACCTTAACTTTGAAACCATTTTTTGTGCCTGTATGACCGGTCGCAGTTTTTGAGACAAACCTATTTATATTCAAATTTGGTGTAAAATATTCGAATGCGCATACGCATGTCTGGCTTAAAAACAAACGCGAAGCTTGCAGATAAACTCAGTAAGAACATAACATGCTCCTGTTTTCCCCAAATGGATAACGTTCCCCAATAGGCCAGAAAAAAATAAAATAGGCTCTTAAAAAACTAGTGCGCCTTACCGTCGACGATTGCAGCACTGTTTACCATCAGGTGGGTTTGCAGTCAAGCAGTAATTGATATCTATATAATAAAAATGGATTGCAAAATGTGTTGGTATGCGTATACGCACGAACGCCTGGATCAATTTTGGAAATTCTTTATTCTTTATTGTTGTTTTTGTCAGGTGAAGGTTCTTATGAAAGAAAATTCTAGAAAAGTAAGAAATAGCGACCCTTTTGTCTCTATCGACATAAATTTACTATCCGTGCGAAGCAGGGGAGAGCAGCTAGTGATAATTAAAAAAAACAATGGTGTACTTACAACCATCGCTATGTCCCGCAATCTCCTCAGATTCTCGGTGGTCACTTCGAACTGTACGGGCCGCTCAATGTCCAAGCGGACAGTACCGCGCGTGCTCGAACTGGATCCAGCCGATAAATCTGCGTAGAGTCATAATATTTATAACGAAGCAAAGGATTCTCATTTAAATTACCTAATATACACGTATAATTGGGTACCTGACTTATTAAAAATATTTTTTTCTACTTTTTACGCAATAAAATGTGCACAAATAACTATTCCTCCATTTGGTATTTTAAGGCCAATTTTCAAAAACATGATCTCACAACACACAAATCCGTACAAAATTTGTTCTTTCCTCTCTCCCTCTCTCTCTCTTTCTTTCTCTCTGCTTCAGTCTCTTTCTCTCTGTGTGTCTCTCTGTCTCGGTCTCTCTCTCTCTGTCTGTCTCCGTCTCTGTCTCTCTCTCGTCTACATAAAACAGGTTTTCTTTGCATGACAGGTGGGTTGGGATCGCAGTTTAAAAGATGAAGATTAATCAGAAATATAGAGGCATACAATGTCCTAAAGAAAAATTGGAATAGCAATTTTTATTTACTTACTGCCTGTAGGTGTTACGGCTTTGAATGTGGCGAGGGCTGGAGGGATGTCAGTGGTTGGATCAGGCACTCCCTTCGCAGTGGAAAGCAATACGGAGTGCCAGTGCCCTGGAACGTCTGTCATACCGAGAGCCACACCCGCGTTAAACAACGATAGCTGTTGAATAAAATACATACAAATTAAAAACAAACTTATAAAAAAAAAATACTTACTAAAAATTGCCAAATAGGGTATCTTATTAATGACGAATCGGACAATCATTGGGCGCATAGAATATGCAAGAAAACACAATCAAACATGTACCCCTATCTTGTACTAAGGATTTTACTAACAAACTCAACATCAAATAACTACGGTAGCATTGTTACTTCGTAATTTTTGGTAATTATATTTATCCTTCTATAATACGCTATTGACCTTCAGTCTAATATAGGGGCACGAAGCATTTACCCCATAGAGGTTAGTTAAAAGAGAGAGAAAAGAGATTAGTTAAAACACACCTTAATAAAAAAATGTTTAACAAAATGTGTATGTTACCAGAGGCCCGGTAACAATTGTAGGTCTAAAGCAGGCGAAGGGATGGGAGATTTTTAGTCAATAACGGCCTTATTACAAAATAAGGTTTTACTTTAGTCTAGGACTAAACCATTGAGCCAGTTTTCGTATTTCGAATTGAAGGTGGATGACAATAAGATTCAAAATTCAAAACCCGACTCAATGGTTTAAACCTGGACTAAAGATAAACCTTGTTTTGTAATAAGGGGGTCTGAGTCTTAAACTCCCTCTCGCTTCACCCTGGGCGGTAGAAGTAATTTAATGATTTTTCTCTCACAAAAAAAACCCTCTGGTTGGAATGATCCTTCGGCTCTGTTGCCACACAATCTAATACAAAAAATATTGTATAGAAATACCTGTAGCGTCTTCTGTGTCTTTCTCTTCCAGTAGTAAACGTTCGGCTGGAACAGTGTGACTTGTATGAGCGGTATGTTGCCCTCATACTCTCTCGCTTGATTTTTTTCTTGCTGTAACTAAATACATACTTTCAATTTATAAATCATCAATACACAAAAAAATATAATAGAAATATTTTGTTAATTTCTCAAATTCTCACTATGGACGAAACCCACCTAATTACATTTTACATAATGAAGTCATGTGGTTTTATGGGCATACATTACATACATAGCCTATATAACATCAACTTTTTTCTAAATTCAAAACAGGCCGCAATTATTATTATTATAGTGAGTAGCGCAAATAGCCTACTATCAGGTGATCAGTATGCTTATTTGCCGATATACTTCATAGAAATATACTACGAGTTGTCTGTTTAAAAAAATGCTAATTTATATACAAATTAGTGGTGAAAAAGTTACCGGGTTGTTCAGAAGTGTCGTTCCAATGTCGACTTCTCGCACCATCTCGGTGATACTGCGACTCGTGGCCGGTAACGCATCATCATCCTCAAGTTTATCTTCTTTTTCTTTTTGAGTCTCCTAAAAATAATGCCGTTAATTTATATAACGCAAAGTAATCTACACCATTTATCGTATGCCGTCGGATTCAATTGATTTTCTCTGTGTTGCTACTTTAAAATAATCCTCATTTGAAATGTTAATTCGATATTTGGGTGGAATCGATTCTGTTAATGGCAGCACTGAATTTATTTACAATCGTAGCCCATAAATCTAGAAGCAGAGGGCGCTTCTCAATCCCTGTCATTCTTGTAGTCTATGACTAAAAAAATAACTGGGATTATCGGTCTATAATTCTTTCTAGCCATTGATGCCTTGTTTTTCTAGTAGTATATGATTCCTTACAGCCAGGGGCTTCTTGTTTTTAAAACGGTTGTCACTTTTTGACAAGCAACGTTGCCATTGACACGACCGCGTCTACCGCATTTCAAATCTATTTTCATCCCATAAAAAATCCAAGTTATTGATAATTTTGTCATTCTAATAAATTCGAGATCAAGAAGAACAGTTTTGTTTTATTTCCATGCCAAGCAATGGAAGACGAGCTATCCGACACCGAAATGCCCCACGAAGCGACATATACTATATAAGTATTGTCAAAAATCCAGTTTCTAAAAGGTCAATCAAATCTAATATCTTACAAGCTGTTAATGATATAAATCTGTTAGTAACTAGTTAGTGACTAACACTGGATTCCTTATCTATAGGGTAGAAACACTCACACACGTCTTGACCCAACACAGAGTAGTTAGCTTTTATTGCTATGCAAATACATACTTTAGAAAAATAGTTTCTACTGAACTTCTATTCGATTTATTGTTGTATGTAAAGTTTAGCATTTTAATTATTTAATAGATATTTTTCAAGACGTCACTGCGTATCTCAAGTCAGTCACTATATATACTGTCGGTTAGTGTTATTATTGCTTATAAATAATTTTATTGTATAATGTGGTACCTCTGGCTGCGGGGGCGGTATATCAGGCTTCACAAATTCAACGGAGGGTGGTCTAAGAGCTATCACTTCGGGGCTGCCGTCATCCGACACGTACAGCGACAGGTCTATCACGCCCATCGTCACGAATACTTCTAGAAAGTTCGACGCATCCCCCCTAAAAGAATGACAGATGTTTAAGTTAGTAAACAAGTTTATACACAAACATATTTTAAGTCCGGATCGAACGGAGTCACCTCTCAAGATGGCCTTACTGAAAGTTACACGAGCGTTGCCGACATTTTGGAGGTTTAGAGTTTTGATTTTGGAGATTGAGAATATGGGGAGAATTAGGCCTCCGGAAACCTTAGTTACACGGCAAAACATAACGCTAGCTTTATTTCACGCCAATTTCCTATAAGACCGCGTCTTCAATCCAGTCGACCCGACCCACTAGTGGCAAAATCAAAAGTCAAGTCAAAAAAGAAGTTAGTAGGCGTTAGTCTTCCAACTAAACTATATACATACAGGTACTTTTGAAACGTCAAAATATCATCCGTCAGTCTGTTTGTCATTGAAATTTTAATACAGAATAACGAGCAAGAAACCCCTTCCGTTACTCTTTCTTATGAAGCATGGCTCTCCCATGTCAGCAGCATATTATACAAAGACAATGTAAAATAAACAAGTGACTCACGTTTCCACGAAGGCTACGGAGACGGACTTCCTGATAGGCACGTCATCCGTTACCTTGGTCTTTGAGGAAGAGGCTGTAGTCTCCACACCAGAGTCATAAATCGTACGACACATCTCTACTGATTGTCTGGTCGCTGGAAACAATAAAAAACGATTCTGTAGTCTAGTCGAGCGTCCTCGAAAATGTACATATTAAACTGACACTAAATCTTCATCAGAAACGACACATCGTTGTAAGCAAGAAACGAGTTTTGTATAACATCGACGTAACGACGTAATACTTAACAAAAATAGAGGTATATTTCCTTTACATATCTCGATTTTAGTTTAGGTAGGAGAAGTGTATAGGATATCTTTTTTCTTCTGTTGAGAGTGCTACATCGTCTGACTTTTCCCGCCCTGGGTGACAGGACGGAGTGTCAGACTCTTAGGGACTCAAAACCACCCCACGCATTCTGCTGCAGGCCGAGGCCGCGGTACTTCTTCTTCATCAGAAACGAGTTTTTGAGTTTCTTGCAATAACGACGTAACGAAGTGAAGTGACAGTCATGCAGAGTGACACAAAACTAAAATAGTGATATAGTTCCTTTACATATCTCGATTTTAGTTTAGGTAGGACAAGTGTATATGATATTTTATTTTTCCGTTAAGGGTGGAAAATCGTCTAATGAGTTTTCCCGCTCTTGGTGGTACGAGAGGGAGGGACCCTTTTTGACTAAATACTACCCCGTTTCTTCTCCTGCTGCATGTCTAGGCAGCAGATACGTTATTGCTCTTGACCCGAAACCTCAGGTGAATTTCAGCGCTGGTGGTGATGGCTCTAGCTTCATACAGCTAATAAATTAAAAAAGAAACTAAATACAATGATTACTTGTGGCGTTCTCGATGACGGGTGGTTCCTCGCAGACCGGAGTAGGATCGAGCTGGTTCATGATGGTGTTGGCGTACGGACAGATGCTTTCGTTATCCACCGACATCCGTGCACGCTCGAAGGCGTTGCTTTAAATTAATGATAATGGTTTTAGTATTTCGATCTTGCTTTAATTGTAAGTATACTTTACAAATATTCAAGTGTGACGTTACAAGTTTCCGTTAACTCGTAAGTGACTGATTTATAGAATTGGCTAGTTTGATCATTCAAAAATAACTTATATCATCGTATAAAATTAACAAAAACTTTGGACTCTAACATTTAAAAAAAAATATTGAAGTTGACTATCATAATCATTTAATTGTTATACTAGTTGAGTAAACGACACTTCGTGCACATTAATTGAAAATCAACTCTTGCGCAGTGTAAAATAGGATTATTCAATATACAAACCAACTTCTGTCCTGTTCCACGGAGACGTCGACGACAAACTCTTGGTGTAGGTTTTTGAAGAGGACGAGCTGTTCCACACTGAGCTCGATGCTGCAGTCCGATACTAGGTTCAACTCGATAGCTGGACCGCAAGCTAGCACGCCACCGATATACATCGCTGGAGCTAGCACACAGCAGAGCTCGACACTACAAGTAGTATCAAGGTGAAAATTATAAATATTTCCTTATATTAAATAGTCATCAACTTTACGACGACGTTGGTAACTAAGTTAAACCGTCCGCTTCAATTGCAAAAGGGTTTCGAAACCTGGCAAGTACCACAATTGATATGTGCCTTTTTCAATTTGTATGTATGAGATAGTTTAGACCACCAGTGACATACGGTGAAAATATAGTGAGAAAACCTGGACTAATAAAGTAAATTATAAGTTCGAAATTGAACATCCGCCGTGAGCGAACGTGGTGATTAATCCTTAAACTATAGTATTCTTTGAGAGAAAGAGAAAAGGTCTTTGCCCAGCATTGGGCACTTAAAGGCTGATGGAGTTTATGTATTAGAGATTAAGATTACTCAGTAATTGGATCCCTTACTATTAGGGTTAGTGTAACTACCAAAACCTATAAAGAAGAAATAACACCCGGGCATAGTGGATAGACGATGGAATACTCACGAGTGCAATATAGGAATGATTTGTGGTATCTTGGTACGTTGGGTCCATTTCAGCGCAGGGTTCTCAATGGTCGCACCCTTTTTGTTGTCTAAGATTGTCTGATGACAAAAATTTATTAATATTAGCCTTGATGTAACTGGTATTGTTAAAAGGAGTACCGTAAAAAAGGTGTAAATAGAATTTGAGCGGTGAATGGATACCGAAAAGGGGTGAATAGACGTTGGTGAATTTTCCTATTCGTCCCTCTTTTGTGTCTATTCACGCCGTTTTACAAAAAAACAAATATTGAAACGTGAACAAAACTCATTAGACATTCAATAAAGAAATAAACTTAAAACATTGAGAATATAAATATAAGGATAGGTTTTTTGGTTATACCCTGGTTTAAGCCTGGACTAGTTTGGTTTAAATGCAGCGCGATTTAAGCGCAGGCGCATTAGCCCATGATCCGTTCTAAAGTTCTCTCAAATTTCGACGATAGTTCCTTGCGATTCCCGGCTCTACAGTGTGTTTGATTACAGATATTCTTATTCTTCTCTTGTTAGTTATATTTAGTAAGCCTTTCAAGCTGTTATTATTACCGTCCTTATCGTCAAGTGTAGTGATTCCATTTTATGCATCTTAAATAGTATATCTTGAACAGGTGGAGATCCTTTTGTCTTCCTACTAAACTTTATTATGGTTCTCCTACACTTGAAAAACCTCATGACTGGGAAAGTCACAAAAACTCACAGTTACACTGCGAGGCGCAAACTGCAAGTATATCGGCGCAACCCTTTCCCTCAAGTATTAACGGCCAACAACGACGTTATAGTAAGAAATGAAAATAGTAAAGACTAGTTTAAATTACTTACCTCAGCTAATGCTATAGCTCGGAACTTTGTAGATTTGACGGAGACTTCTTTGACAACAACCTCGTACTGTCGGCCCTCGAACCCGCCGCTAACCGTCAGCCAGCCACCATCGGGCCCCGCGTTAACCGCTCGCCTGTAATTATTATTAAGTACTTTTTTTATTCATTTCGAAAGGTGGGATGTGATAAAAAAATAACAAGTACATAGCCTGGTTTTCATTAAAAAATAACACCGCAAGTGACACTCAAAATTCGTTACGATTTTGTTAAAATGGTTTATTTTCTATGAATGAAAAACAATGTTTGAAAAACTTTACTTTTATGCCTCAAATAAAATACGCATTGTACAATTGTTTATATACAATTATAGTGCTGGCAAAGCCTTATAAAATAAAAAAAATATTCAATACATACCGACAGATGGGATTTTCTGGGTGCGGTACTATATTTATCGCGCCGATCTGAAATGGTTCATGTTAAAAGGTGATAAGTCCAACAATACGACGCATAAATTCTACCTTATGTAGACAAAGTTACGGGTAAAACCTTTAGGTGATAGTTTGATAATAGAACAATACTTGCATAGAGAATGATAGTATCATCGAATGTTTTCTCTTTGCCCACATGCTCCCCGGCAATGACTAGCCTGATGCCGCCCGCAATTAAGTAGAAATAGGGCCACTGCCAGTCCGTCATTCTGTAAATACACAACGTACTGTAGTGATTGTACATCTAAGTAATTTTAAGGCTATTAAAATCGCTTAAATTGTGTTTTATAAATCCAATGTAAAAATTGAAACGATTTTTCAGTAAATAAAAATCGATATACATTTAAGTTTTTAGTCATTTTTTATAACTTTATCACTCATATATTTTGATGCTATTTGTTGTCAATATCAATTAATCTAATTTATTTTATTCTACAAATTCATCATATGAATTCATCATATGAATTTGTCTGTTAGTTCTGTACTTATAAAAATAAAGCATAAAGTATGCTTTATTTTATATTTATTATTCTATATTTTCTAATTTTATATACGTTTAGCAAGTTAATATCTTGTTAATAAGTGATGCTGCGTGTGCTTCCATGTAAAAATAAAATAATTATTATTTTCGAACTCTCGAATTACATGAATCTCAATCCGAGTTAACTTAAGTTTGTCCTAAGTTAGTTCATCTCTAACACCAGTGACCAAAACTAACTAGTAATAAAATAGTAAAGTAAACACATTCAAATGACATTTTTCACAGTATGACCGAACTTTTTTAAGGCTGCCAACAACAAATAACACCAATTATTATTTTATGATCTTTTTCGCTTAACGGGTTTAAAAATATTTTTTCAGCCGTTTTAACTTCCTAATTTTGTCGTAATTACTTTTGAGATTTTGATGCTGGTTGGGTTTATAAAACCAACGCCAAAGTGGACATCTCCTTTGTACGAAACTGCAAAATATGACGTCATACTATTTTTGCGTCAAATAGCTTGGTTTCAATTTTTTTTTAAATATCGTGGGCTTTTTGTATCTACAGATCTATTATTAACATTTACCTACGAACAGGTTGAAAGTCAGATAAACCAAATAAAAAATTGTATTATTTAAGTAAAATTTAAATATTACTTCGTTCCAACTAAGTCTCTCTTGAGCATTTTGGTATAGGGCCACGGTACTTAATTTCAACCTTTTTTTAAAACCTTTTAATAAAAGTGAAGTATTTACCTATTCTCGGTTTCAGCCTTCAAAGGACAGAATGCTTTTGGCACCAACTCCCTGACCAGAGTCATAATGTTGTCGATAACGCTCGGCTGGATTATCGCTTCTAGAGGAGCAAGGGTCGCATACACCTCCCACATCGTGTCCTAGGACGGAAACAGAACCTTGTTATATACATGACTAAACCAAGCAGTTCTTTTACCAAACACAATTATAAGTAATATTTTTTTAATAATATCACAACTACAAACAAATTGAATTATTCATTTTACAGAGCAATCCCGCTAGAACTCTCTTTGTAATTCAGTTTACCTTTAGCTTCCTAGATGGCGTTATTAATTGTCGCTTAGCTCTCTAGATGGCGTTACGAGTCAAATTAGAAGTCGCTATGGTTTCGTTACACGCGTTTGGTTAGGTCCGCGAGCCGATATAACTCGTACAAGATACCAAAGATTGGAATTGGATATTTTATTATAAGTATATAAGTATTCCAAATTCAAATTAATATATTTTTGTATGAGGGTTAACCTAAAAGGTTCAACCCTTATTATTTGACACTAAAATCTGTAACCTTAATCTACCACAGAATTTTATCCAAGGGTAGGAAGTTTATAAAAAAAGGTTTTTAAGGGACAAAACGGTAAACTGGTCTTGTGATCACGTAACGATAAGACATTAGCGCCACCCATAGTCACCAGAAACAACAAAGGTGCTGGCTTGTTAGATAATAGTGATTGGGTTTAGTCACCTGGCTCACACGCTAAACCTACACGAAACAGGGATTTGATGCCGGTTCTGTGTTCGTGGCCATCGTTTTAGGTTGAGCATGACTTTTCCACGTCTACGAAAGCGATACAACAACGGGCCATCATGTTGAAACTTACTATAATAACCATACATTACATAAACCTACCGTAGTAGATTCTAACAACTTAGGATGCAGTTCTTCTTTCCAGCTTGAAGGCAAGTCAGCTACCCTTAAAAAAACAGGATAAGAAATTTATTAAATGTATCGCTTATGTAAAATACTTGTAGACCTCAGAATTACAAGACGTTTTTGATAGAAGTTTGTAAAATTACCGATATTAAAGGTTTATGATAATTAGTAGTAGTTCGTGAAAAGGGTACCAAGTTGAATGTGTGTCTTAATATAATTATTTGAGCAATTTTACTTTTATCGTTGTCGCGCATAGAAAATGCGTTGAGCTCAAGACTTAGCGTATCCTTGATACTAGTTGAGTCATTAATCCGTACAACATAATTAAAACTTACTGCGCCTGTGTGATAGTGACAGACAGAAAGTGTGTGTCTTCTTCAGCCTTAGTGGGTTCTCGTGCTTCCAACACCCTCCCGCCAATCACGCCAGCAACCCAATGATTAAATTCACTCCTAAAACATTGTCCCATTTCCGTAAGTTTCACAAAATATTATCTTCGTAAGGAACTTACATGCTAAATTTTGACCTTTAACGTGATGGAAGCTAAAGCATAGCAACTCAATAGCTTACTAAAACACAGTCAAACTGTAACCAAAATTGGAGCGAACCAATGAAATATTCTGTATATTTCGTTCGTTCGTAAATGAGCAGAAAAATAATACAAATTGATTTGGGATCGATTGAATAATAAATATTAACATACATAAAATATTACACGATAATTTTATCGTATGGCCTTATTACATATACATTATACTTCTTTATTTATTGTTTACACCATACATTATTATAGTTTGTTCAGAAAAAACAATTGAATCGTGTCGATGAATAAATTATTATTATAATTTTGGCGACACAAGAATCTGTAGCAAATTGTAATAGTAGTACTTTGTAACTGTTAATTGTTTGCACTCGTAATGATATAGTGAGTTTTATAATTATTCTTCGGGATACAAATATGTATATATGTGTGACATATCAAAAGCACACTTACCGTCTATAATGTTTGATGGAAGCAGACGCCACCTTGATCTTAAGCTGATGGTACTCGGTTTGTAAATCCACCGTGCTGATGATGTCATCGATATCCAGCGCTAACTTCACACTGTCCGAGGCTAACACTAATGTCGCGTGGCTCACCACCCATTGGAACCAGAAGAATGTCTTCAAAGGACGCTCTGAAATAATATGTTGTATATTTTATTAGTTTTTTCTTCTTTTCCTCAAGTTTATTTATTACTAATGCAGTAGTCTTAATAATATTTTTTAGCAAATTATGTATGCGTTGGCGCATCTTACTAAACTATTGCTCCAAAATATTATCATGTCCGTTGTTCACATCGCCAGTATTGTCAGGAGGTTGTTTGAAATTATATTTTATCGAATTACCAGGAATCATCATCATCAGCCGCTAATTAATTCAATAATAAAAAACGTACTACACAGTTCCCGGCTGAAATAGTTTACCCGGAGTATTTTCTCTACTTATACTGATACCTATGAAGAGGTAAAAGTAATTTGTAAGTTTGTATGTAGGGGATTATCTTTGGAACCGTTATTCGGTTTGCCAAAATTCTTTCACTGATAGATAGCTACTATGTTATTCTTCTGTATATAAGATGAAATGGAGCCGAGCAGCGGGTGAAACTGCGCGAGATTAGCTAGTATCGGCTTACAAGGTGTACGACAGGTGGACTTATTTTGAAGTATGGAGTCTCAGTCCACTTGGTATAATTTTGTCTAATCTGTCTTGGCATAATCATGCTCCCGATGCAGATTGTATAACAGATTATGTAACTGCGCTCTTGTATATTTCAGAATTTGGAGTGTTTAAATAAATGGTAATGTTATAATAATTACTATAACGTCTGAACTCACTGTATTGTAATGCCCTGTCATATATCGCCACAATTTCAGATTGCTCACTCGCGTCTTCTTCTGATGCGTTCGGTATTTCTTCTATTTCCGAAACCGACCTGAAAAGGTGAAAGTAACATACTCCGTTATTTATATTTTCCATAAAAATACTTATAAATTAATAATACCGGAGAGTTGGGAAATAGCCAACACCATTGCCGCCCAATATAATACCAATCGAACCGCCTCGTGGGGGCCAGAACTGACGGACAGCCGCAACAGCTTCCGCTGAGGTCTCTCATCGGTGAACACCATCATGCTTATTAGAGACGGATCACTGTGGTGGTGTCTCTTGGCATCGCCAATGCCTTGGAGCTGCATCCTAGAGATTACGCGGCGTTGAGGAGACTACCGGGGCATGTGGAAACACCGTGCGGCGTGGAGGAGATCACTGGGGCGTGTGGAAACACCGCGCGGTGTGGAGGAGATTACCGGGGCGTGTGGAAACACCGCGCGGCGTTGAGGAGACTACCGGGGCATGTGGAAACACCGTGCGGCGTGGAGGAGACTACCGGGGCATGTGGAAACACCGTGCGGCGTGGAGGAGATCACTGGGGCGTGTGGAAACACCGCGCGGCGTGGAGGAGAATACCGGGGCGTGTGGAAACACTGCGCGGCGTGGAGGAGATTACCGGGGCGTGTGGAAACACCGCGCGGCGTTGAGGAGATTACCGGGGCGTGTGGAAACACCGCGCGGCGTGGAGGAGATCACTGGGGCGTGTGGAAACACCGCGCGGCGTGGAGGAGAATACCGGGGCGTGTGGAAACACTGCACGGCGTGGAGGAGATCACTGGGGCGTGTGGAAACACCGCGCGGCGTGGAGGAGATCACTGGGGCGTGTGGAAACACCGCGCGGCGTGGAGGAGATTACCGGGGCGTGTGGAAACACCGCGCGGCGTGGAGGAGATTACCGGGGCGTGTGGAAACACCGTGCGGCGTGGAGGAGATCACTGGGGCGTGTGGAAACACCGCGCGGTGTGGAGGAGATTACCGGGGCGTGTGGAAACACCGCGCGGCGTGGAGGAGATTACCGGGGCGTGTGGAAACACCGCGCGGCGTGGAGGAGATTACCGGGGCGTGTGGAAACACCGTGCGGCGTGGAGGAGATCACTGGGGCGTGTGGAAACACCGCGCGGTGTGGAGGAGAATACCAGGGCGTGTGGAAACACCGTGCGGCGTGGAGGAGAATACCGGGGCGTGTGGAAACACCGCGCGGCGTGGAGGAGATCACTGGGGCGTGTGGAAACACCGTGCGGCGTGGAGGAGATCACTGGGGCGTGTGGAAACACCGCGCGGCGTGGAGGAGAATACCGGGGCGTGTGGAAACACTGCGCGGCCTGGAGGAGAGGAAGTAGAGTTTGGTGATCGTCTGATCCATGGTCCTTTACAGCACCCTAGTTTGAATACCAAATTGCCTCATGCACTGGTCGCCTACAGAGTCATATTTGTGAGTATCGCTTTGTCTCCATTGAGCGCGAAGTGCGCGAGTGGCGAATCCAAGGTGATTCGCCGCAGCATCACCGCGATGGGATCTCCAGGGGAAGGCGCTCGCGAGCGTCTTCGGTGTGCGTGCAAAGTGTGTAATTATAGTCAGAATTTTAATTCGATTCCTGATTTGACATGACCTACTGTCATTTTGTGAAATAATGATACCACATATAACAGTGTAGTGATGAACACAAAAATCGATAAACAATCAGTGAATCAGTTTCAGGAAGGCATTCAAAAAATAACGGCTACCGAATGGTCTAAATGCGTATCCTATGTTGTCAAAGAAGAGGAAAAAATGAGTAAGCTAGAAATGTTAATTGACAATGAAAATCACAGACACAATTCATAATAAATGTTACAGAAAGTAACAGCGATAGCGATAGCGATGACGGCGACAATTTATAAAATTTCTGTTTTATTTGTCATGTTCCTTCATGATCACATTTTTTATTAATTTCACACACAATTACAAAAGAAAAGTCTCAGATCGTTAATTAATTGTCAAAACTAAATTATCGGTTCAGAAATATTTTATTTACTGATAATTTTAGTTTACGAGAGTAAATTTATAAACGAGAGGAATCGATTTAGAAATATTCGATTTCCACATCGAATCATTTCGCAACGTCACTATTTATTACGTGTCATAACGTTGCAACACTGAAATTGTCAAATCTGGAATGGAATTAAAATTTCGAGTATAGTGCATGGCCGAAAGAGCTTCGGCGTGATTAGATGGTGGAGTGGAAACAAGAACAGTCACAACTGAGGGCTGCGCTCGCTGTTATTGCAGCGGTGATCTCCAGAACACACAAGAGCGTACCGGGCGTCGTGACCCACGCGCCCCAGTTAGTCCTCAGACTAGAGTCACGATTGCAAACCCAACAATGGAGCCCGTTAGGGAGCGACGATTTAAGAAGCGGGTTAAACCGCACGGTTTATGCAAGTATACAATTCATCTACTTACCGTATGAGAGATTTATGGGAGCTGCTGACTGAAGTCACGCTGCTTTTGTTAGGGATCACGATCGCAGGCCTCTTCAGCAACATGTCGATGTGAGACAAACAGTGGATCGCCGCAGATATCGTTTGAATCTGTAAACATGTGAAACAATAATAAAATTGACGTTCACCCACATGGACATATGACTTCTTAACACATTAAGTGCGACCGACTCGCCTAGAGAGTCCACGTAAATTTTATTCCAGCTCCGTGGACTCGCTCAGCGAGTTCAACGTAAGGCTACACTAGCGCCGTTTACTAGCGTTTACGTCAACGTTCTATTTGCGCACGCGTCGACGCCGCGCTGACGCAACGTTAACGCCGCGTCGTCGTGTGACCAGCATTTACGTCCGGAAAGCGGCCTAAAATGTACGAGAAATGTAGGCGGCATCCAAGATATCATAGTGAAAGTCGTAGTGGTAATGAAAGTGTCGCAGAAAAGGTGTTGTGCTTTTTTCCGTTAGTCCTTTGAATTGTGATCAGTACAATTTAAATTCTAGATTTCTCACCAAATAGAATTGAAAATTATGACGTTTACGGAGTATTGATAGAACAAATAATATGTCTGTAACTTTTAATTTAGACAGCAAATAACACTTAGCAACATAGCAGATTTCATTTGATGATTTTATTTTGTATTCCATGTGATTGCGATTGTGTTACTATCATATCTATTCTGAAATTATATGCATTTTACTCATGAGTATGGCCTGAGCTACAGCTAGGAATAAAATATCAGTATTTAACAATAATATTTATTACATAGTTACAGAGAAAATAATTCGAAACGATATGTCGTATTTACTAAAAAAAATCAATTTATATTTTGTAACTTAAATCACAATAACACATTTACTTGCAAGCTAGTAACATAACACATAAATTACAATGACATGATTTTTACCGCTAAAGTCGGATATAGATATACCAAATCAACTTTACAAATTGGCAGTGTAATCAATTTGTACTCAAACATGCGATGTTTTATATCAAATACAAATGTCCTTGTAGTATAGGAACAACTTTATCGCAAGAAATTTTATAGCTGCGTCGATACAACTGTCTTGTAACTGGGGGCAATTAAAAGGATATGTAATTAAAATAATATATTAAGGGGAAAATATTATTTAATACTTGAGTTAGTAAATATATAATACCTCGAACGCAATAGGTCAAGAAGTGCTCGGTAAGGAAGGCAAGTTTAAAACGAACAATAGGTCGATATAAAGCGGGCTGCTCGCAGGCGGACTTGCCAACTGCAAACGAAATACATTTATCAACAATTGCCTTCCTTACACCATTATTATACTTATGGGAAAGAGAAAAAAACTAGGATATATATTTTTTCTTTTTTCATGTGCTCACTCGTCCAGCCTGCGATGGTATTTAGGTTCACGCCCGAGGGCAAAGATACTAATTAAAAAACTAAATGGCAAGATAAAGACTAGTTGGATCTAAAGTAGTAGGAAGATCGAAGCTGATTTTTTTAGAAAACACAAAGCGTGTGCCGATAACGCTTTACCCCAGGGAGCGCACGCGCACGGCTCTCCACGCATACCAAACCCTTTAATGATCGACTAATTATTGGATTGTTTTTTTTTTTCATTAAAACATGACGACACTCGTATGTTAAGCTGAGAATATAGGGGTTAATATTAATAATAGATTTGAATGACTTGAAGTTAGCCATGTCGCTTATGTTCCGACGTTGAAGCATATATGGCATTTCGGGTGCAAATCTCTTACACACCGTGATGTGTGCATAAAGGCTTTCATAGGATAAATAATTACATACCGATTCATGAACCTGTTGTATTACACTTACAAAGGACAACAAAGGCAACTTAAGAACGTAATACGAAAAAATATAGAAATAGGGGTAACTATTTCGCGATTTCTCGCAACCCAACTTTGAGATCATCTCAAAGTTGATTATATGAAAATGACTGTTGAAACCAAATAAATTTAGAAAGACTGCATGTAAAGTGATATTTGTTTCTTTTAGAGTTGAAAATTATTTTTCAAATAAACGAAGCAAGGTAACTCCTACTTTTCTTATGGTAAAAAAATGTGGTTTTGTATGTGATAATTTGTCATTGCATTGTAGTGATTTTTTTTGAATAAAAACATTTTTTTTCTGTTACCTCTGTAAGTCTCGGGACTTATATATGCATCTAGAGTTTAGACATACAGCTTTGAAATTATGGTCATGCAAATCAAATATATTTCAGCACAATCGGTTGAAAAGATCAACTTCAAAATTTTGTCTACTTCATTGTCATGTGATGTAACTTTCCCATGACTGGGTGAAAATATTTTCTTCCAGAGGAGTGTTGGATGAATGTATTCATTTGTGATAAAAGTAATATTTACCTGATTTTGCTCCAGACGTATGTTAATAGGCGGTGTGTCAGCATGCAGGTGAATTCCTAAGGAGACCAGCGGCCCGTCTGTGATGGTGATCACCTCGGACGGCGTATCTGTTTGACACGTTTCTGAAGACTGAAACGACATCAAGCATATTATGTCGCAGCTTTAGGTATAACAAATTAGTTTATACAAAGACGCAGACGATAATTAAAACCAGATCATGATGATCATATAGTTGAAGACCCATTTATCAAACAAGGAAGGCCCAAACACAATCCCTCCTTATTTATCCCTGCATTATGTGTTGTAATATTGAATATACTTAGTACTCACCTCGGAAGATTTGCTTCGTCTGAAAAACAAAGAAAAAATCTCGATTAGTTTTGTGCATTTTACTGACCATTGTTATTGTGGAACTAATATAATAGAATAACGAAGTAAACTTATTCTAACTTCTAAGTATTCTTACCTGTGTGCTGGACCGCGCACAAATTCCTTTAATGTTGTCGGCTTGAACTCCATTCCATTTGTAAAGTATTTTATTGTCTGTAAGTGAAATAAATTGTCTAATGTTTTACAAAGTATTTACTTTAGGTACTTAAGTACTAAATTCACACAAAGATATTTAAACATGAGTAATAATAATAAGCGCCCCTGAAGCTTCCTATAGCTTACTAGGAGAAATTGCCTCAGGCATTAAGCTAGTATGAACTACGTTAAGTGAATGAAGCATTCAAGTAAATAAAGCAGCCAAACTCACCCGATCTTCTTCTGTCGTTGTCTTACTAGTCTTCTTCGGATCCTTTCTGGAGATGGTCTTGTACTGTAATGACTTTGTGACGACGGACACTGTGACGGTGGTAGTGACTAGCTCCAAAATAGTTTTCCGAGTAGCTCTAGGGGCTGCAGAAACCTTCAGCTTAGACTTGAGACCAGCTGAGATCCCCACTTTCTCCTGTCCCACGACATCAGCGGATAAGTGAGGAAGTTCTAATGTGTAGCAAGAAACGTCTGCGATGCTTATCTTCCATGGGAACGAGTCGTCTGTGGGCTCTGAAATTAAGAATATTGATTTTATCACTTCAGGGCGTATTATCGAGAAACGGACTTTTGGATATAATCTTGCGCGTGCTAGTCCATTTTGTTTTCTTATAAGCGTGGTAGACCTAGAAAAGAATCGTAGGTTTCGTAGTATTTCAAAATTTTGTACAAATAGGGAAGTATACAAACAATAATATTAGATACATACTGTCAGAAAGGAAAGTGGGTCCGTCATGTCGTAAGCTCTGCCACAGCCGATGTGTAACAGTGTTCGATTGCATCAAAAAGCGGCCAAGACTGAAAAGGCAATAGAAATAAATTAACACAACCTTTTTTATTCATATTATGTGTTAGCGGTAATTAAAAATATACATTTCTACTATTAAGTCGGTAGATGCGCCTGCGCAAGTCTAGAGGAGGAACTAAATTTACATTTCTTTTCAAAAACAAATATATTTTATTTCTGGATCTGAATGATTCCAGAAAACTCTACAGACAAAGGAGTTGAGGGACAGTGTTAAAAGAACTGTGTAACTTACCATATAGCCAATACTCTGTGTGCGGCCGAGGCGTGTCGTTCCATGGCGTCTCCGAGAGTGTGGCAGTCCACGGCGGAGGCGGTGCTCATGGTGACGTATACCTGCGCCAGTCCCAGCTCCACGTTGAGCAACATTTTCTGCAGCCGCCGGTACAGCTTACTCACCCTCTCACCCGACGCAATCGCTGCTTGTTGCCGGCTTGTGAACTGGAAGTATTCCATTATACAAACTTTTAAGGAGTTTTAGGATCCCCGATTCTTTTTTTAGTAGTTATTCCCCCTTCTTTTTCGTCCTCTCTATCCTTTTCTTTCCTCTTTCACCGAAAGAAAATTAGATTTTCTCTCAGCCTCCAGATTAATACTCCCCTCGCATCCTTCCTCAGTTAACCCTCTCTTACCATCATCCCCTAAAATTTCTTACGTCTACGTCTATCCCCTCTTCCTCCCTTTGCCCTCCCTCTACCCTTACCTTTCTGTCAATTCCTTCTCACTTTACCTCTTCCACCCTCTCTTCCCCTCCCCAGCTCTGTCTCCCTCTCTCCTTCTCTTTTTCTCTAAACAATACAAATATAACAAACCTGCGGTACGATCTTAGGTACAGGAACTTTGTCTTTCTTCTCACTTGGCTCGCTACTGGACCCGAGGCTGCGTGAGCGAAAATGAATTAATTCAGCGCCTTGTCCTGAACCTGCTCTACTTCCGCCGCGTCCGCTCGAAGACTGGAAATAAGAATTACGTAATATATTCACGTCATTTATTCCTTGTAATGTCAGGCAGAAAAATATTATAGTAGGTGTCACGCCTACTTTTCTCGCAGTTATGTATGCTATAAACCACATTTCAAAGCGGAGCAAACCTGTTTTCAAGGGAATAATCCACAGTAAATTAAAAAATGTTATTTAAAAGAAATTTTATAAATTTATGACGCAGCAAAACATACCGGAGGCGTGCTACGACGACGCAACGATGACTGTTGCGTTTGTGTCATGCTCTTTACAGACGCTGGCAGGGATGCCTCTGAAAGTATAATTTGTATTAAATATTTTAAATATCCCGTAAAAAAGCAAATTAAGTGGTACGTTAAATATGGAATCAAGTGGACATATGATCTCACACCACTCTACCTACGCAGCAGTTCATAGTCAATTTTTGCATATTTTAATGTTAAAAATATGCAAAAATAAACAACTTTTATATTAAAATATTAATTGAACAAAAAAAGACATTTAAAACAATAGTATACATAAGATACAAGTGCCAACCCTATTACTGCCAAGATGAACTGACGCATAGGTATTTATTTTGACAACTAGACTTCGCTTACATAATCATTCATCTTTATACTATGGCAATATAGCGCTTCCATAATCATTCATCTTTATACTATGGCAATATATAACTTACAACAAACTGAAAATACCTATGATAAAGTTTATTACAAATTGCAACCTATAATAAACTTTATCAAAAAATCACAAAGACCATAATCTACTAACCAGACTTAACAGTAGGCTTGTAAGTGAGCCACGCTATAAGCAGTGGATCCACGGCAAATGCTATAGGTTCTGTCCAAACGCCCAGGTAGTCGAACGAGTTGTCCACCGGGGCGGTGCACCACTGAATTGTAGAATGTAGATAGGGACTGAAAAAACATAAGTTAGTATAAACATAACATACTAGCTTCGATGGACGATCCCACTCTAATATAATATTAGTACATTAAAAAGATTTATTTAAGATTTAATAAAATCAGTAGGTATTTTTTGCGCATTTGCCATTCCGTGGCGCTTGCGCCTATTGTCTCTCTGTTTGTATCCGTTTTGTTTTGTGCTACAAGGCGGCAAAGAAGCAGACGGATCACCTAATGATAAGCTATCAACCCGCTCCGCGGACTCTCAACACAGTTTTTTATAGAATTATGTATTTGGGATAGGAGGATTCGGGCATTGATATTGCGGATTGCTTGACTGAAGAGTTCAGGGATGGGGGATTAGGGGAATGGGGGATTGGCGAATTAGCGGAAAGGGGATTGGTGAATTTGGGAAACAGAGGAAAAATACTAGGTTTCCAGTAACCTCACTCACACAACAAAACAAAATGTAAGCGTTGTTTAAAGCCCGTTTTTGTAAGAATTCAGTAGAGCCGGCCCATTCGTGCTGAAGCATAAACAATGAAACAATGAAACAATGAATTTATTTTTGCAAATAGGCCTTAAAGCGGCACTTTTACACGTCAAATTATATGTGAAAAAATAGATGAAGCCGGCATTTCCTATCTGACTACTCTGAGAAGAAATGCCGAAACAAACTCAGAGGTCAGTTTTTTTTCAAGTCCAGACAATATAAAATAACATAATGTAAGAGAACCGTGCAAGTTCATTCTGTAGTGGTCTTTTGAGGAAAGAACCACACCAGTTTAAGTGGACCCGTTCTGAAGACAGGCACGCAAGTGTCAGTTTGCAACCATATAGCTAGTGCTGTTGAGTTGTCCGACGAACAATACCGATCAAAAGAACATTTGGGTGGGTCGCGCAAGTACTCAAACTGTCAGAACGCAGATGACTGGTGATAAAAAAGCACGACAAGTCTCACACGGTCCTTACACTAACAATAATATAAAATAATAAAAATGTCAAATAATAATAAAAAAAATGTCAAATAAAAAATAAAAATGTCACAATAGGCGATCATGTCATTGTATAAAAAAAAATAAACGTAATGTCAAATTGTATATAAAAATGTAACTTATGTTACAAACATGTCAACATGACCTGTGCAGACATTACAGCGGCTCATTCCCAAGCCTGACTATCCTCTAAGTAGTCTTTTATTTTATAAAATGCTTTACAGCAAAGTTTAGCCTTTATTACACTTTAAATTTATTGAGGCTCAAATTTTGAATATCGCTAGGATAATTTTATTGTAAAAGCGTATATATACATTGACACCTGAACGAACAACTTATTTTCTGAAGCCTGGAGGCAGGCACAACATATTTGTTTTTCCCCCTCGTGTTGATATTATGTATATCACTATATTTCTTAAATAAGCTTTTGTTTTTATGAGCGTGAATTACATTTTCATAAATATATTGAGAGGCAACTGTCATTATTTTAGATTCCTTAAATAATTCTCTGAGCGAATGCCTCGGACTAAGATTATAGATTGATCGAATAGCCCTTTTCTGCAGAACAAAAATAGACTGGATGTCAGCAGCATTCCCCCACAACAAAATACCGTATGACATGATGCTGTGAAAATAACCAAAATAAACTAACCGCGCTGTATCTATATCTGTTAAATTTCTAATTTTTTTAACGGCATATGCTGCAGAACTGAGCTTCTTCGACAAGCCATCTATATGTGGGCCCCACTGGAGCTTAGCGTCCAGGGTTATACCTAAAAAGACAGTTGTATCTACAGGACTCAACTCCTCGCCCTTGACAAGCACACTGGTTTTTATCTGTTTAACATTTGGTGTTGTGAATTTAATACATTTAGTTTTAGTTTCGTTTAGTAATAAGTTATTCACACCAAACCAGTGAACTATTTCTGAGAGAGCACTGTTTACATTGTCAATTAATGATTGTCGTCGTCTGAGTTTGAATAATAGTGAGGTATCATCAGCAAACAGCACTATCTCGTGTTTATCCCTTACAAGGTAAGGCAAGTCATTAATATAGATAAGAAATAAAAACGGGCCGAGAATAGAACCCTGCAGAACACCCATCTTCACAACAGACCCGGCAGAAATCATTCCGTTTACTTCGACTCTCTGAACCCTATTACTCAGGTATGAGGTAAGAAGGTCCAGAGATGCACCTCTTATTCCGTAATGGGATAGCTTCCTGATCAGTGTATCATGAAGCACACAATCGAACGCCTTGGATAAATCACAAAATATTCCCAAAGCGTCGCTTGAGTCCTCCCATGCGTCGTAAATATGATTAAGAAGTTCAACACCGGCATCAGTTGTTGAACGACCCCTTGTAAATCCGAACTGCTTCGCATGTAATAATTTATTTCTATTAAAAAATCTTTGCATTTGATCTAAAATGATTTTTTCAAAAATTTTACTGAACGTAGGTAGTACTGAAATAGGTCTAAAGTTAGTGGGGTCAGAAGTACTACCTGATTTAAATAATGGAATTATTTTACTACATTTCATAAGATCAGGAAACACACCAGTCAATACAGTTATTAAAGATTTGAGCCAATACAGGTGCTACAATAGTTATTACAGAGCTTGTAATGTACACAGAATTACCCCATAGATCTGCAGTCTTTTTGTTATTCAAAGTATTAAAGATTTTAACAATGTCTTTGTTATCTATGTGTTTGAAGGAAAACCCTGAATCGCAAGCTACAACATGTTCTTTGAGTAAAGACTCTGCAACAGTGGGAGATGAATTCAGTGACTTTGTAGTGGATACAGGAATGTCGGAAAAGAAATGTTCAAAAGCAGTTGCAATTTCTACATCCGCTTTTATTAACTTATTATCAATTACTAGACTATGTTGACTAATTCTTTTTTTAGACCTTCCTGCCTCACTGTTGATAATGTTCCAAGTGTCTTTGATAACATTGGTACTGTTCTTTATCTTAGAGCTTAAGAATAGAGATTTTGCAATAGAGCAAACTTTTTTAAATAATTTAGAATAGTTTTTTACATATTCACTGAATTCAACAGTATTAATATATGTCCGCTCATTATAGAGCTCATAGAGGCGATTTCTACTCTTATAGATACCAGTGGTTGCCCAATCACCAAAAGACACATTGCTATTAGCTGGAATAGTTTTATCTGTAATACTTTTACTTACTTACTTCTGACACTTAAACTTAAACTCTGTTAGGTACATTTTAAAAAACTTATCATATAAAGTGTTAGAATTCTTATAATTCAACAACAAAGGCAATTTGTTGCTGAGTTTAGCTTTGAAAAATTCAATGCGTCTTTTAGTCTTCGGATTAACTGTGATAAATTGTTTTGACACTATATTTATTTCATTTGTTAAAGAAATTAACTGACCACAATGATCGGAATCAAGTACTGAAATTATTTCTTTGTTAACTGGCACAATGTCGGTATAAATATTGTCCAGGCAAGTGGCACTAGTGGGTGTTATCCTAGTTGGCTCCAGAAACAAATTCGCAAGGTTGTATGAAGAAAATAAACTTACAATTTTTGTGCTTAAACTACATTTTTCTAATAAATTTAAATTAAAATCACCACATGTAATGATGGATTTCTTTGAATTTGTAAGTTTACTTAATACTTCATCCATTACTGTTTCAAAACAGTCATACAAACCTGAAGGTGGTCTATACACGCTTAATACAATAAACCGCTCCAATTCCACACAGGCTATTTCAACAGTACGCTCAACAGAGTAACTAACTATATCTTTGCGATCTTTGAATTTAAGCTGATTACTTATCAGTATAAGTGAGCCACCATGTATAGCGTTTACTCTGCTGAACGAGCTACCAATCTGGTGCTTACCAAAATTGAACATGAGCTGATGAGGTTTTAGCCAATGTTCAGTTATACACAAAATATCCACAGTATTACAATTTAAAAATAACTCAATTTCTAATTCTTTGCTCATAAAGCCTTGAATATTTTGGTGAACCAGATTAATAACCTTATTACTGTTTAATTTGCAAGAGGTTGTCTCTATTGTCGTATAACCCTGAGAGGGTTATGCTTCAGCACGAATAGGCCGGCTTGATTTCCATCCCATCAGATATAGAAAGTAAGAGACTTGCATTCTCGAACTCACTTGAACGCTATTATTATAATAATAATAATAAATATCCTATCTCATTAGCTGCTTATCAAAAATAGTTAAGAAGACCGTTATGTTTTTTAGTAAATTAGTTCTAGGTTACTTACGTCGTTGTAGGAGCATCGGGAGCTGAGAATAGCCACGCTTGTTTTACATCACCACCCTCTGAAATTAACAATCATTCTTTTATATATATACCGACACTAGCGGACCCTCCCCGAAAACCCCCACAAGTCAAATTGCAGCGAAATCGTCAGGGCCGTTTCCGAGACCACATGCTTTTTCGAGCAATCAACGCTTTCTACCAGGATGATTTGTGCAACTCAAACGCATACAGAAAAAATCATTTAAATTAGTCAAGCCGTTTTGTAGTTCCATGACATACACACGTACAGCAGAATTATATATATAAAGAAGAAAAAGATAGAATTAAAAAACATATTTTTTGATTGTCATCTCCCTAGTACTCCCTACACTTAAATATCAAAAACTACCAATATGGTAAAAAAAGATTTATTTTTAACCATTGGTATGGCAGGCCTCTGAAAATATTATTTGTATTAAATATTTAAAATATCCCACAAAAAAGCAGCCTGTTTCTGAAAGGTTTGTCGATTTAATAATAAAATACTAAATAACTAACCCATGTCATTTGCCGTGGTGTTAGAATTAACACACTTATATATCGAAAACTACCAATATATTTTTAACCATTGGTAACATCCCCTTTGTCAAACAAAAGCTTCCCTCTTAAGGACGTGAGAAGTATTTCCACGTATCTCACGCTTATTTGGGTACGGATAAGAGTAACAATACTCCCCTAGGTTTGATGTATGTAGTAGGGAATAGCAATTAGCTCACCAAAACTGTAGAAGATGTACACAGCCATACATTATTGTACCTTGTGACCACAGAAATATAAAAAACAGGAGAAGTGGCAAGGGGGCGTGTCCGTGTCCGCGGCACTTGCGCGAAATGCTCTTGTACCGTCAAATGGCCGATCATTTAGCAAACTCGCAAGATCGCGAACGTGCTCGTAAATAAATTTAAAATGCCGTGTTGTGCAGTGGTTTCGTGCAAGAACCGAAGCGAAAAAAAAGCCTGGGTCATCACGGAATCTTTTACCATATGTAAGTACAAGTTTAATACTATATTTATCTTTAAAATCAGGAAAAACAACAAATCTTATAAAATCCGTTGCTGTTACTACGTTATTTTTGTTTTCAAATATCGAAACAACTTTATTACTCTTACACTAAATACATTGCTGTTTAAGCACAACCTAATTTTGATGCTCAGAAAATGGACAAGCAATGTAAATATAACATAACGATACTTTATTAGTGCGATATGTTTTATAATGCGGCCGCTGTTAGATGCGACGAGATAGTGATGTAGCGTGTAGGTATAGATCTACTAATGTATCGATCACAATATCGATTGTTTGGATATCCGAAGTGAAATAATTTTTTTTTTTTATTTTACAGAGTAGTAGAAAAATACTTTAGCAACTGTCGTCAAGTAAGTTGGTTAAATTGTAAGTTAATAGTTGGTGAACTATTTTTAGGTTTCGGATGTCTCATTATGTTATGCGTTATCTTGGTGTTATTTCCTGACTTTTTCTGATTTTGACATTTTATCTGCGTTCTTTAAGTCTTCTAAAGCTTCGAATGCGCTATAATAATACGCATGATACAGAATATATTAACAACTTATGCTTAAAATAAGGTTCATAACATGTTCTAGCTCTTAATTTCTTATACATGGGTGTATGTTGTATTTCATATAGGTATTTAACAATAAATAATAATAATAAATAAAATGTTAATTTGTTATAAAAAGGTAGATTACAAAAAGTATAATATCTTAAGTCTTGAAACAAGCTTTGTACTAGGTTTTTTTTTCTCATTTATTTTTACATGGTAAACTTTAGCAGTAGCTTAGGTAAAACTGATAACTAAAGTGTTATTTTATGCTTTCAGTTTCCCGAAAGATGCAAATTTAAAATAACAATGTATTGATGCCACTCGAAGGCCACCTAATTGGTTCCTTACAAAAAATAGTACCGTATGCTCAAGTCACTTTGAACCAGAAATGTTTCAGCCTCTAAAAATCTTCTTTTCACAGGTCTGTGAGTAAATACAATAACAGGCAATCAACAGTAGTACATTGATTGATCAAAAATTTGTAATTTCTGAATATTATGAATACAAATTTTATTGTTATTTTATTAATATATAATTTTCTGGACACTTTGATTTTTATTTAATTTGTTTTTGAAATCCAAAAAAAATAATACAATAAAAAATGGAAAAATCGATAACTTTTCCATTTAGTCAATCACTAGCGTAAATGTAAAATAAATTGCTTTTGCACAGCACATCAATGTTTTTATGTGTGCGTAAGTTATACTGCATGGAAAATACACGCTGTGTTTAGAGAAAATAAGGTTTATAATTGACTGTGCAGTATAGTCTGATTTATATTTTGCGGGTGTGTGCGCGACTGTGTAACTATTGCAGTATGTGTAGTGGTGTCGGTGTTGGTAGGGATAACTGCAGACATCGGGTCCCCGTACATTTTTCACTACTAAACACATCTCCTCTTTTCTTATATCTATGCTTGTGACTAATCGTTTTTTTTTTACGATCAGGGGTATCTTCTTGTATACTTTTTTTTTTGTGAGGGGAAAATCATCAAATGACTTCTCCCGCCCAGGGCCGGGCAGGAGGGAGTGTCAGACTCTTACTGACTAAAAACCCCCCTGTTCCTTCTCCTGCTCTGTGCCGAGGTCGCGGTACCTCATTGGGCTTACCCCGCAACCCCGGCTGAACATCAGCCCTTTAGGGCCCCGTCTGTGGTGGTCGAATGGCTCTATGAGGCGCGCGCGGAACGCTACCGTAGCGTTCCGCGCCTGGTTCTGGTCGGGCGGCGAGCTGCCCTTACTCGCCGACCGCACCGGTGGCCGGAGATCGTCCTTCGATCCCCGACGCCCGTAGTGTCGCCAGTTGCGGCAGCTGGGGCGTGAGGAGGAGGATTGCTCCCTCACGCGGGCCGCCTCTCTCTTTGCGAGCATGACTGCTTCACAAAAGGAGGAGACGGCGTCCCAGTTCCTCTCACTCCGCACCATGGCCTCGACTAAGGCCGGGCGCGAGAGGTCGCCGCCGCCGATCACTTCCCTGAGGATACGGCGGTGCTCAGCCCAGGCAGGGCATACCGCTACCGTATGCTCCACCGTATCCTCTAGGTGGTCCTCACAATGACGACACTCGGGCGTTTCCTCCCGCTGAATCCGAAACAGGAACCTACCGAAGCTGCCGTGCCCGGTAAGCACCTGCGTCAGACGGAAGGTGACTCTCAAGCCACTCCTCAAAGAGGGGTCTTACCGCTGCTATGGTAGCGTGCCCGGCCCTCGGTTGCGACAGTCGCTGCTTCCACTCTGCCATGAGATCTCGCCGGAGCTCATTCCGCCACGCACTAATTTGGCGCGGCAGAGTATCTTCGCCCCGGCGACGCGCGTCTGCGCGCAAACTGTAGACGCGCGCGAGCGCCTCCGCTTCTAGATCCCACGGCGGTGATCTTCTTGTATACTTACTAGGTAACTCAATGTATACTTACTAGGTGCATGTAGGGCAGTGGCTTTGGCAGAGTGTAGTGTAACAACATGCATATTAACGTTATCGGTCATGTAGCCCCGCACTGTGCAGTCCTCCAAAGCCAGATCTATAGCCACTGCGTCTGTAAAACAACGTATTATGAGCCATATTAGTTATGTACGTTAAGGTTATTTTACTTACTATAATAGTCTACTATAACAATCTTCGGTAATTAGGCTGACGTAAAACTTCACTAGCGCCATCTAGTGAGGACAAACTCTAGAAACCTTATTTTTTGTGCACTAATCTCACAAAAAATCTATAACAATGTAAAGAATATATGTTTCATGAACTCACCTTCATCGTTTAGTGCGTCGATCGGTAATGAAGTGTACCTTAAAGCGACGGATCGTTTTTCTAGTATTAGTGACGTAAGAATATGGTAGGCCGCCTGCAACCGCGCTAATGAGCCGCATATACTCATCTCTTCTGCAAATTATAAAATTAATCATTATTGAAATTATTGAACTTCTTTTAAAGAAGTTTTTCACCTTACATTGTCTGAGGACGTAAGAAGAGTATTCAAAATAATTATAAAATACAAAATTGTTGTATTTTATAAACTGTTAACATTGAAATAAGCCGTTCGGTCGACATTGTTTAAAAATTGTAACAAAAACTTACTGATTTTCAGATGATAAGCAAACTCAATGGAGTCTCTGTTTTGGAAGAAAGATTTGTGGAGTAGTTGATGTGTGACTAGCTTAATGTCGGCGCGTGCGCAGGGCCGAGTCGCAGTGCCTTCAAGATTGGCCACTCGGATTTGTACAGAGTTGAGCGTTACTGTTGTGTGCCGTCTCGCGCCTTGCCATAGGGACCCGGAGTCAGTCGGCATCTGACTGGCAGCTGAACATACTCTGAAATACACCTGGGCATTGTAACTTAAAAGAAATGGGAATCGAACATTTACGGAACATGAGTAAGTATTTGCATATGTTATTGTAAAAGATACATCCTAGGCCAAAAGTATTGAGCACTCGAAATTCTGCCGTAATTAATTCAAAGGGTGGACCAACAAAACATTATTGTGTTGCTTTTGTTTGGGTGCTCAATAATACCTTTGGCCAAGGCTGTATAATATAATTACAATAGGTGACAAAAAACGAGAAGAGAAATGTTTGACAATGTACATTTACCTATGTGGATACATGGGAGCCATGATGATGGCACTGGCATAGGGAAGCTCGAGTTCCATCACTATGTGTTCCAGCACGGGCTGGCGGTCAGCCACGTTGTGATTCCAGGGCATAACCCTAACCAGCGCACCCATAACCTCCAGTTTGATGCGCCGCTGAGGCAGGTTGTCCGTCAGAGAGTCCTTCTCTTCTACCGTCAGCACACGTTTGGGCAAGTCTACACGGAATAAAGGCAATTCATTATTAAGGGTTGCAGGACATCCACTGCTGCAGGAATGCCTTCGATTTAGTTTTTTACACCCAACTATGTATATATAATGACTGCCTACGACTCTGATAATGTTGCGTTGATGACGCTGGGTTTTGTAGGGATCTAACAAATGTTACTTCTCCTTTATATTTCATTATTATCATTCTTTTGTTAGTGTAATAATCGCTTAAAGCTAACATACACTAGGAAAATTAAAAAAAATCTATTGTGTCAAAAATAATGGAAGAAGTTTTGAAGAGAGTTCTAATAGGCCTGTTGAAACTGCCTTTAAAACATTTGTTTATAACGCAGTTACCTGGCTCAGTAACAGCGTGTTCGTTGTATATATTCCTTAGCGCCTGCAACCGATGTATGAGTCCCATACACACTCTGAACTCCAATGGTTCCACCGCTATCGTCATACTGCATTCTTCCCCCCAATCACTGCGAATAAATTATTATGTTATCAGCGACGTTACAGCAATATTGTTAAAAGGTGCCAAAAAGTATAATTTAAATCAAACATGAAAAAATTATTTGCTGTTTCCCGTATGGATCCTATCTATTTGGTTAAAGCAAAAAAAAATATTTTTGGAGTACAAACATGAGAGTGGCAGAAGAATTTTTAAAAAAATGTTATACTACACGTTACGCGTAACGCGTGCTTACCTGTATTCAAAATCTTTAGGCGGGTTTTCGTATGGGTTCATAAACTGGTAGGGAGGAGATCGTTCGTGCAGGTAGTCCAAAAACACAAGTGGCGCCATCTTATTCCAAAGCTCATCAATATCGTCCTGATCCTTTTTGTCGAGGTTCAGTTCAGTTGAGGTAGCCTTCAGTTCTTTCATACTTGTTAAGGATTCCTGAGATGTAAGATTTTATTGATTTTAGGAAAATAATTGTAGACCTGTACGCGCATTTTTCACTTAGCGGCGGCTAACGAGTGGCGAATTCCCCAAATATAGACATATTATAACATTTAATTTCTGAATAATAAGAGTTCATAGTAAAGAATTAACTCAAAAATACCTGTTTGATTTGACAAACATCATTGGAATACTCCACCCAATCCCACTTCTAGCCAAGCCACGAAGTGTCATTTGTGTTAATAGATATAGTTGTCTAAACACATATGTACATGTCATTACCATAAGCATTTGTCTTAGCATTATATATGTACTAACCGCTATCGAACTGTAAATCACAAAAAACGCCAACATAACAACAACGTCATTTTATTTGTGTTATGTGAGTAGTTTCCTAGGTCAAAAATAAATTAATTCGACGTTTCAATACAATAAAATATTGAAAAATAATACTTTATTCGTATATGAATATGTCGGAGCGACGATTATTTAAATTGAATTTTGAAGGAGGTTTTATCACAATTCATCGGACGAGGGTACCATAAATCGTACTCTGGCGGAACGTCAAACTGGCAGTTCTGCGTGCGCATTATGGTGGATAGCGAGCGCTGTGACTGTCATCGGAGACGGATCGCCGACGTCCGTTATTTTTGTAATTTATTCGGTCTGATTATAAAATCCTACGCCCTGCGATGGACTGTGAAGACGATGATCAGGATGTTGATGTTTGTACCAACCCCCCGGTGCCTTCAAATATAAGCTATTTGTCGCAAAAATACTATGACGTCATAATTAAGAGATTTATACTAATTTCATAGAAGAGTATCATTTTTGACATTTGTATAAAAGTAATGAATTTGACTAGTTGGAAACTACCGAATTCCCTGCTCCACATATCAAAATAGTCAAAATCTTTCTTCTTAGAACTCAGGCAATGAAGTGCTACAGAGTAGGACATCGAAGATACGCACATATCTAGTAACTGTATTAGATCTCTCACTCACCTCATTTGCGGTCGCTGAGAAGTTTTCGTCAATGACCTCAGCAACCTCCACCTTCTCATCGAGCACCTCTTTCGGCCACGTCCACTCTGTTTCTGTCTGTGATGCCGTTTTTATCTTCTTTACGTAAATTGTCGGCTTTAAGTTCGCCTGAGAACATAATACAAATAGTAAGACATGAGAACCAGCCAAAAAGTCTTTCGTACCGCGCCCTCCCCCTTTCCTCCAGGAAAGGCCACAATTCAACACACGTTGCTATTGCAGTGTTGATGTTTGGGCGGCGCCGATCGCTTACTTATGAAGAATCCGTATGCTCGTGTGTATAGCATCCTATCTTACAAAAAAATATGTCCATATTGTAGTACCCGCTTTTTAAGGGAGTTGGGCGTTACTGTTATTTCTAATTGGGTTCTGCCCGCGTTACCTAGATAAAAAGTAGCCTATGTGATGATATTACAGACTGAATTCTATTTCTGTACCAGTATGTATCAAAATCTATTCAGTAGTACTTAACTAAAACAGTAATAAGCATCCACCCGTCCATAATTATTATGGTTTAATACTCACAGCGTTATAATTAAGGTGTCCGCAGACACATTTCCCATGTGATTGCATCATAACCTCTCTTGCACCGAGGCGTACCCTCAAGTAGGTAGGATGGCAGATCGAAGTCTTCATTGCGGCAAACGTTGCCGACATTTCCAGTACTGCGCGCGACCGCTTGCGACTGCCTGTTTCCATCTCCATCATCTGTTAACGATAATAAATTATATTCATTTCTTCTTTACATCGGACCTATCTTTTTGTTAATTCTTTCTTATCTAGTTTTACAGATATAACCACAACTCGGCTACTCAAAATTACTGCAGATTAAATATCAGTTATTGCTTTTTTCTACTTCGATGGACTATAATACTAACTTCTTAATTAAGGTCTGTTTCACAACGCCTGGATTGCTACAACAATGTATAACATAAATCTGAATTAAAAATGTAATTTATCTTGAACCATACATCCGAGTACAGGCCCTATATTTTTAAGTTTTCAAGGAGCACTTACTATCATACTGCAAAAAGTAATAATAATAACATATGTATTAAGCAATCAATCTGTTACCTTGAATACCAAGGAGACTTCATCTAGATAAGCGCTGAAATAAATGGGCAGCGAAATAGGTGGCAGTGGTGCCTCCTCCACGCCTACGTCACGGTCCACCCACGTAGGCAACCAGGACCAAGCCCACTCCGACCAGCTCTCCTGGCGAGTCGGCTCCGCTGAGTTCGAGGATGTCGAATCTGGTAAGAGAGAAAAATTACAAGAATATTTTTTTTATACCTCTACTAAAGTGGCAATAAATCGTACTATGCAATACAGTGTTCTTGTACCGTAGTACTTTGGTTCCAAGTGGGATGCCAAACTTGAAATGATAAAAGGGCAAATGAGAACAGTGCCTATTCTCATCTCGGGACGTCGTGGTGGCCCGGAGGTTAAGGCGCCTGCTTCTCATGCATGATGAAGCAGGTTTGACACCTTGCAAGTACCAATGTGACTTTTTCCGATTTATATGTAGTTTCTATGATTACATAGACACCACTGACATACGGTGAAGTTACAGTAACATCGTGAGGGAACCTGGACTAAAATCTACTTATAAGTTTGAAATCGTAAAACCGCCTTGAGCAATCGTGGTGATTAATGCTCAAACATTCTTTGTGTAAGAAGAGGCCTTTGCTCAGCAGTGAACACTTATAGGCTGAAGATGTGATGTGATTCTCATCTCAGCGCTACTGAAGGAAGCGTGCCTACTATTAGAGAGTTATTTCAAACACAAGGACTCTATACTCTCACCATAACACTTTTCATGTTTACTAGCCCAAATGATAAGCAAACGTAAGAGCAACTACGAGCTTTTTTTATATATAAAAATATCAATTTCCAATATCCACGGACTCGGGCTCCGTGCCCTTGTCATACAATTTCCAAACTTTTTATTTCAAAATATAATACCGATTTTACATACCACAGTTAACCAATTATTTTATAGAATTAACACGTTACACTAAATGTCTACAACCAAATTATATATTACATTTATCGACTGCTCTGCTAAGTCAGCCCACCAACACGCTGGGTGAGCCAACCATTTTTGGGAGCGAAATTCGAGCTTAATAGTGTGTAATTGGAGCGGCCTATATCCAGCAGATGATGATAATGATGATCATTTTAAGTGTGGGAGAGCTATACTTCGGCACGGATGGGCAGACTCGGCCGGACCATGGCCTCACAGAAAGCCGACGCGAAACAAAAGACAAAACTCGTAGAGTAACTTAACAAGTAATGTAACTTACGGAGAGGTGTTTGTGCAATAAACTGTTTGGGCGGTGGTGGCGTGACGGTAGTGACGGGACGCTCCTTGACGAGCCGCAGCAGCAAAGTCAACTGTTCGTTGGTGACGCTCCACGCTAACTTCGATGATCGCATCTGCACGTTCAAACTTGTCGCACGCCGTGTATTCGCTGACACTAGCCGAGTCAGCACTCTGAAAGTGATTTAAAAAATAATTGTTGTGCAAATAAATACTCTTGTTTGTTTGTTTTTTTTAAACTTTAATTATTATGTTTTTGTAATATAATAAATTAATCAGATACAGATTAGGTAGCGCTTTGTATTTTCTGCAGAACACCCCGGAATATACCATGTAATATCATACATCATAAGTAAGTTAATAAAATCATATTTTAATAGTTTAATGTTATACCTGAGATCTAGCCGACATTTATACAATAAGGGTTCTTGAAAAAACCGTATCTTGCCATCGCCATCTGATTTATCAAGACACAATGTCAGGTCATCTAGATGCACCAGCCTTCTTATAACTGGTTGGGCCTGGTCAATATCTGAAAAATAAAACAATAGTAAAATGTTAAAATTAGATTTATTTTTATTTCACGCAAGACCCATAGCAACTTACAAACCTAGACATTTGGCTTTTTGAACATTACGTGGACTGCCTACTTCATTACTTACGTATGACAATCACAGAAGTAACCATACACGAAATTTACAATACATTGAGGGTCGACTACGACCAGTATACGTGGAAAAGAAGAATAGATCCACGGGAAGGCCTCACTGCGTTCTATCATCTAAATCTACCTCAAAGAAATGATATCCTCTGAAACCATTCAAAACTGTAAGCATGCAATAATGTACTAGCTTCTTTCATACCTGCAAAAGAGGGTTCCCAGTTGGGTCCAGCACTGTCGACGCCGAGATGTTTGACATTGAGAGAGAGGACGATGTCGTCCTGCACGTACTTGACGATGAGATGATGCACGCGCAGCGCTATATTGCTCACGATGCGCCGGACCAGCGCCTGCATATAGCCCGGCGGAGCTTCCACTACCTGAGTCTTCCGACTGAAAGAGCATTAAAGAGCATAATAGAATTAATGAGTGTAGCTTGAAACAACTGAGGTGCGATGGTTTTTTTGTTTCAACAAGTACTTAGTACTTTAATGAAATATAATTTATCAGTACATAAGTATAGCGCTTTTTATAAAGAAAACGAATATTCTCTAGTAATATTCCAGAGACTGATTTTTGTTATAATATGTTAATGATATATTTATTTATGTTCTTTCTTAATAGTATAGGGGTCATATTGATCAATTTAATTAGTTATTGGTAAAAAATTGAGTCGATTTGTTTACCTGGGTGATGAAGGAGGTGGCGTGCCGTCGGGCGAGACAGGTGGATTCAGACTTAGCACACATTCTGAAAGAAACACTCGGTCTTATAATACCGAAACCAAGACACGTAACACAAAAACTCAGCGTGGATGCATCAAACTACGCGAAAAGACGAGTTAAATATCGTCCAACAAAGGAAAATTAACTTTAACGTACAGTTTTAAGTTCGAAGTTTCAATAATTATAAATTATCTCGCCCTTGGATTAGTTTTAATTACCTATAGTGTCGATGGTGACAACGATCGGCTCCGACATGATCTTGGTCCATGGTACTTGTATGAGGAGTTCGTGGATGCGGCCGGATACAAGAGTGAATGGTAGAGCAACTTCCTGCTGCAGAACGTCCGCCTTGAGCACCAAATTGTGGAGCGCCACTCCTCCACCCCATAGCGACACCTTGAAACCAATAATTGTCAAATTAATGTAGGTTTATCTCCTGAAAAGTCGGTTTTCCAAGCCCTAAGATTAATAAAATCGAAAGCGATGACTCGTTAAAGTCCTATACGTAAAATTTTCGACTAGTTAAGATAATGTCATATGTAGGTATGCGTCATAATTATGTATATGTATATATGTATCAGTTATCCGCGAAATTGAAAGTTTGCTTAGGTTATGACAAGTATATGTATTACTAATATTACAAAGAGGTAAAATTTGTAAGTTTGTAAGTTTATATGTAGGGGGTAATCTTTAGAACCGCTGGCCGGATTGCCAAAATTCTTTCACTGATAGATAGCTACAAGGTTCCTGAGTGCTATAGCATATAAAACATCACGCTTTGTTAGTATAGAAGTATAGATTCATGTATGATTTTTATCGTATAATCTTGTATTCATTCTGCATTCTGATCGTCATTTCTTTGATCTGTTACAATGTCATTCGATGTTATTCAATTTATTAGTATTGTTAACTGTTCATGCGTATCTTTACTTCCATCCAAGGCTGGATTTCTATTCAAACAATAATCTCTAAATCAACCTTCCTGATTCGGATCATGTTGGTTGTGTTGTGGTAAAATGCTTTGTAAGATTATTTACACACTACTGACATATAGGAACACTTTGACGCGTATTGGTACTGAGAAACCAGTTATTGGAGTTAATCTGTCTCTGAAAGTCTAATATCTCATTAGCTTTATTTACTGTGATGTGTTTAGTTTATTACTCGCATAAGAATCCCTAAAGCCTTAAATCCAACCTTGTTGGTACAATGTTAGATATGTGTGTGTATGAAATAAATAAATAAATGCTCATTGAAAGTTTAGTTGCTACGTATTTAATTTTAAAACTGGGCATTTTGGTGGCTTCGCGGAGATATACAAAAAACTGTATTTTTTTGTGTGTACCGATATCTAGCTAAAAACTTGAAAGCTACGAAAAGTTCGACAAATAATTTCATCCATTAATTCATCAAACCTCGCTCGCGCTCCTATTGCACCTATTTTTCTTTTGACTCTTAAATTACCACGATTGAAACGTTAAGGACATAATGACAGATTTACAATAATGGCACATTTTTAGGTGTTAGCTACAAATAATCCACGTAACAATTTTTACTTTTTACCATAAAAGCAGCTAATATAACGCAGTAGCATTTGATGAGTTTTTCCACGAGCGGAAAAACCCATCAAACTTTAATCCCCACATTAACGCCCGGTTTCTGAAAGGCTTGTCAACGCTAAAATTAACTAATCTCCTGTTAAATCTCTTGTCAAGTGTCAATTGGGTTGCATAAAGCATGATTAATCAACTAATTTGACCATCATGTCAGTTGACATGGCTGTCAAATCAACTCAAGAATCGAATGATTATCTCAATTTTGGGTTTCTGAAACGCTGGTCAATCCTTGATCATAGATTATTCGTCTGTCAAAAGCTCGGTCAACTAATCGGTGCTTGTTGGCGAATTAACTTACGAATACAACTGATTTTTCACGTGAGTCTACATTTTCTCTTCAAATAAGTATATTTTTTTTAAAGTATGTTAAACAGAAATATTTATTACGAAATTATATTTGTAATAATATCATTTTCTTTGTAAGTGTAAATTATTTGATATCTTGATTAACTTACATTGATTCTGGTTTTAGATTACGATAATGTCTATTTCGGATAGTAGCAATATGAGTATCAGCACATCCAGCAGCGATAAAGATTTAAGACCAGAATGAATCCGTTTGATTTCTACAATGAAGGGGAATTTAAGAATCGGTACCAACCAACGGACAAAGGCGTTTGTGCTATTACTAGTTAACATATTAGAACCGAATATTAAACAGTTCACTTTGAGGAACCATTCTATCAGTGCTTTGGAATAGGTGCTACTGACAATAAGCTATTACCATGCTACATGAGCATTTCAAATTACGGTTGCTGAGAGTGCACAAATCTACGGCTTGTAGAATAATAACAAAAGAATCTGCAGCGATTACTATGCCCTGTAAACATGAAGATTGTACAAGGATAAAAACAGAATTCAACAAAATTAGCTCTTTTCCAAATGTGATCGGGGCATTTGGACACATGTAAAGATACCGTCTACTGGTGGGCGAGCTGAGCTGTACAGGAACAGCAGGAAAGGATATTTCTCAAGTATATCTTAGGATACTTCAAGAACGAGGGCCGGGCACGCTATAATAGCAGCGGTAAGATCTCTCTTTGACGAGTGGCTTGAGAGACGCCACGGCGTCCTCACCTTCCGCCTGACGCAGGTGCTTACCGGGCACGGCAGCTTCGGTAGGTTCCTGTTTCTGATCCAGCGTAAGGAAATGCCTGAGTGTAGTCATTGTGAGGACCACCTAGAGGATATGGTGGAGCATTCGGTGGCGGTATGCCCTGCCTGGGCTGAACCCGGGCGTCGGGGATCGAGAGATGATCTCCGGCCACCATAAACGCGGGTCTGCGGACGGCGAGTAAGGGTAGCTCGCCACCCGACCGGGGTTGCGGGGTAAGCGCAATGAGGCACCGCGACCTCGGCCCAGAGCAGAAGAAGGAACAGGGGGGTTTTTAGTCAATAAGAGTCTGACACTCCCTCCCGCCGACCCTAGGCGGGAGAAGTCATTTGATGATTTTCCCCTCAGAAAAAAAAGGATAGTTCAAGAAGATATTGGTGCTCTTTCAGTTATAAATGAAAACACTTCTGTGCTCACATCTTTGTTGTTGACTCATTTTAATTGTTAAGTAATATTAATGGTTTGTAATTTTAGGTGAATACAAAGAAACAACCATATTATTAATATATTTAATTATTAATCTTTATAAAAAACATAATATAACACTTGAAATATAAAACAAGTATATTATCTTACTTACATAATATATACATATTTAGTTAGTATAGTAACCTACCAATATTTAAATTAAATACTAATAATGTATATTTCTTAACCAAATAACTTATTTTATTTCGAAATATATGCTGTTTTATAGTTAACCGATCTTCTAATAACTTCTTTTTTTATTTACATACTCCATCTTTATTTCATTATACTTCTTATTATTTTGTTTCTGAATGTCTGCCTCTCATGTTTAAATTGTTTCCTTGATGTGCAAGTTAAATTACCTGTAATAAATTTCATTAAAGTTGCAATAATTATTCTTAATACATTATTAGGTACTTAGTTAAGAAATCAGGACAGGTATTTAATATATCATAATCTGGTAACGGTTACAATATTCTGACTAGCTAGTGTGGGCACTAAAAAAGTATTTTAAGATCAAAAACTTACATTTTTATTCTGTCTCGTAGTTCTTTTTAATTCCCATGGGCTGTGATTACTGTTTTTGGCTTCAAGACACTTCTGCATTACTTTTGAATTCATTCATTATGGTTTCCCGACCTTAATTTTTATTAGTACTAGATATAGTATTTGTGAACTGATTATCAATTATGTGCTTGTATCTGTAATAAAACATTGTGCGTATTATACATCAGTCTTGGCTGCAGCGCAGGATGTGAAGTATAAACAAAGATATTTAATACTTTTTAACAACAAGAGGTTTATGAAACGCAATAGGTAATAAATATATGTTTAAACTTTGACTTACTTCTGAACTAGTTCTAAAAGAACATGCCTTTCCCTTTCGATGAAATTCTTCCCTCGTTATGCCATTTTAAGGAAGTATAATTAGCATTTTATTGAAATTGTAACTTGATATTTAAATTTCGCAGAATTGTTTGACATCAATGACAGTCCGTAATTTTTTTAATATTAACATATTTGACAGGTAAGAATGAACTATTGAACAAAAAAGAGCAGTGTGGCTATGACTAAAAATAAATCGCATGTCAAATCAAAATAATCATAGATTAGTTAATTATGCCTTGATCAACGTTTCAGAAACTCAAATTGATTTGACAGTCATGTCAAATTAATCGCAGTGTTAGTTGATCAAAGAATTGACAAGCCTTTCAGAAACTGGGTGTAAGTGTAACATTTTTAACAAAAAACCGGCCAAGTGCGAGTCGGGCTCGCGCACAAAGGGTTCCGTAGCATCGTTTTCAGTGTAAGCACAATAACTTAACCAAAATTACAGTTAAATCAACCTATCTCAAAAACTATAAGAGATACTTTGATCAAACCAAAAATCGTTGAAAGAGTTAATTAGCATGCATCACCTCTATTTTTTTTAGAATTTTATACCCCGTAGTTATAAAAATAGAGGGGGGGGGACATACTTTTTACGACTTTGAGAGCTGATATCTCAAAAACCGTTCACTTTAAGAAAAATGTTTTTTAGAAAACTTTATATCATTTTAAAAGACCTTTCCATTGATACCCCACACGGGTATGTACATCGAAAAAAAAATTTTCATTCCTCAGTTACATGTATGGGGGGCCCCACCCCCAATTCTTTTTTTTACTATTTAGTGTCATAATTTTGTAGCGGTTCATACAACACATATTCCCATCAAATTTCATCACTGTAGTACTTATAGTTTCCGAGTAAATCGGCTGTGACAGACGGACAGACGGACAGACGGACAGACGGACAGACGGACATGACGAAACTATAAGGGTTCCGTTTTTGCCATTTTGGCTACGGAACCCTAAAAACCGACTTCAAAAAGTAAACTAAAAAGCACAAAATAAATTTTCTTCGCGCAATATTGAGAACCTCCTTATATTTTTGAAGTCGGTTAAAAAGAGACAAATACTATCCTTCCCCGTATCCTGGTTCTAAACTACCTTGCTATTAATAATTTCTTTTATATCTACATAGTCTGGGCATAAATACTGCTACAATTAAAAATAAACAAAATATTTAGAATTTGGAATCTGTCATTTTTATATAATTTTTTATTGTGTTTTCTTATTTTGGCGCCAATAATATTAAAACGGAGTGGGGTGATAAAGAGAACCGAATCACTGTTATTGCATTACACAAAGTGGGTATGGAGCCAAATGCAATTTTTAAAACTCTCCACACGCTTGGCATTAGTCAAATGTTTGTGTACCGGGCTATTAATAGGTACAATGAGACCTCCTCTGTTTGTGACAGAAAAAGATCTGGCCGTCCACGGAGTGTTCGTACGAAAAAGGTGGTCAAAGCAGTAAGGGAAAGAATTCGAAGAAATCCTGTCCGAAAGCAAAAGATTTTATCTCGGGAGATGAAGATAGCACCTAGAACCATGTCGCGTATTTTAAAAGACAACTTAGGACTTGCAGCCTATAAGAGACGCACTGGACATTTTTTAAATGATAATTTAAAAAAGAATAGGGTGATAAAATCTAAACAACTACTGAAGCAGTACGCAAAGGGAGGTCACAGAAAAATTTTGTTTACGGATGAGAAATTTTTTACAATTGAGAACATTTTAACAAACAAAATGACCGTATTTATGCTCAAAGCTCTAAGGAAGCTTCTCAATTAGTCGACAGAGAGCAACGTGGGCATTATCCGACTTCAGTGATGGTTTGGTGGGGTATTAGCTATGAAGGAGTGACTGAGCCATACTTTTGCGAAAAAGGTATCAATCAAAACATCGGCACAAGTGTATCAAAATACCATTCTTGAAAAGTAGTTAAGCCCCTTAACAACACCAATTTCAATAACAAACAATGGTCCTTCCAGCAAGACTCGGCTCCGGGTCATAAAGCTCGGTCCACGCAGTTTTGGTTGGAAACGAACGTTTCCGACTTCATCGGAGCTGAAGACTGGGCGTCGTCTAGTCCCGATCTTAATCCGCTGGATTATGATTTATGGTCAGTTTTAGAGAGTAGGGCCTGCTCTAAACGTCATGATAATTTAGACTCCCTAAAACAATCCATACGATTGGCAGTGAAGAATTTTCCCATGGAAAGAGTACGTGCTTCTATTGATAACTGGCCTCAACGTTTAAAGGACTGTATTGCAGCCAATGGAGACCACTACGAATAAGCTTTTTATGTTTTATATTTATGTATTAAACTTACATAATGTAAAAGTAATAAATGTTATTTGCAACAGAAAAAATATTTTTTTTATATGTTATAGTATTTATGGCTAGACTATGTATATAAAACAAAGTCGTGTTTGTTATACTATTTATATCTCAAGAACGGCTGAACCGATTTGGCTGAAAATTCGTAGGGAGGTAGCTAAGAACATAGGATAGAGTCGGTAGTGTAGGTTAGGTAGAGTAGGGTAGGTAGAGTAGGGTAGGTAGAGTAGGGTAGGTAGAGTAGGGTAGGTAGAGTAGGGTAGGTAGAGTAGGGTAGGTAGAGTAGGGTAGGTAGAGTAGGGTAGGTAGAGTAGGGTAGGTAGAGTAGGGTAGGTAGAGTAGGGTTTTTTTTGTGAGGGGAAAATCATCAAATGACTTCTTCCGCCCAGGGCCGGGCAGGAGGGAGTGTCAGACTCTTACTGACTAAAAACCCCCCTGTTCCTTCTCCTGCTCTGTGCCGAGGTCGCGGTGCCTCATTGCGCTTATCCCTCAACCCCGGCTGAACATCAGCCCTTTAGGGCCCCATCTGTGGTGGTCAAATGGCTCTTTGAGGCGCGCGCGGAACGCTACGCGCCGTACGCTCGGGCCTGGTTCTGGTTGGGCGGCGAGCTGCCCTTACTCGCCGACCGCAGGCCCGTGCTAACGGTGGCCGGAGATCGTCCCTTGATCCCCGATGCCCGTAGTGTCGCCAGTTGCGGCTGCTGGGGCGTGAGGAGGTGGATTGCTCCCTCACGCGGGCCGCCTCTCACTTTGCGAGCATGACTGCTTCACAAAAGGAGGAAACTCTCACACTCCGCACCATGGCCTCGACTAAGGCCGGGCGCGAGAGGTCGCCGCCGCCGATCACTTCCCTGAGGATACGGCGGTGCTCAGCCCAGGCAGGGCATACCGCTACCGTATGCTCCACCGTATCCTCTAGGTGGTCCTCACAATGACGACATTCGGGCGTTTCCTCCCGCTGGATCCGAAACAGGAACCTACCGAAGCTGCCGTGCCCGGTAAGCACCTGCGTCAGACGGAAGGTGAGGACGCCGTGGCGTCTCTCAAGCCACTCCTCAAAGAGGGGTCTTACCGCTGCTATAGTAGCGTGCCCGGCCCTCGGTTGCGACAGTCGCTGCTTCCACTTAGCCATGAGATCTCGCCGGAGCTCATTCCGCCACGCACTAATTTGGCGCGGCAGAGGATCTTCGCCCCGAGGTAGAGTAGGGTAGGTAGGATAGATTAGGTAGTCAAATGACGGGAGCGACGCCGCAGGCAAGAGCTAGTAAGTAGAAGAAGAAGAAATATAGTAGAATAGAAGAAAAAGATATTAGTTGAGTTGTATTAACAAAATTAATGTCTCTCAATGACGTCGTGCAAACCTGCATTATATCGTCTGTGCACCTTCTGCACTACACTTAACGATGAAGTCTCTTTTCATGCCAAATAATAAAAACACTCTTCCTTTCATGTTCAATGTGCCTCTCAGATTTTATCAAAATATGTAAATTATTTTGACATAACTTTTAACACGTGTTTAGAACGCTTTTTTATCTGAATTTATTTTTACAATTTGAGTCTGCAGTTATTAAAAGAAAATTACAAATTTACTCGGCCTCGCAAGCAAACTATCTAGTACAGAGTAAAGTAATTAATTACTCACACTTTCACAGAATTTCCTGAAGCATAGTTGATACTAATGACTTTGCAGCAGGTACAAGGGACTATTAATCTAATATTGATCGGATGAAATTATGTCTGAGTAGCGCCTTTACGCTAGCTAGGTCATTTAGGTCATTAGTGATAGTAATTATATGACTTACGCTAATGGTTTTGGACATATTCTAACTACCAGTATAAGTCTATCTAAGTATGTAGGTATTAAAATAGGTATAGGGCATTGAAAAAATACGTTATTTTTAACACTTTAACATTCTGAAAAAAGTGGGACCGCAAAACCGTTTATTCTTGTTGCTAAATTAGGGAATGTAAGGTTGAAATTAAATTGAATAATTCTCCAATGCCAACAGGACTAAAATACTTGCCCCGCGATTTGATAAACTCTATGTCATACACTTTGCAATACAGTAAAACTGAAATTAACTATTGCTATTTAGCTATCATGGCTGTGTAGCCAACACAAGGTGGCAAGTTCTCAAACATTATACAAATTAATGTTTAGTTTTTTACATTACAGTAACAAGGCGCTTTGCATAATACATGAGGCTGATTGACACATTATTGTGGACTACTAACGTCGCGTGTGTGTAGAGGAAAATGAAATTTTTAAAACTTCGCGACTTTTACTGGTAGTTAAAGTCTGTTGTGTAAATGTGAACCTTATACTACAGTAATAAATAATCAAATTGGAATGATTCATACCATTCTTATCTACATTTCCAAGTATAAGATATAAGAAACAATTTTCTTAATGACAATATGATAATGATTACATCAGGAATAAAAACTAGTTTTGAAGTAATAAATATTTAAAAAAGAACTAAATATGTTTTGTATTAATTTTAATAATATGCATTGAATAGTCTAAATAGATGTTAGACTAATCTAGAATTTATTTGTCTACTACTAGCGGTGCGCCCGTGCCTCGCACGGTCGAAAAAAATCGTGATTGTTTTTTTCATATTAGGTATTATCGTGTCTAGTTTTTAGTAATTTTCTTTTATAACAATAAAAAAACAACAAAAAAAGAATCAGCAAAATCGATCCACGCCTTGTTGAATTAAGCTACTACTGACTTACAGACAGACTTCTACCGAGACATTTTGCGATTAATATTTTTATTTATAAGTTGGAGGTTAGAGGTTGTATTATTAAATATTTTATAGCTCATTTAAAATAGGAGATTGTGTACTGGATACATATTATTTTGATTTTGCAAGCACTATTATGTTAGAATCATATTTTATTGCACAGTTAACGCAGTGCCACGGGGGCTGGGCAACTGGCATGCACCGAATCGCGTTTTCGATTCCCACACGGCACAACTCTTTGTATGTTTCAAAACCCATCCATGAATCTGGAGGAAATCTTAAAATGGGACAATGATTACTTCGTAAAACGCAATGTTTACAAGAAATAAAGAAAAGAAATTTACTTTTTCTTTTCTTTATTCTTTTTCTTTATTTCATGTTGTTTTAAAGGAGAATCACCCGATATTTTATTTTATTACAATTAGTAAACACACACTGTGATTTCCGATCTCAATCTGAGTTTTTCTAAACACCATTTTCTCATACTTCAAAATGAACTTCATTACCCGATGCAGAAATGAGTTATTATTACAACTACTTATCAATTAGGAATAGTATAATCAATGTTTTAAATAGGTACATAATTGTCTAACTTAGTAAATACTAAATTCAAAGAATCCATAGCTACAAATACAACACAAATATTTTATAAAATATGATAAAAAAAATACATTTTGCAAATGCATTTTAAGCATGAGCAAGCCATAGATAGAAACATAAAGAACAATATTCGCCAATTAGAGTAATAAAAGCTCAATCACATAGGTATACAGGTAATTTTTTCTTCGGTTAACTCACCTGTGCATCAGCTGGTTTGAAGTCCCGCACATACTTGTCCACATAGCTCAGCAGGATAGGTGTTACATATGACTCTATTTTAAACATCTTGCACAATACCACTACCGTCCAATATTCTTCATCATGAGTTGTTTTTACTGAAACCAAAACAATACATATTAGCAAAACAATGTATGTTTTAAAACAATACATGCCATTCTATCACACTCAGATATTAATGATTACTATTTATTACTATTTGTTAATAATCGTTATATCCCTTTATTGGGTTAGGAGAGGCTGTTAAATGTATATGAGTATTGCAGATTAACTTGATATGATAGAATATTATAATATGAGATATTATAATATGAACCAATGAGGCTTAAGTATATGATTTTTGTAAAATAGACATTTATGAATAAGTAACGGCACTTAGTTTATTAGTTTAGAATTCAAATTCTGTAGATAGTATGCACATTTCTTATATTTAAATTTCTAGTTTGAATGTATTATAAATGTAGCATACTGTATAGTATTTTCTATTCTATTCAATATTTTACTGTTTTGGAAGGAAGTTTTTATTTGTTATGATATCATAATATACTTTTCAATATGTTTTTCCATTAAGAATGCCTTTGTTGATAAACAGTTTCACTTTTTATAAATACAGGTTGCCCCAAATCTGTTGTTGTTTCTTTAAATATATAGTTAGACAATAATTTCAGAATAGAAAATTTATCAATTAAGTATATACACAATTTAAAGTTTAAACTTAGAGCTCACTAAAGGCGATTATAATTTCCAATAAGACCAACATTGAAAATGATACTTCTTATTACAATATTATTTATCTGTTGTAAGGATAAGAAATTGTACCATTATTTCTTTATCCGATTTTTTTTCTTTAGTTGCAGTATAGTGTTCGTTTTAATGTGACGTCACCGTTATCACCAATTTGCATCGCGGTAACCCCCTGTTTGAAACTATGATTGACAACATAGGTACTCAAGCAGATTAAGGTGCAAACTTTTTAATTGAACATTCTTTTAAAATCAGTTCTTATTAAACTAACTCTATGAAAGTGTTTCAATTCAAGGTTTATAAGATAAGAACGATACTAAATTCAAAAGAACCTCATAAAACACTGCTGTAGCTACGTGGAGAAATAAACAAACACTGAAAATCTGCCGGAAGTAATTTACAACCAGAAAATCTTACCTAATAAATGCGATAAAGTTTCTAAAGGAAGACGTAATTATAGCATATATTTTATGTACAGTTTTACAAAAATTTAACGAGAGTATTTGATTAATTTTATTAAAATAGGAAAAAAGCAAAATAAACACCGCACGTCAGTTTTTTCTATCTGTGGTGAACTTCAAATTTGACAGTAATAGTTGTCTTGCTTGAAGCAGCGGAGCTGCCAGCCAACTAGATTTCGTTCGGAAATAACAAATAAGAAAAAACTGTATCACCTATAAAACATAACTTTTTATAGGTGTGAAATACCAGAAGAGAAATCATCATCATCATCACAGCTCAGAAAAACCCTCTTCTCACACGGAGAGAAGGTTTGAGTATTTTTATCATCTCATCATCAGCCGTAACTGGTCAAGCGCAATAATGTAAATGTACTTAATATTTTTGATATTTCATTTTATTTTATTTTTTTAGTCAGTCTAGAGGACATTTTGGTAATACCTATAACATCGTACTGTAAGCCAAAAACGCTCTAGGATTATGGGTAACCATGAACGGCGCAAATCGTTTACCATTAGGTGATCCATATTTTCAGTTATCGACGTAGACATGTTTACAAGCCTCTGCCAATATCTTTGAACAATAATTCTGCTTCGGCTTGGCGTACCTAGAATAGAGTACTAAAGAACTATAGGTATCGCATGCCCACAGTTCAAAGAAAGTCATCAAAGAATCGAATACAGCCGGCAGATAAAAAATCACCATCTAGTCACTTAGCAAAGTGTACTGTACTTTGAATAAAATTCGCACCTTCTTATTTTCTCTCTTTTAGTCACGTATATTTTATCAAAGAACACAAAGTAATAGTAAAAGTGTCGTCATCTAGAATTGTTAGTGTTTAGTTAATATACCATACCCATTTCCCTTCCTTGCACTGAGCACAGAGAAAAACACTGCGGAATAGATTACGCAAAATCTAGATCGAAATTATCCGCGGGAAGCCTGAACGTGTACCTAACGTGAACGACCCCGTCCCGACCCCGACGCTAAAACTAAGTGTTTTGTTTTTTTACGTTGATAAAGTAAGCAGAACACAGTTTCCGAGCTGTTTTGAAACGTCGCGGTCGTCTTGTTTAAGTAGGTAGTAATGTAGTGTGCGGATAAGTTATCTATAGTCTAGGAATGTAATTAGATTTTTATTCTGTGCTGCAGGCGCCCGCCGTTTCCGATTCAATTTTCTTGCGATATTTATTTTTAATTTTAACAATCTAAATTATCTTATTGCAATGAAGTTATAAAGTCTTTCGAGTTTAGACCAATTCCCACATTAGTTTTAATTAAATGTTAATTAGAAATGTGAAAGATTAAACAGCATCTGTTTGACTGCATAGTTAGGTTAGTTAGTCTAAGATTGGCTAGGGCTGCAGCAGTCGTCATATGAGTTTGATCTCTAACAACTGCAAGATTGTAAAAAAATAATTTAAAAATAAATAAACCCGCGAAGATGAGTGATGAAAAAGTGAAGATGCGAAAGCAGCTTGGACTGCTGGAAGGTGTAGCTATTATTTTAGGGATAATATTCGGCAGTGGTATATTTATATCGCCAAAGGAGGTTTTAGAAAAAACGGGGTCAGTATGGGGCGCACTTTCTGTTTGGGCTGCTTGCGGTGGACTTGCGACCCTTGGGGCCATGTCCTACGCAGAATTGGGTAAGTACTCTATTTTTAATTACAATAATCACGTTTTTCATGACAAATTTTACTAGCTAAATGTAATATTACATTTAGCATGCAATTTTTGTTTTGTAAATTAATGTTTGAAATTAATTTTAATATTTGATTTCTAATTAGAACTCTTCATTTATATTTTGGTGTTATTGGACTGAATATTTTTTTATAGTTAATCCACCATTTAGTCGATTTAATTTATTTTCTGGAAATAATTAAACTTCCATTATAATAATTCAAATTTAAAAATTCGAGGGGCAGTATTAATTTTACACTAATTATTTAAAATTTATTCTCAAATTTTTTGTCACTCCGCCCCTAAGACGACCCACTGACCCAAAAATTAACTAATAATAATTCATATTTTGTTTTGTACTACAGGTACCACATTGGCACAGAGTGGTGGTGACTACCATTACATTAATGAGGCCTATGGACCTTTACCTGCATTCCTGTACTTGTGGGATGCCAACTTAGTGTTTGTGTAAGTAATAATATATCTAACTACCTCACATCTTTGAATCACACTTATTACTTAATCTTGTAGCTGACAGACATCATTGGTCAGCCAACATAAGAATTTAATTTTAATTTAGGGAATCTGGTACTTACAGCAAATTTAATTCTTAATCCTACTACTATTATAAAGGCGAAAGTTTGTAAGTATGGATGTATGGATGTTTGTTTGTTACTCTTTCACGTAAAAACTACTGAATGGATTTGAATGAAACTTTACCACAATATAGCTTATACATCAGAATAACACATAGGCTACAATTTTTGAGATTTCTAATGTTTTTTTTTACGTTTCCAAAGCTAAGGATCGGCATGTTTATGCTGAAGGAAAAAGATCTGAAGAAGATGTAGTTTATAGGAGCATACTGCAGTAGCTACCTATAGACTTATGATTAGGGCTCTGCAGTGCTTAGTTACCGTATTTCTTACTTATTACTGGACTAGACGGGACGAACCTGAAGTCCACGCGAACAAAGTCGCGGGCAAAAGCTAGATTTTACATAAATTGACTTGGCTAAGCGTGGTCCTTCAATAAAATAATATAAAATGTTTTCTTAGCTATGGCATTATAAATGCAGTACATACTCATTAAAAAGCTTCCATTTGTCTGCATATTAATTCAAATGCACCTGCGACATTCTTCTATGTATAAAAAATCATGCTATGCTATGTTGTGATTGTTGTAACAAACAATATCAATCTAGTAATTAATGTACTCAATCAAATTGCAAATATCATAATATGAACCAATCAATTTACTGCTGATTGCTTTTATTGGTCTTGAACATGATTGAACTTGCATCCTATTGTTTGCTTGGCCTTTTGTAATTGCCAAAGCTAATAAGGCATCTTTGAATTAAACTTTCAATCCCTTACAGTTAGAAGTCAGAGAAACGTTATATTTTTTTATACACAAGTTATACTACAGGTTAATTTACCAAAAAAAAGTGTTATTAAGATGTCTTTTAAGTTTTTGTCCATAGACCTTAGGTAGTTTCAACAAAAACTTTAAAATGCTTTATTTGTTCTAGGCCGAGTACAAATGCTATTATGTCACTGACTTTTGCCAACAACATTCTGGACCCCATATTTCCGGACTGCCCCATCGACCCCATGTGTAGAAAACTTATCGCAGCTGTTACTATTTGTAAGTATAATACAACCTCTTTTGATTTTATCAAATGCCACGATGATTTTTGAGTGTTTGATAATTAAAAAATATGAAATTTTACAATTAGCTTTATTCCTACCAGTCAGGTTCACATAGCAAAAATAGGCTAATAATAGGCTTGACTAGCTTTTTGCATCTCACTGACTTTGATTTTCCATAAATGTAGGTAAAAAGGCAAGGCTTAAAGTTGCAGTGAAGTCTAAGTTCTTTTTAGTATAATGTACTAAGCTAGTGTTCCATTTGCGGTTTCATACGGTACTAAAAGGAAAAGTACCCTGGAGCACCCTCCAACCTACTTTATCTCGATAAACAAACAATGAAATTCTAAGAGTAGGTATAATTAATTTGTATTGTAGACAATGTAAGGGTTATATATATAAATCTCGATTACAATAAATTCTTACTAGCCGTTGTTTCCATGTGTGATTATTATGGAACATTTTGGTGTATCATTATCATTACTTTACAAATGTTGAATACAACAAAGCAATCGCTTCGGCGACACAATGACTTGTTTTGGACAAGCATCAGCTTGTTCAGTGATGTCAAGTATATGTAGTTGGCACGAAGTGGAAGATATAAAGTGCAGTGCAACAACAACAGCTAAACTCCGAAAAAGTAAAAAAAAACTAGAATCACAAGACGAATGTCAACCGTATGCTATAGGACTGATTTCATCACCCTTCTTTAAATATAAATGTTAGACCAATTCCTTTAAAAGATCGGCTCCAACTCGGTTCACTACTTAGTTCTAGTGGTGTTGACCAAAAAGAGCATAAACGAGCCACGTTTGTCCATACTGCCGCTTCTGAAGACCATCCATTTCATAGTTTTTCCACAAAGACTAATAGGCTACGAAACAAGTCAATTTGCGGAATTGCTAAGCTAGGCAGGCTAATCTATAGAGAAAGAGCATATACTGAATGATTGTCTCGAAGCTGTAGAAGACGCTACATACGACAAATTAACATTAAACTAACTTTGATAAGAGGTACTATGGCTGCTTGTAACACAACCGCGTCGTGTTGGATGAGAGGGACATGGAGGGCTGACGTTACGGTAGAAGAATTGAGCGTACACGTGTGCTAAGTGCAGGTTTTCTATGTATACTAGGACTTTTTATGTGCTTACTAATCATATGGAAATCGCGTATGCTCTGAGTACAGTATAGAGCCGGTCCGCAATATACTGTACGTATACTGCGGACCGCCTCCAGGTTGTTTATGAGATCCCTTGAAACAGAAAGAATTCTCTTTAGCGATGATTCTAAAATCACTCCTGTTGTGTGTAGGTGCATAGTTGTATTCCTTGAAATATAATACAAATACTTAATTTATCTTTGTGATGAAAGAGCTCCAACATGAATATAAACTGCGAAAAGTAAAAAAATGTAGGGCATTTTACCGAACTCTAATCAGAGTTCATTAACTAGTGCACACTTCATTACAATTACCTATCCCCTTAAAATTTCATTTAGGGCAACATTGTTAGAAAGAGAAATTAATTTATGTATGTATCAAATAATTTGGATATAGAATGAAATTTGTATGAACTAACTATCACCCACCTAAGTTTATTGGGTATAACGAGTATAAGTTTTGTATGTCAGATGGCGCAAAAACACGACGTCACAAATCTCAGTCATGTACAAAATTCATTGAAAAAATGTTTTGAATGATTGGTTGTAAGTACCCTATAACGCGACCGTAGGAAAGGTAGGTATTGTTTTTCGAGCGTACCTTTTACGTATGTTTATATAGTAACATTCTTTGTTACCGCGATCCTTCCAAACCATCCTACCGATGTAGAGACATTTGATGTATTGTCAGACTTAGCTTACGCCCACGTTACCCGGATCAAAAGTAGCCTATGTGGTATTTCAGACTATAATCTATTACAGAGCTATATTTTCAAAAACCATACGTTGTTTTTTATTTCCGTTCAGTAGTCACCCAAACTTACGCATTACTAATTCAAGTCTTTAAATAAGTGAATTAATTGAATCTTTCTTTCAGTGAAAAACAGTACCTAGTTGTATTTTCTTTAAACCATATCCATAATCCTATTATGTTTTGGCCCATAGGTTTCCTAACGTTCATAAACGCGTACGACGTCAGATTTACGACCAGGATCCAGAATGTGTTCATGTTCACCAAGATTACGGCGCTCGTCATCATCATAGTGGGAGGCATCATCTGGATGGGCAAAGGTAATAAAAAAATAATGTATATCTAGTGTAAATTTGCATATCACTTAATTACTTTCTACCCATGAAACGGCCACCGTGAACTGATCCTATTTTCGTGTTTCAACTTTGATTAGTTTCCATTTGTGCTGCAGAATAGTAATAGTAAGCCTGAGTGAGTAAACCTACAATGCAAAATGCATCCATTGGCCATTGCATCACTCCTGAACGACAAGTACTATTTCAATCATTATTTTTTAATGTTAATGTTAAGAGACGGTTCTTATGAAAAAAAACTTGAAAAAAGTTTAAGGCAAAGTTGGGAAGACGCAACTCTTTCGATGCGGGGGTGGTACTGACAAAACAAATGACACACCGAGGTACTTGGATACGATACCCTTGCGAAGCAGGGGCTGTATGTTTTATAACGATTAACAAACATGTGACACCTTACTTTACCAGTATTTTTCTCTGAGTATACAACATCATTCTTTCACCACATTTATGGTAATGTAGATGAACCAAGTAAAACTAAAGTAAAAACTGAACTTAAAATTAAGGCTTCTTTACATTATTATTGGACAAGAATCTATGATATGTATACTGAAATATTTTTCTGACATTATACTCAATTGCCTAGTTCATAGAGCTGTTGATTATACGAGTATATTCAATGTTTCCGTCTGAATAAAAGTAGTAGAAATAAAAGCGTCACAGAAATGCTGCCGCTTCAATGAATGAAACTGAAGCGGTAGATGCTGTACGTGATAGCTAAGGGTAAATTACAGGTAGAGCTTGATTAAATGGTAAGAGCGTACCTAGACTAGTGTCCAGTGGCGTCGTCTACTTTATCAGTGACATGTGAAACAGCGCAATATGATCTGGTCATTTATTTAAGACCTGCATGCAACCAGAAGGTATTAAAATCTTGAGCGCATCTAGGCTTTACGAGTCTAATGTTTCGTAGTAATACTTTAATTTATATTTAGTTTAATTTTGGTTGCACGACAACACGACTATGACTAGTCTTTATTAGTTATAGTTACTTATTTTTTACCTCGAATATGAGATAACTGTTAAGTCTTAACTTGTAAAGTCAAATAAGTAAAATAATAATAGGTCTTACCTAGGAAATTGCCGTTCTGCAGTACTGGCCATTTTAAGTCAAATTAGTTTTTGTTAGGCTGAGGCTAATTAATTTTGTTTTAAAAACATGGGATTACCATCTTTTTCCAAAAGTAGTCATTTGTTTATTGATTAGTGTTACAATTTTATCGCATTTCAAATCGAAAAAATCTTTAAAAGTTTTTCATGCAAAACGTTCATAGGTAAAAAATTTCATAGGTAAAGACCTATTATCTAGCATACTTTTTGCGCTGTTATCTTTTCACGCAAAAAAATATAGGTAAGTAAGAGACAGACAGACTATCATCATTAGAAACTGACTCAAATTCAATAATCCATATCTCAGATTTCGTTTGATGCATGTAACTTACCACAACGTGATTGTAACAAATCGATTTAAAACGAAACGATTTATCGAAGTCTGCTAATTGAATTGACTTCTTTTATTTATAAACTCAGTATCCACAAAACGTATAACGATTTATTTTTCCTGTTGTAACTTTAAACTTTATGGAGATTCAACATACCTAAAAATAACTTGATCAATGATGAGGACTTCCATAAGTTGAGTCAGTACCTACTGTTATTTCTTCTAAGTCATGAATAAAGGAGCATATTGCCTTGTAAAGTAAATACACACTTTAATTACCATATTCGTGAGAACAAATTGATATGATGAAGATTGTCATACGTACTCTGTGAATTAACATGTCTGTGAGAACGGATGGTAGATTAATTATACGAAATTGATCTTAACTGGGCAAGTATTAAGGATGCAAAGTAGTCATCTCCATTTAATATATTCGCTTGTATGGTGAACTGGGATACCAAACATTAAAATAAATTTAATAGTCTGAAAGCTACTACAATTGTACTTAATGTATTTTGGAGTCTATAGGTTCGAACAAATAAAGTCTTCAAGGTCAATAACCTCCGTAAGGGTATCGGACGTCGAGGGAGTAACGACCAGACGCCCGAAACATCATGCCTTAAAAACACTTAAACAAAATCTTAGTACTATTGGAGGTTGTTGAATTATTCTGTTGTTCTTTACGGACCTAGAATTGTGAACAATTGTACACCTTTACCAGACAGCAATACAGTACAAGAATTGATCTTTGAGTTAGTGTTTATATCAAACGCGTAGCGCTTAATGTAAGAGTCTGTCTTTTTTCTTCATTTCAAGTATTTTCAAACAATCGAGATACCTATAATGTTTACGCAGACGCTCCTATTTAGACACATCAACAATCGACTAGACGGGGTAGCGGTAGACAGTGAATTGAAATACCTTTTGTTGGGCACAACGGTCACATCTATCGAATCATTTAAATTTGCAGACACGCACACAAGGACAGATGTGTCTGTCCTAATCAAATTGTCGGGATTTTTATTTTTATTTCTAGTATTGGATTCAATTTATTTACCTAAGAGAAGTATATGGTTTTGTTATAAAGGTGGGACTGAACACTTTGAGGATGGTTGGGGTGGCACGAAGTCATCGGTCAGCGATTGGTCCGTCGCCTTCTATTCTGGTATCTTCTCGTACTCCGGTTGGTAAGTAGATACATTTTTAAATTAAATTTATACTTTGTTTTTGAACACAATTATTTTTTAAATGTATTCTTTCAACGATAATGCTTGAGAATTCAACAGCGACACTTTTCATGGGGAACATTATAAAAAAATAGTAGGTATTTGATCAGATAGCTACTGTTTTTTTATTTTTATCCCTCGCGTACATTTGTACCAAACGAACTACAAAAATAGTTTTAACACGGAAAACTACTAGTGAATTTACTTTTTCGGCCAATGTTAGCTATAGCTTCTTTATGTTTGCGATACATAGTACGCAGTGTGTAACATCGAGATTGTTAACAAAATCAGGTTAATAGGTTAAGACTAGAGCTGGCAGATTGCCTAAGAGCACACCAGGAACTCACGTGATAAAACACGTCTCAATAAATTGGACGGGTTTTTATGCAACGTTTTATGACTAGAGAGACATTTACTTGTCAGCTAGTCTTCGGCTTATAGCATAAAAGTTAGTGGAGTTAGGTAAGGCTACAGGCGTCTACTAGGCAACAAACATAAATACAAATTATTCTAAGAATCTTAAGATAAAAACAACAGGAAATTACGTTTCATTAGTACCTATAGATTTTTTACCAATGAAACATTAAAACAAATGGGTAAACCACAATATTAAAAGTTACTTGAGAATACAGCACTAAGTAAAGGTTACAAATAAGGAAAAACGATAACAAGTGCTTATTGGCTGTGGAAAATAACTCGATACTTACGTGGTTTAGGTATCAATCTACTTCCAGAACAGGAGAAGGCATGGGGGAGTTTTTAGTCAGTAAGAGTCTGACACTCTCTCGCCTTGCCTGGGCGGGAGAAGTCATTAAATGATTTTCCCTTGACAAAAAAGCACTTGAGTTGGTATTCAATAGTGCCTTTATTATTTATTAAGCAGCTGTGCTTCCATTTGAAGTTATAAAAATTGAGAAACTTATTTAAAACTCAGACACTCTAAGGGGCAAGATTGCATCCTATATACTAAGGGACTCTATGGGGATAATTATTCTTATTCTGAGGTCAAATAAGGACGCAAAACAAATCCACAAGACGAAGTCGAAATTACATCCACTGATCAATGAACGTAGGCAACCCCCGATAGGTCCAGCTGGGATTGCGTGTATTATTTAGTGAAGTTTCTCGTCCTTGGTGAGGTGTCATGTTCCTTCCCTGCTCCAGGCCGGGGCCGCGGTACCTTATTGTAATTGACCCACAACCCCGACTGGCGGAGTTGTGGGTTCTAATCATTAAGAGTCTGACACTGCAATCAGAAAATCTCGACGAAGTTTCCAACTTTTCTCTACACAAGTGTAGTTTCAATTTAAACGTATTAGTTTTAGACAAACTTATAGTCGCCGTAAATGTAGAAGCAAATAGGCCCAGCCTTGATATTTGCGTAAAGTTTTGCTTAACTGTTTGCGTATTCAAAGCACGTTGAAGCAGGACTAGGCTGTCTTTTAAAATACTGTCGCAATATTACGTTGTGTAAATCGACTACGTCCGTGTGATAAACGTCTACTTCTTATTTTATTGATTTTATAAGATTTAACACTATTTTCTATTTTTTCGCCTTCTATATTTATTCATATTATAAAGTTTGTATGTAGAGGGTATTCTTAGGAACCGCTGGTTTGATTTCCAAAATTCTTTCACTGATATATAGCTACCATGCTCCCGAGCGCTATAGGCTGAAAAAATAGTTGATTTGCGTATTTTAGTAGAGATATTGCTTCAAACATTGGTGCTTTTCATAAGCGGCAAAGCCGCAAGCGGAAGTGAAATATTACATGTAGGTAGGCGTGTGGTTGTGTAGTATAGCAACTTAGGCAACATAGGCCATACAAAATCAGACACCGTATTCATTACTTAATGTAATTATTCGGACAACCTAAAAAACCGTAGAATCAGCGCCCAGTAGGATGACCCAAGACGTAAGAAAATTACTTTAACTTTCCCATATGTATGAAAGTATATTTAAGCGTGGAAAAGTATTTTAACAGCCGTTACTCGAACACGTTTATTTTCATTTTACACGGTTAATGGAGGATGTGAGGACAATGGAATGTAAATTAAAACTTTAATACACATGTCTGATATCGTATCATTGGATGACCAGTCTCGATTGTCATTGACCGTTCACGAATATGATACGAGCTGCTCAACCATCTGGAAGGGAATCATGTGACCTAATTAATATCCTCTTTGTTAACACCAGCAGAACTTTAGTACTATCATAACAAACTACTGGACGTTAAAGCAGATACCGGTGAAACGACATCGCATTCTATTACGTTTTTGAATATTTTTACTTTGAATTTTCTCATTAGTATTACGCACTCGGGGACTACACGCCCGTATTAAGACAATAGTATCTATTTACATTCACTAACCAACATTTAAGTGGCCACTGCTAAGCTACAGCCTCTGCTAACACGGAGGTTTGAGTATTAATCACCACGCTTGCTCAAGGCGTATTGGTGGTTTAAAGCTACCGATTAGAAATTATAAGTTCCAACAGTTTGTTCCAGATGTTTTGCTTCATCATTTGTGTCTAAAAGTCACATTGGTACTTGCCAGGTTTCGGTCCGCTCATGCATGTTGAGCGGGTAGTCTCTATTAAACATTGAAATGTTAGGCTAACTAGTATCAGTACGGGTCACTGAGCTGTGCTGATTAGAGACGCGGCGCGACGAATGGAAGCTACTATGCATTATCCATAATCATACAAGCTTTGGAACATCGCACATGGAATTAATCCAATTAAATGCCGATCGATGCTTTTAGGTTAATTAGATTGTATTACTGTCGTAACAAGTAACAATAATCTTGTAGTCCTTGGTAGATCCTTGTAAGCTGCAGGTCGTTGAAACAAAAGGGATAGACGAATATTTTATAGTTTTGATGGTCATTAGGCTAAGCTAGTGTAAGAGTATCATTTCCAATTTCTTGTTTCTTAGGAACTACTTGAACTTTATGACAGAAGAATTGAAGGATCCCTTCGTGAATCTTCCGCGAGCGATCTACGTCTCCCTTCCCATGGTGACTGCGATTTACGTGCTGGCTAATGTTTCGTACTTGGCGGTTCTCGGGCCGCTAGGAGTATTGGCCACGGAGGCTATAGCCGTGGTAAGTGTCACAACTGACTAGTTATGTAGCTATATTAATCTGAACTATTACATGGTGTACTACACCATGTAATGCAAAATATATGAACGATTCGATTGCGTCTATATAACACAACAATCAGATATGTAGCTATGTAAATAATGAATTGAATGGCTGTGTAGAGCTTTAAAGTAAGTTCATTGAACTTTAAAAACAATTATGTATTTGTGTGTGATATTTTTCCTAAATTATAGAAAGTAAATCGAATCAGCCATTTTTACAGTGTGTATATAGTTTATACAACACATTGATATTAGAGTATGTTAAGTGTGGGAGAGCCATGCTTCGGCACGAATGGGTCGGCTCGACCGGAGTGATACCACAGCCTCACAAAAAATCGGCGTGAAATAACCACTGCGTTGTGTTTCGCCGTGTGAGTGAGGTTACCGGAGGCCCAATCCTTCCTCTTCCCCAATCCCTCCTCAATCCCTAAATCTCCAAATCCCTAATCCCTAAAAGGTCGGCAACGCACTCGTAACTCCTCCGTTGCGAGTGTCCATGGGCGGCGCTGATTGCTTACCATCAGGTAATCCGTCTGCTCGTTTGCCGAGCTATTATATATAAAAAAAAGCGTAAATCGTTTTAATCGTTTTTTGAATGTGCGTATTGTTTAGGACTTTGCAGCATCTTGCTTGGGTTTCCTACGATGGGCGATGCCCACTCTGGTTGCTATCGCCATTCTGGGAGGTCTGTCGGTGCACATCATGACGTCATCCCGTATGTGCTTCGCCGGTGCCCGCAATGGACACATGCCCGAGCTGTTGGCTCACATCAATGTCAAATGCATGTCACCGATGCCTTCACTTGTGTTTTTGGTAAGTTATCATGCATTTCTTTTCATATAAACATGAAACTGTTTTCCGTATTCTAATGTCAGTAAATTACTTGTCATTCTTTGTTAGGCTTACTTTATTTAGAAACAGGACAATTTGCTTATTATCCTTTAAAATTAACAAACTAAACGTTATTTAGAAGGTCATTTATAATTAGTTACTGGTCTGTACACAAACTAAGTTACGCGATGAATAATGGCGTCGTGTTTAGCCGAAATGTTAAAAGACACTACTTGGGATATTTGCTTATTTGTACATAACTTTATTTGGATGGCTCTCGCTCGAATGTCCATTGCTATAGGAACTAGGAACTATGCGTCATACGATCAAAATACTACATCAATCACTCCCATATTGATAGTACTTTTCCTTTTACTGACATGATACATCGTTATGCACTTCAAATATTGTATCCATTGTGACGAGAGTATTCTGTAGATGGAAGCCTCACTTTTATGTAAACCAATTTATTTTACAACGGATTACAAATGAATATCTTGTTTTGAAATGATGGATTTAATCCTAGGCGGTGTTGTGTTGAATTACATTTATGTAACGCGCTGCTCATATTTGATTTCGTTGTTAGTGGAGATTAATGCTTAACATGTTGTTCATATTTTGGAGCTTTTATCTAATCTGATGTGTTCATCATGTATTACAATTTTGTATGAATATAGGCCAAACATAGATAACGGCGTCAAACAGTTCTGTGAAATTGATGCTCATGGCTGCCTAACTCGCTACAGACTTAACAGACCGATACTATTGTGTTCGGCACGGTAATATAGTGTAAAAATACCACGAAAAGAAGCGTTTTGGAATTGCGGGGTTGCGGGTAAAGTCGCCATAAACGGTCCCGGCTTTCAGCAAGACAGGAAAATCTTCTAAAGTTCCTTGAGATTGGCGAAAATTGTTTCAACTGGGCGAGGTGATCATGGCTATCGAGTTTAGGTTAAGATTTTCTATCCGCTATTAATAATTCGCAAACATTCGATAGTCGATAGAATATTTCAGACGGCCTCTCTGAATTATTATTGTCATCGATTCTTGTGTGTGCGTTAGACGAAATTGCATATTTTTCAAAGCTGTTTGCATATTGGAAGCTTTTTACCTACCTCCCACACCCATTCAGAAACCTTGGGTCATTGCTTCGTCTTTCTTTGTCTAGATGCTGATCTCAATCCTGATGTTAATCCCGGACAATTTGACATCGCTAATCACTTACTGTACGGTGGTGGAGTCCTTCTTTACCACGCTAAGTTGCAGTGCCGTGCTGTGGCTAAGGTACAAGAGGCCAGACCTACCAAGACCTATTAGGGTAAGTGGACACTAAATTGTTTTTATAAACTGGCTGGCTGAAGTGTTACCATGCCATTCACGGCCTCACAAGTACTAGCGTGATATAAACACATGCAACACTTACTCTGGAGGCCGGCTACAACGATTTTTTTTTAAAATACTTATGCCCGGTTTCCGAAAGCCCGTTAAATGTTAAAATCAACTAACTAGGTGTCAAACCTCATGTCAAGTCATCTGATTGGTTGTTGATAATTCAGTCAACCAATCAGATGACTTGACAAGAGACTAAATTGATTTTAACATTGATCGGCCTTTCGGAAAACCGGGTGAGCCATTAAGTATTTTTAAGGTTGCAATAATTAGCGCTTCTTAGACTTCTGCTTCTGTTTTTGTGACTGATGTAATGTAGCTTGTAATTTAGTTTTAGCAACATAAAATTACTCACAATAAACACAGTATTAGTACCATACCATACTATTTTAGTGGCTAGTTATGGCCATCAGACAGATACACATAGTTTGTTTCTTTTTCAAAGTATGTTTGGGTTATTCGAAACGCGTTTCGAACTTTAATGATGATTTGACTCTATATTTCAATTTAAATAATTCCAGGTGCAACTGTGGATGCCGATAGTATTCGTGGGTATTAGCGCGGTGTTGCTCGTGGTGCCGGTAGTAAGCGAGCCGGTGGCCGTCATTGCCGGCGCGTTGATGACCCTCGCCGGAGTCCCCGTGTACTACGGCTTTGTACGCTCTAGGCCAGCGTTTGTCGAGACTGCTTGTAGTAAGTTTTGAGGGATGAGACGTCCCTTTATTTCTACATCCTACATATTCTTTATTTTATTGTTTTTACATTGAGGGAATTTTTGCGTTATCTTCAATAAATGATTAATATCAATAATACGTTTATGTTTTGACTGACAGACGAAATTACTTGACGTAGTGTTTACGAAGTCATTGCAAAGTTAAAATATGGTACCTATGTAAAAATCCATGTGCATCTTCTTGTTTCAGCTAAATTCACCCACTGCTGCCAAAAACTGTTCCTGTCTGCTGTCGAGGAGAAAGAAGAATAGATTTTACTTAAGATAAGTACATAAAATTTGTACCCATTAACGGGGAACTGTACTAACTGAATGTCACACTATTAGCAATAACTTAGACTTTACAGTTTATTGGAGGTAAAGTTGCGAAAACTTTATGTTTAAGGGAGTTTATTGTTCAATAATTATGCTACATTGAAAAAGAGTTCAATCTAAACCTCTGTGGTTTTTGTGGTCCGCCATCACATCTTATATTGGTCGCATTATAAGTTTACTAATAGATATTAAGGAAAACTCTGTACTATAATTCGAGACAACATTGTAATTAAATTACTAACTGAAAAGTGATGTTAACGTCACACTAAGTAAATATTACATTAACATACTATTATAGAATGCGATTAATCGCAATCTATTACCTATAAGCGTAGCGTATAACTCTTTGAAATATTTAAAATATGAAAATTGAGTATGTTTTTGTCGTGCTGTCGTAACGTTGATGTAAGTATAGTAGATATTTTGATTATTAAGTCGTCAGTAAAATATCGTTACTATCTTAAAATGAAACAAGAAAACTTGAGGTAAGAATCCGCATACTTGGCTACAATGAAATTACTCACACATGTACTAAACACGCAATTAAAACCGTCTATCGACATATGTCAATGTGTATGTGTTTGCGTGATATTAATAAAAAATTTGGCCCGACTGTACGTATTAGAGTTAGTTGTAGGTAAAGAGTAGTATTGAAAAACAGTATTCGATATAGAAATTAGCCTGTACAATAGGTCGAAATACTTAACTAATGTATTCGCTAAAAGCTCTCCTTTTTGACTGATATAATAATAAATTGTGATATCTAAAAGTTAATAAGAATTTCTACCTATCAAACTGTCGATTAAAAACTAAAGTATTCAAACTATGGAATTAAGTAATTGTTTAAATTTTATTCGAAAAAACTGTACAGTATTCATAATTATATCTTTGTAAGAGAGTAGCGATGGTAATCTCTTATAGAACAATGGCCATATGATATTCTAATGTACAAAACATTTCTGCAGATTCATAAAATTAGAGTAATTCCATTTATTAAATCGATTAATTACAATAGTAAATACTTGGTAGCTAAAGGCTAAAGGTGGAGCTAAAGTCTCCGTTCAAATGTGCAGGCTTATCTTATGTCGATAAAATTAAAAAAATTCCTAATGGTGCGACTAAAAATAAACAGCGTTTTTATTTTCAAAATTTGGATCATTTGTCGATGTTGCATTGTAGACGTTAGAATTATCGATAAATTTTATGGCAAAATTTTACTAAGTATATTTAACAATGTGGCAAATCGAATTATGGTACAGTACATACACCTTAACTTAGTGCACCACGCTTTAATATTTAGCTTTACATAAAGCATACCTAATTAATCAAAGTCTTCGTAGCGATAAGTGTGAAGTAGTCATTTTATATAATAAGAGGCTTATATTAAAAATAACGTCGTATGTAAATCGAACTGAATGTAACAAAAAAGTTCTGAATTGAATCTATATTTTCTAATGTTATGTTTTTTGGATACCATAAAATATGGCAACGTAGAATTAAGGTTATAGGTACGTGCTCTATATTTCTATACATAATAATCTTCAAATGCTTCATTCATGGTTCTGGATCAGTAAGGGCGTAGCGGGGTTTTAGTAGTATAAAGATCGCTAAGGCGACTTAAGTTAGACACTTAAAAAACGTACGGTGACACACTTCTTTGTGTGTTACGACTCCCCTTCCTTCCCCGGTCCTTACATAGAATACCAACTATGTACTTTAGCAAAATAGTGTTTTATTGTAAAACTCACACGAAGTGTAGACAGTTTCATCTTCAGTTCAGTAGTTTATTTTAGAACTTGGATTTGTGATTGTTGTTTTTTGGCATAAACAACGACTTGTGCCCCTTTTTACGTTGATTGCTTCCAATATTCTACTACGCCCTTAAACTAGTTTTTCATAATCTTTCCTCGTTAGTTTCAAGCATAGTTTACTCTCTAATTCTACCTCAAATTGTCAAATCTCTCAATATTTTCTTACTACGCGTATAAAGGTGGATTTAATCCTACTGTCTACTGTAAGGCACAGTAAGTGCATCAAATAAACGTAAGTACTTACAGTTTGGTATTTTGTAAGACTGAAGTAGATTGACTCTTCGAATAAGTTATACTATAGCATATTTTCTTTCATTTTGTTGATCTAATGTCATTTTTTCCATGTTGTGAAAACTTACATCTAAGGGCGTCTACAAAAAAATACACTAAAACAGTCTGTGCTAAGATTTTTAAACATTGGTCATATAGTAACTAATTTCAATGAATTTGGTTGCTCACTAGATCTTTAAGGTATATTTTGTTAAGGACAAATTGCTCATTGTAAGGTCAGGCTTTTTTCATTCAATTTGCATTCGAAATTTATCGGACTGAAGCTTTTTTGTATGTAATTAAAATTGTGCCTTACAATTTAGCGAAGGCTTGCAGCGAGCTGACGTTCCTATCTCCAACAGCTCTCAAAAATATAACTTTGTAAACTATTTAAAATTGTATCTGTAACGCTCTCTTTGTATTACTATTATATTATGTATTCAAAGTTTAATACATCGGATTAAAGATGAGTCAGTCACATTTTAACACCGTGTAAAAAGAGTATTTTATTGTAAGGATTATAAAAACATTATATACCTAATAATATTTTCGGAGGTTATGTTATTACCTACTGATAAATATCAGTAAACGTTTTTGAACGAGATACTTGTACATAATCTTTGTGTATAAAATTGTATTTACATCTGCTCTTTTTAAAGTAATCTAATTAGAAACCTAAGAATTCATCTGAGTACTTAAACTGACCGTCTATAATATAGAATTGCTGTGTATTGGTGGATACTACTACTCGTACTAGCAATTTGTCGCTTTAGCCAGTCACATTCTAATTAATCAGTAAGTCAATTACTTTAACAAAACCTGCCAGGTGGCAAGGAGCAGTAACCTGCCGTTTGTATGATAGAAGGCAACAGCATGTATAAATATAGTTGCTGTATATTTCTTCGTAGAGTAGTGAGCCCCTAAAAGTATTTGAATCTGTCGGCTGTTGAAGCGCCGCGAGCTGACTACGAGCCGGCGCTCGCCAAGCCCCTTCCTTTCTTATTCCTTTGTACAAATGAAGATCCTTTTTCTATGAAAATGGCTAATCACCAGTGTGCCTGTTACAAGAAGTCAGTAGTGTACATTACATTATAACCTTGCTCTGGCGTGGGGACAAAACATCACAGTTTATTTGTCGTCGATGTCTGCCACAAATATTTGCTTTAATTTTTAATATTATAACTGTGTGGTAACTTGTAGTCATTGTGTATTCAGAAAATGCAGTGTGAATTTAGTATGTAGATTATAAATATTGACTGATGATCGAATACATACGTGGACATGAGGTGCATTTTATAGTTACAGACATAAATATTTAGCTTACCCTTATATTTGCGAATACAGTAGCCGTAGGTACGTGTATCAACTTTATGTAGTATTTCAATATTTGAAATAGCGTTGCGTTTCGGCCGTATCATCGTCGCTGTATAGACGATGCCAAAATTCGTAAGTTAATGTAACAGTGTATTATGAAATATCGAATGAATAACATTATACTAATAATAATTAATATTTAAAGTTGGTTTTTTGTTAGTTATTATCGTTTTGGTTGTGCAGTAACTGTAATGTTATGTAACAAATTTTTGTAAGTATTTAATTTTTTGTTTTATTAATACTGTATTGAATCTCCGTTTGTATTACTTTAGACTGTGCAGAATGTGCAGTATTATGTTCATGTATTTGTGCCAAATATTTTATTTGTTTTGGTTTGTAAGCTTTTTGAAAGTTTTAATAAAAAGTTGCTATAACTTAATGTTTTATTGAACTTATTTCCTAGTGTATTTAATTTTTGTGGTACATTACAGAATAACTTACACAAAATAGGATTAAACCTATGGAATCTTTTTAGAAGAAATGTAACTGAAATAAAAAATGCGTTATGAACTCAATTTATTTACTGCTTCACGTGTCGTGGCGTCGCTGTTTGGTAATCCAGAATAACTAAAGATTCGTGTTACCACAGACCTACGCTTAGTTGGTAAGACTAATTTGAAATTTATTTCGAAACTGTACGAGAGTTGGTTATCTGCGCTCAGTTTATTACTACAATTGTTGCTCCTAACGAGAGCGGGCTAACTGGCAATTAGTTGGAAGGTAATTAGAGCATGCATTATACTTCCAACAGAGGCACAGTGCAGTGCCTTCAGGTGGGCCACACACCCGCCATCATGAATTACGTAGTATTTTTGATAATTGTGCTATGCGCAATGATGGTAAACTCTTCAAAAGAGGTCAGCTCAAATTGTATTATTTTATTAGCTTTTTTCTGATTACGTTCGTAGGTATGGAGTTGGGACAGATTTGGTTTTTTCGTTATCCTGTAGATCTTTCTGCAAGAAGTCGGCGCTCTTAAGATAATTAATATTCAATCAGATAAACTAATGTTAGTAAAATACATAAGGTACCTAAGTGCAATATTTCGGAAATTATATGAAACATTCTTACTCATAGTAGGATTTCGATTTACGTGTTAAAAGTTACAAATGCTATTTAGTTTCAATAATCTTTGTTTGCGGCTGTAGAAATTGCACAATTCTACAGTGCAGAAACGCGGTCTATCACTGCTAGACCAGACTGTTGCTAGAGCAGACTGCTGCTAGCTCGTTACTCGCTCGCTGCCTGCTGCCACGCCGCTGTTTTAGAGAAATTATACTAACGCATATTAGATCCTGCCGCAGCCGCGCCACATCCATCGGCGCTCCGTTTCCCGCAAGATTCGAGGCCGACGCCCTAGCTGTTATTAAAAAAAGTCAATTATAAAATAATAAATTTGTTTACATGTTTTTGCGACTAAAGAAAGAATTAAGATCAGGACGCTTCAACAACCAGTCGGCCCACGCATTCACAACTCCGCCCGATGAAATTCCGCCGATGCTGCCCGACGATAACTTCCAAACAACCACTCTTATCTCCGGTCTCATGCCTGATTCCTTCGGGGAAATGTTCAACTTTCTTGATGGCGACAGTTTTGGCATAGGTCTGTATAATTCAGTTGTAATTAATCGACGCTCCAAAGCTCGTTTGGCCATGTCAAGAGCTTGGATCCTAGAAAAAGCGCAGGTAGCTGCAGTGCAAGCAGGTGCTGCCTTAACCGATGCAACTCTATCGTCAAATACATGAGTGTAATGGAGTCTAAAGAAGAGATAAGGATGGTAATTAGTGATGCTCGGCTCTTTCTTTAGGTACTTGAGTATTCTGCCTACCTCAAGGTGTCAAAGATTGTATTATGTGGGCGTGTACCAGAGTGTACCTACCAATGTTGAGCGATTTAAAATACGTACCTAAATTATGTACCTACCAGAGTCGTGTCTTTACTGCACGGTTTCTGCTGTGCCTGGAACGAGTCACGGGATCGAAACAATTATTCAAAAATTGAGACTAGACTGCATGTTCTTCAATAGCCAGGGACTAAGTCAATGACGCACTCTTTTTATAGTTTACTTAATACAAAAAGACAATTCTTTTTTATAGGTCCAATGCATGAATTTGTGTACGGTTGGCAAGCAATCGTTAATACGATGTCCATGAAAAACAACGTCGAAGTGCGCAAACGAGCCGGTCTACAACGGTTCGCACTAGCTGGCATAAACGGCATCACGCTGGTGTCCCACATAGGAGTTACGGAGATCATGATCAATGGGACCAGGACTTACTGCTTCGGAGGCGTGTCCCGGCCTCCTGGTAGGCGCAGTGTTATTTGTAAGGTAAGGTGGTCTGCAGGTACCTAAACCATGTTTAACTAATCTTGGGTAATTTTAAAGTTATTGAGTGTTTGCAGGGATCCATGTACCAAGAAGGGCGCTTTTCCTGTAAAGTTCCGTATCTACGATACCCATCAGTATTTGGCTACAGATACTGCATTGATAAATATGCAGCTGTCACCTCCATTGACGGGACATATAAAAGTTGGTATTTTCCCTTCATTCCGTTCGTTGTACTTAGATAAAAAGATCTTCATAAACTAAAGAAAACATCGCTCCTTTTTCAGAAACTTACTGCGCCAGAGGAGAATCTTTACCTCAGTTTCATTATGATTACATTTGTGAGCGACGTGATATCAAAATCAAACAAGTAAATCTTACCGATTCTAACGAGAGGTTTAACATTAGGAATCCTATAGTTCGGAGAGCGGAATACTACAGAGCACCTTATGACATATTGAAAGCATGTCCAGATTGGTAAGTCTCTAGTCCCATTTATACTCTATTCACGATTTATTAGGTAGATAGATATGCGGTGGTCAACAAAGCTATTAGCAATCCACCCGGTTGATTGTGTTAGTTCCTAACTTTTACCTATATTATTGTAGGTACGGCTGCAACCTCCAAATTTCTCAAGAAATGTTACACCAAGAATTTCCGACTGGTTTAATGGATGCTAATGAGACTGCTTTCGTTGGACATGGAGGAAAATATTGGTTAGCTCTCTATTACACGCAGGTGAAAATATTAATAAAATATTCCTTCAGAACTGTGTAATTAAGATTCATATCAAATGAATAATCGCTTGGCTTTAAGTGTCTTGCTCAGTCGTCATTAAACTCACTGTAGGTAACTTTTGTCTTTTGTATGGTTGGAAAATCATCGAATAACTAACTTGTAGGCATGGCGGGAGCGGGTCTCAGACTGTAACTGAGTAAAAACCATCCCGATCCTTCTCCTACTTAATAGCACTCATAACCCCGGACTAGCTGTGTGAGGCGTGCGCGGAACACGACATGCAGTCTGTTCGATTCTGTTTCTCGTCGAGCGGCGAGTTACCCTTGCTCGTAGTTGTTTCGAAGAGGGAAGGAGTATGATTTTTGGCTGAGTTCATAAATTGTGTACTAATTTCAGCTCTCGACGTACGCAATTTACTTCCAAGCTCATGGAGAATACCCGTGGCAATCGAATAGACCTATAATGTCCGTCGATAGAGGTAACGATTAATCATACATTCTAACTTTAATTGCACTCATGTATTAAATTGTATCTTAATCTTTTTATAGGTGGAATTTGGGAACAATTACTCAAAGCGAATATTGGTCCAGATATGAATTTGCACTACAATCTCAATGGCATCTATAATAGATTCTCAGGTTCATTATTCCCTGATCTGATGAGGAATGATGGCCAGGTACGCGAACATATTCTTATATTCAGATATATTTATACGGAAGTTAGGTTACTCAAGTAGATACGTAGTTACCTATTTTAAATCGTCCTGTGTGTACCCTTTAGGTGCAACCGTCCAACTTCAGAAGTGAATCCCGTGATGGAGGTCCAGAGGATCTCATTATTGGCAACGCTGAGGGTAACCTCTATTTATCTTTACTACACGATACTTTTGTAAATACTAAAGTTTGCTTCACTTTAAATTAAGAGAAAGAGGGTCAAAAGTATAACAAAAATTCCGTTCACAGGTGGAGAGCCAAATATTGGGCCGCACAAACTTCTGCATGACAGTCAAGTCCAACCGTCATTTGAACATAACAAAAACCTTTAATATAATGTCCGGCTGCGCAGAGAGTTACTTTATAAATTATTTTTTCTTCTTTTATTCGTTTCAATAACCCTACACTAAATGTAAAAAGAACCTTTACAATTTATTTATTTATCGTTGGGTATAATTTGGTGTAGCAAGTAGCAAAGAAATAGCAAACGAACAATAGCTCAGCGGATTAGCTAGCTCAAGTGGCAGTGTTCAGAGCGCTCCGACCTTTGGTACAGGAATCGACTGACTGCGGAGAGGAGAAAAAAATATTTTAATGAAGACGCAGGACATCTTTCCTCCAGGTTTACAGACGACGAGAATGAAGCTTACAAAAAGCCACTTAATACAGGTTCCGTACATACCTACGTAAATATACAAAATCCTATGTTCCTCTGATCCTAAGCTACCTCCCCATCAATTTTCAGGCAAATCGGTTCGGTCGTTCTTAAGTTATGAAAAGTTTAGTAAGATGAGCTGAGTAGGTACCTATTGACTACTTTCCTTTACACAAAACTATGAAACTGACACTAACAAACAAGAACAAGCTTGAGGAAGGAAATTTCTGTACCTATACATATACTATTTATCCTTCTTTTCATTGTTAGGAATATAAACTTACAAAATATAACTCGTAGAGAGACTTCATAAAATATACGCTGCTTGTTCATAATACAAACTCAGAATGATGGTTCCCACTAGTTCCCACTCCAGAATAATAGGTTTTTTTACAGAAGGACTGCTATGTTCAATAGGTTAGGAGACCAAATTAAATACACCTTTAGGATGAAAGTCTAGGTCCTATTGACTGAAATTCGCTTTGCCTAAACCGTAACTTCTGCAAGGTGTAAGTAGGAGGTAGGTGAAATTGGAAAACCATACCGAAAATGATTACCTACTTACAATTGTCGAAACATTTAAACTTTTGTGTTTCTCTTTATTAACTATTTATGTCGGATATTGATTCAAAATATTTATTTTTTAATGATATATACAAGTGTTATTTAAATCTCAATGAAGATCAATAATGTAGGTACTTTTTTTAACCCAAGGAAGGAAATCCTCATTGATCCCCAGCATCCTTTGGAGATTGTCAAACTCTTAGTTTCCGATTTGTAGGCTCTAGCTCCACGGAGGAAAATGTTTTGTGTGCTCGACTGACGCCTGGTTTGCCGGACCCAAGGCTGAACAACACACACACTGCGAGGGCAACAACTACCCTTCTGTACCCTGGTCTGCTTTGCGAGATTAACGAAGTCATGATCTCGGTTTCTCTTTTCCGTTTTAGACAGATGACGAGTGACTGATGTCACGTTATGTACTCCACTAGCGTGTGCCACAGCGTATTGCTTTCCTAATAGACGTATCTAGTAACCTAACTTACACCTTATATTCCCAAAGAACTTTGATAGAATGACAAACGGCCTTCAGCATTTCCCGAGCTAGACATCGAATACTGGTTGAAACAACCCAATGGTGTAGAGGCATGGTGGTAAAGTCGTCGCCACCGTAGAGCCACACCACACACAACCCTTGCTCGATCTCACTCCTTCCACTGATAACGTAAAGTGAGAATATTAGTCCCCAGATTGGGAATCCAACTAGTAACGATGCCGTCCATAAGGTTCTCTTCAAACTGTAAATCTGGTAGCCACTAGGTCGGTCGTTTATAAGCACCGCGCATGGCCATTAATCGTACAATCCCCCGTGTAGCAGTCTACAAGAGGCTCGCGGGCCCCCTTAATTTAGGAAGTAGCGTTAGAACCGCGCCCTTGGGTCGTAGCGGCGCTAGTCGTGGAAAGTGAGACCCCATTTGCAGTGCAGTACCAACACCAACCCCTATCGGCCACAAAGCTTCAACGTTGCAAAGGTGCAAAGATTAATAAAAAAGCACCCCCTTTAAAAAGATAAATAACAATCCTCCCTCCTCGCGTCGGGTTCCTCAATGCTGAGGTCTGTAAGTAAGGTCGGCAAGTATCTGCCGCCGAGTGGAGAGCGTCGTGGATTGTAGTGTTGAGAGTGGTGCGAATCTGATCCGTCCAACGTATCGGACTTCTGCCTCTAGGTCTCTTTTCTTCCACTTTACCAGTGATCAGTAACTTTTCAAAGTAATCATTGTCCCTTCTGGCAGTGTGTCCAAAAAACTCCAGAAGCCTGCGGAGGCATATGGAAGAGAGACTTGTCTGGATCTTAAGCTCCTGGAGGATCGATACGATGCGATGTGCCGTCCAAGGAATTCCTACCATTTTTCGCCAGCACCACATCTCGAAGTCATCAATGCAACCACGGTCGGATTTCTTCAGGGTCCACGTCTCTGCGCTTTACAAAAATATGGAGAACACCACTGTGCGCACAAGATTGCTCTTTGTTTTTAACGAGATGTTCTTGTCCTTCCATACTTTCTGAAGCTGTGCCATGGCTCCTTTGCCATCCCAAGCCATTATTGCTAATGCCTGAGCCCAGGTATATAAAGCTATCAACTACAGTCAACTACTTCTAGATCAAGTGTCCCAGTGAGCTCAAGCTTGCCTGAGTGATCTACAACCATGATCTTCCAAATAACATTATGTATCGTGTATACAAAAAAGTTGTTTTAAAGCAAACAATAAAAACTCATTTTTAAAATTGTCTTTAGTCAAAGAAATTAAAACTTTAGGAAGTAAGTAAATTGATATTTAATAAAAATCTATTTTGAGTACATATTTATCTGGATAAATTTCTAAATTCCCATTGTGAATATTAATTTACAATAATCGAGGAATAATAATTGTTTTATTACCGGTTTTTCCAGTTGGAATTTCCGGTTAATGTCAGGTTTTTCCAAAATTTATACTGGCAACACACGTCTTTCGATTTATCAATTTATCATCTGTGCGCTGCCTGACATCTTTCTTTGTGCAATTTCTGTAGTCTCTCGTGAAAAATCCCGTTATTTCGCTTTCGTAATTCATCTAACAAAGGTATTATCTGTTCGCGAGTGTTCACCGCAATTTGTGGGACATCAAGTAAAAATTAACGACCGTTCCAAGATACGGTGTTATTAATTTATTTTCATTAAAAAATTATCGATTTTAGTCATCTCGACAAGAAGAATTATTGTTTTCATGCTGTTTATTTATTAGTGCCGTCGGGTGACTGGCGAACGAGCAACAATTTTCGGGTCACAGTCCAACCTAAGGTGAGTGGAGTGTATAGCGGGTTCTTCGGAAAAGAGCCAGCCTCTGTCGTATGAGCTCCTTTGTGACGCAAAACCTCAACATCTCTGCGCTCCGATAATTAGCCCAGTCTCCGGAGACATCAATCACCCGCCGTTTTACCGTGATTCGTGACAAGTGATGGATGCCATCCATCAGTGATAAGGTTGTCACAGATTAATTATTAATATTTGATAATGCTGTACTGCTGTGCCTAGCTGCGATGTTGTCTCTTACTACCGCTCATAACATAACTGTATCAATGTAATTTGATACCTATCGCCCTAGCCTTTGCTGACAAAGCCTATTCTAACCTATCTCAATAGTTCTTATTTGACTCTCCCAGACTATAAGACAAGTTTATTTACACACAAGGTTTTCACAATATCTCATAATGAGATTAGTAGGAGAATGTAAATATAATTAGCAACATCTTGTTATTCTAGTAGAAGTCCTTGTTAGATCTAGTGAATTGATTTTGTTAAAAAACACCATCAGCAGTTTCCAGTTTCCAAACAAAAGATAATATACTCATATTTGTCTTATAATATGTTCAAAAGTGATACTAGGTTTGTGGTTCTGAATTGCTTCAAAGGATAACCATTAAATTATGTGAGTTGCTGTCAGAAAACATTGTTTCTTTGATAGAGCTCTAGTATTATCCAAATACTTGATATTTAACTCTTGACAAACACACGGAGAACTACATAGACTGTGTTCTCTGTATTTTAAACTCATGCTTATTGCTAGAAGGCAGTAGTATATTTCTTGATTACATTCATATCACTCGACAATTACTCATATCCCAACCAATAAAGAGAGAATGTTACTTGTTAATTAGACTTTTATAGCAACATACAGTTCTAATTAGTTTTCAGTTGATGATGATGACTTCAGAACTAAATTAAACATCTAGTTAATGGAAAACCAAAGATCAGACACAAATTTCAATTCAGCGGTGATAGTTTACAAGTTCTGCAAAAGACAAAAACCCAATTAAGAAATACTTATAGTCCTGACTACTAACAATATTTTCATTGTTATTTTTTATATTCTAAATTAATATCAATAAGTATATTGTTTCATGTAATCAGCAATGATAGTAGAAATAGGCTTTATGTATTGCAACTTTATTGATTGCTACATTATTGTCATGGCAATTGTGTGAAATGGTATTACTAACATTTTGATTGCCATGTTTTATAACACTTTTTGCCTTTACAGTTAATATTATATTTGAAAATGTTTGCATTGGATTCTTGATATTGATTGCAATAGTGCAATCTATTGTATTAATAAACTGTTTCCCTAATGATTTGTGTGATTCACAATTATGATTGCAATTTTTGAATAGTAACTATTGTGAGACATACCTACAAAATTTATTTTAAATAATGACTTATTCGCATAAATAAACTGAGCTCTACTAGTTTTCTTATTCATAATAGCAGCATGCATATCGCAGTGACATTGTGCAGCCAACCAGTAGAGCTTTTCTCAATTTTTTCATCAATTTAAAGCAATTGATAATGCATTCATAGTTGATGTGCATGACAGATATCAAGCTGTTGTAGTACAAACTCTATATACTTTAATATGACATCAAGATTTGTACATTGCCATTACAACTGTCTAAAAACTTGCTATTATGATTTGTATTGAAATGTTTTATCTTTATAATTGCTATATTATATGATGAATTAATTAACCTGAATATTTTAATGACATTCATTCAGTATAGAATGTATTGGCAGGAGCCATCAAAAGTGTAATATCACAAGGAAAGTATGTAGCATCATATTTAATACTAAGATGCTCCAATAAAAGAGATTACCATCCATAATCTAATTATCAATATCACTCATTTGATGGCTGATCACATTATCTAACATCAGTACTATACATAGGAAGCATTGTAATAGTAAAAATATTTTATAAAAAAACTAGATTTTTATAGATTTTGAACAAATACAAAATATATTGTTTATAAGCAAGTGTGACAATGACATAGTACACACTAAATTTATAGTTAAATTATGTTATATTATTTCTTTAATAATATATTTTGGTTTATTTTGTTTGAAACAATCGTCTATTTGTTTTAATGGTTAAATCTAGTGTATTTTTTCTATATATTCTACTTGAAAGCAAGAGGCTGGTTTGACTCATTCATAAAAAAAACAAGATTCACTAGGTTATCCACTAGATAAGCTAACTGCTGATAGCAAATTAAATGATAGTGAAACAACAGCAGTTTTTTATTTCACTGGTGATGTATAAAAACCTCTTATTAGTTGTTGCTCAACTCCATGAATTATTTTTGTCGCTCATATTTTTATGCATAGCGAAATTGCTTCCTGATTGAAACTCAGCTATTGATCGCACTGATAGAAGTTCCTTAGTAAAGACTGTTCTTTGATTCATAACACAACCTATTATCTAATAAAAAAGAAGTACCCCATACTATTGTTATCTACAACCATTGTATCGATGCTATGTTATGGTTTATTTCTCAATTTTTTTTTAAAGCAGTATGATTATTTTTCTAGGAGAATTGTTTTAATATTTTTATAATGAATTGGTACCTATTTAAAATTAAAATTTTGGGCTAAGCTTATAGAATCGTGTAATATGCAAATACTGCAAGTATTTAATGACATTGTTAAGAATCACATGGATAAAATATTTCTATAGAGTATGGTAGAACTGACTTTATTTGTCATAAACAATTATGGATTTTGTGATGATATTTGGGTTACTTAGCAAATTTTTTTGCTAGATATTTGTGGTTGTAAATTTGTTTTTTGTTTTGGCGCAGAGTGAGCCGTGTCTTGGGGAAAAAGCACACCGGGCACTACGGTGGCCCCAGATACACCGGCCCCAGCGCCCCAGCCGCCCGGTAACGTGAATTTTTAATTTTTATATCATTTTAGATAAGCATTCACATAAATTATAATGGTCTTCATCACTCAATTTACATTTGACGGATATTTGGGCATGTTAAAGCCAAAAGGAAGGGTTTTCTATCTCAACTCTATAAGTACCTACATTTTATATGTAAGTTCCCCTTATGTAACAAAAAATCGCAATGTCTGAGGCAGTAAAAGGATAAAAAATACCACAAAGTCATACCACGTACTACGCGATCTAATTACTGTATATCGTTAACAACAATATGTAGGCAAACGGTAATAATCCGATAATGTAAAAACCAATGTATTTTAAAACAGGAAGTTACATTGACCTTGTATGAACTCCGTATACTTATATGCATTGTTAACGTTTCATGCCAAAAAGTAGAAAATGATTTTTAGACTTAAATTCATTTACGGAAGAAAGCTTTATTTACAGACGACAGTCTTTGTTTTGCGGTACTAGGCAAACGGAACGGGACATCCACTTAGCTTTTTATGCGTTTTTAATTTCTGACGCCACAGAAGTGGTTTCTGTCGAGTGATTCTTTATTTGAAGTGACTTACTGCGTTACTGTCGCAATAACTAAATAAAAAAAGGAAATAATTTAATATCACTCATGGTTTTTCACAAAATGCCGTTAGTTCTATTGTCGTGTCCACAATCTAAGTAAAAGGAAACTTGATTAATTAAATTGCCCGAGCCGCACACCGAACCGCTTACTTGTTTTTGTCATCTATCATTGCGAGCAAATTTGGAATATTCCGTCCTTGACCTATCCTAAGTGTTCAAGTTGGCACGAAACTTAACTTGCATACTAATGTAAACATGTCATTGTAAGTAAATTGCTATTAGCTACAATTTGTCTTACTATATCTTTCTGGTAAAATGTTAACTTTAAGCAGCTGTGTCGTCAAACCGGAAATCGTCTAGAACCTTACGTTTGGCGGCCGCTGTAGTGAGCACTAATAGGTAGTCTGTTCGCTAAAAATACTCGTAGCTCTGAGCTTGCCGTGTGATATTTTTATTTAAAATGCTGCAGTCGCAGCTTAGGAATTTCATGAAATACTAGAGAATTAGCACTTAGTTAAGGTATGGGATGAGAACTTTCTATAGTTTTTTCGCTTTGTCGTGACACGACTTGATACGGTACGAACATAACGGTCCAAGTCTATGGTAATAAGGTTTACGGCGACCCGATTCACTATGAATCTATAAACGAATATTACGTACTATTCACTGTTCACTACACCTTCGATCCATGTCATATCTGCCGATGACGCAACCCTGCAACATCGTACGATCAATGGTCTTCGATATTATGAAATCCTAGTCCGTTTACCAGACCATGGTCGCACATAATTTTTGACGATTTCATCTAAATTTGTAAAGGTACAACCAATTTAGACATTCTGATCAAAGACGAAGGTTGAGAATTTACATGTAATATATGTTGTTGATTCTGCTTGCGTTTAAATAAAAGTTGTCACCTCAAAATATAATTTGGGTAATCATCGGACTTGACTCCCAGTGTTATTGACCCCAACAAACATTATAAGAATTAGCTTTAGTGGAAACTGTACTTATTTTCTGAGCTTCTTATTTATTTCAAGTAATATTTATCTTTTCAATTGCCAAAAAATAAGATTGAATTGTTTTAATTTCCATAAATCAATTTAGTTAGCGACGGTACTAAATAGGTCGAGTGGAGTGAAATTGCTTGCTCGCTTTTTCAAACTATTTATATCTTGAAGTGGAGTACGAATGTGAACATCGTAGGTGCGCGCTACCTGGAGACAACAAACATTTTATTGTATTTATTTATTAGTTTGCGTAGCTTGCTTTTTACAATTTTGATTTTGTTTTACTTACCTGCTATTTCCAAGAAACGGCCACATCACATATACATAGTTGGTTTCTTTTTAAAATTATGATGGCCCCTCTCGTCTAGCGTTACTTTAGGTGGCAAACTTTTTAAAGCCAAATTTTTTTCGTTATTTTAACTTCATGGCTCACGATTTCGAAAATATCGAAAAAATAAATCAGTTACTGTGATCGTAAATGCTCGGCAGACTGAAGCTGCTGGAAGCCGGAATACAGAAATCTGTGTGGTCTGTTCTGAATTCATTCCCATTCGCAGAAAATTAGACGGAGCTACGTCAGTTCCTAATAAAAAATGAAACATTTTCGTCAGTTGTATGTATGCAGTAAACACTGATTATTGCTTATATTAAATAGTGAGAATGATTGTTGAGGGACAATCAATAAAGTGAAGTCGCTGATGCGTTCATCTGTGTGGGCAGTAAACTCAGACAACAGTGTTAGCGCGCTGGACCGTCAAGACGGCCGTGGGCGGCGCGCGACGGCCCTTTACGTTGCACTCTAAGCGACTCAAGTGTAGTATGTACAATACATAAAAAAATTAAGTCACTCCCAGCGTGATCTCGGTGTCGATGTCGTAGTCTCCGCTTCAAGTTGGTGCATTGTCGTACGGATATTATGATGTCATTGTTTTGAATATATCACCGAAAATTTACACATTGAGCTAACATTATTTCTCCAATAAAATACTATTTAGCCTTGAATTTAACGCGCTGATTTATTACCCATCAGTAGAGCAATATGGCTTTGCATCAGCCAGTATTAAAATAATGTGGTTCGTTGCAATAATAATAAAGTCGTGTTGTGATTAATGTATTTATTTAAGATTTAAAATTGACAATTTGTTATTGAACTTGAATTCTAGTTCAAATGAGTCACATGAAAGCGATAAGCGATACCTTAAGTTTGTGCTAAACGTTTCCTCTAAATGTGTGTGTAAAAATACCTCGCTTACGCTTATTCTGAGCTAGACATCGCTGAAAATACTCACAAGTAATCGTTGTGCGCTCTGTGTAAACTTCCATGACTGGACACCATAAGTCGTTAGGCATGCCGCATGGCCCATGCTAATATATTGTTGAGTAAATATCACACACATTTCACGGTGAATAAGTGCTGTAGTCATTAGCAAGGAGACTTCATTGGCTTATGTCAAGGTTGGCGTAACGTGATGTGTGACGTGTGACGACGGTGACGCCATAAGCTGATTATTCTATGTAGATTTCTGATGTTTTGTTATTAAACTTTGCCGCTATACAAACAACAAAAGTCGGCCCAGCACAGATAAGGATGATAAAAAATACAATATATGTGAGACCAAAAGTAGGCCAATGTGTCATACAATTTCATAACAAAGTAAATTAATCAATTAAACATATAATTTCGGAAAAAATAAAAAAAATAACGTTCATATAATATTAATAGTACCTGCTTATAAATGTGATTGTAGGTGAATCGAAATGTTTAAATTGTCTCTTTATCAGTTTCATGTATATTAGAAAAATAGTTGAGTAGACTAAAATATATAATCCGTTAGGGCCGCATAAGTGGTATCAAAGAGCGATTCATGAAACCATCAATGCCCAGTAAATTATAAATTTAGTTGTAGATTATTGAACTTTAAATATGTTCGCCAAAAGTTATAGAGTTAACAATCATATTCCATTAGCGCCATGGTTGACAAGGAGATAAGGTAGCGCACAGTATTATTTATACTGCACAATACACCAGATAAAGCGGAGTGGACATGAAAGCGCTGATTGTGCCTCGCGTTGCGGACAGAGGAGCATTGATTGGAACACGAGCCAGGAGGCCAGGTCGGCCTGTGTGGCTCCGTTCCCTGCACACCTTTGTTTGCCACGACCCTGATTATTCATCGATCCGCATTCTGTTATTGTTCTAATTAAACAGTCATGACCTTTTTGTTTACTGTATTGTTTACTCGTATATCCTCCGTCCAATGCAATGTTTGTTAATAAATAATAATATCAGCTCTTTTGTTTTATATTGTTGGCGAATGTAATTTGGTCCAGTGACGCGGTGAAAGGCATCCGCACTTGACTGGAAAATTTAAACATCAAAGTAATCTATTTTATGCCACGTTATGAATTTTGCGTTATAATAAAACTTTTTTTAAATTGAGTAATAACCACAATATACAGTCAGCTGATGACTGGGGTTCCGTACAAGTAAATGAACCCCAGTTTGAGGGCTTTAGTAAACACAACAGTGAACAAATACTTAGTAAATATATTTGATGAACAGTGGAAGGGATGCGGCGCGTTACTGCACGCTTCGACTAAGTCCTCGACGTAAACAGCCGTTTCCTCTCGAGGGCTCATGATTGATCGCGATACGAACTGCCAATAGCTATGACTGATGCACGTGCGTCATCTAGTTCACTCACGGCAGGAGAAGGTTCGTAAGTGAAGTGGCTAGTAATAATTACTTTAAAGCTTTTAAATGACTTTTTGGAAACTTTTCGTGCAACGAATATTACAAAATGCAAACTTCCCGCCCTTTTGGCTTAGTACCTGAGTTAGTAAAAGATAATTAAATGGTCTAGTTTTTAAAACGTCCCACTTATAGTCGTTGTTTTTGTTTGTCCACAGGGGTGCTGGAGATGACAGGCACAGATAATATACGGTTTAGCGGGTCAACGCTAGACAAAGCCACCAAAGCCAAGGTCACCTTAGAGAATTTTTATACAAACCTCATCACACAACACTTAGAAAGAAAACAGAGGTATGTACGTCACGCCAATACCGCTCTGTTTCTCTAAAGAATCCGTAGTTAAACTTATCTTTGCTTTTTCCTCAGGCTCGAAAAATTAGAAGAGTCTCTTAAAGATGAAAGTCTTACAGAGAGCCAAAAGAAAGAGAAAAGACAGCAACATGCCCAGAAAGAGACCGAGTTCCTTAGACTCAAAAGGTCGAGGCTCGGCGTGGAAGACTTTGAACCGCTTAAGGTACGTCCACTCAAGTATTCAATCGAGGACCATTGTCGGGCAATAGGAAGATGTTATTGACCACATGTGCGAATGTCTGACCGAACAATCGCAAAGTGGGGTCATAACTCGTAGGTCTTAATGTATGCTAACATAATAACGTCTGACTGCCTCGTTGTCCCGCAGGTTATCGGACGAGGAGCATTTGGAGAAGTACGACTGGTGCAAAAGAAAGATACAGGACACGTTTACGCAATGAAAATACTCAGGAAAGCTGACATGTTGGAAAAAGAACAGGTTTGTAGCGATAATGAAAATGACAGTGGATGGTATGAGGGGTTGTTACCAGTGATTGACAGGTAGTCCGAGGATACAATGCATGCTCTAGTAGTAGTCAGTTGTCATCTACATAACTTTTTGTAACTTTTTTGTTACTGTGTCAGTTTACCACAAAATTACAAGTATTCATTAGTTTTCATACATAAATGTTGATTTAATGCGTATTGATCGCAGTAGAGTCGGGTATTGTAAAAGGCTTCCTTTATAAGTAATGCATGATGAGAGGCTAGACAGTAGCCAGTAGACACGCAATGCCATTCTCAGTCCCTTTACACAAGTAATAACATGTTATTTCCTTGTCAATTATTGAATGCAACGTAGGAACGGAATTGTTAGATAGCGACAATAAATTGTATGGAATCGGATGCAAGTAACATGCTCGATAACTGACAATAATGCCAACTATTGCCAGTAAATGTAAATTCACTATTTCATTTAAATGGAACAAATATTATAATTTACTGTTATTGTATTCCTTCCGTTGAGTGTTTTTTATTGCTACGATTCCGTTATAAATACATATCTGACCAATACATATTTCACGACATAATAGAAGTGTTCTTGATTCCAAATTCTTTTAACAATTGATATCTTATATGGTTCTGTCGTATCGCAGGTAGCTCATGTGCGTGCAGAACGTGACATCTTAGTTGAAGCTGACCATCAATGGGTTGTCAAAATGTACTACAGTTTCCAAGATCCCATGAACTTGTACTTGATCATGGAGTTTCTACCTGGTGGCGATATGATGACGTTACTCATGAAGAAAGACACCCTCAGCGAAGAGTGCGCGCAGTTCTATGTGGCCGAGACGGCACTCGCGATTGACAGTATACACAAGCTGGGCTTCATACACAGGTAAGGTCTTACAATTGTATTCTTGCAGCCTGCTGTATGCTAATGATAGATTTGCCTTTAATTATCCTGATGGTTGGTCGGTGTGTGACGAGGTGTGAATGAGCTTGATACATGTGTTAGCGGATCGCAGGTATAACATGTAGGTTTCATAGTTTGTAAATGATTTTTACAAAGGATCAATAGACTAGCAAGTTTTCTTTTAAAATTTAAGGAAAACTCTTGATTTGTTTTCATATTCCGTAACTCAAGCCAAATAATATTTTGAAAAGTATGGTCTCAAGCGTCTATTCACTTAGCCCTGTATTTGGTGTAATTGACTGATGACCTCCACAAAACCTTTCAATCTCTATTTTTTTATTTTTTATTAAAATGATTCGTGTTCTCTGGTGTATCATAATATTGTGTTGATCGTTTTGTTCATTCACATCTACCAGTTTATAGTCTTTATAAATAAAAATTGATTTGACTTTGACATTCGCAATCGATTCCAAGGTCATTACTATCCGCTATTGGTGCATATACAATATAATGATGATACTCAATACATATAGTAGTTAGATTATTAGTTTTAACAACGCAGTAGTAGGATTTTTTTGTCATAATTTTAGTAGCGACAAGCCACTAGTTTAGTGTAAGTTCGTGTTTCTCAGTTGTATTGTAAATCGATTACCTAAACTAAGTAGAGAAATCATAGAGAGTACTCGGTTTGTAAAACATGTCCGCTCATCCTTTCTGGGGAAACCAGACCAGACATATAATTGTAGTGTTTTTGCTTGTAATAAAAGGTATTAACGCGTACCCACGCTTGCGATAAAGGTCTGTCCTCACGCACAGATCGTTGAACCGGATGATTGCACTGTCGGCCACTGAGCTAGCGGCTGTTTACCCTGCTATTAGGGACCCTCATTGTTACCTAACATAACGACGTGTTTTATTAATAGACACCTGCCGCTACGTCTATGACAATAAAGCTATATTATATCAGATATTTCCCTGTCTTTCATTCGCTACCATTCTCTTGAAGTATCCATCACTAAAGTGTACAGCCGCGATGAATAACAGTTTCTTCTAAATTTTAACGCGAACTCCAGTCGTAAGCTGCGTTGAACACGGAACGATTTGGTTTGATCGTGTTTCATGCATTTTTTATAACCGCTACAGATTGATTTACACGGAGGGCAGAAATAGTGTATTATTGTCATGTCATGATGTAACCTCGATTGTTAATTCTCAGTAATTTGCGTAATATGTACCATTTATTTGGAACGTTAGTAAGCACGTTGATTTCTTAAAATGCTGTACTGATGATCCTGTGTGTCTCTGTTATTATTTTTTATGGAAGGAAGTGAAGGGGTCATCGTTCGAGTGCCGTGAGAGAGTAAGGGGTTATGTACACATTAACTAGTCACCTTCGGCTTAATTTAAACTAGGCCACATAATAATAAGCCGTTTTTATCGACTGTTGTTCAATATATAAAAATAATTTACTTAACATCATAAGACGTACGATATTTCTATTCTTATAAAAATCTAGGCTACATCTCGCACACTTGACATCGTCGCCGGCTACTACTGGCGCTAGGCTAGTTGACAGTACAAAGGCCTCTCACTTCTTCGACATGACTTACAAGGGCGGGCCGGCAATGGTGTCTCTAATACTATTTCCTTCGTAACGTAGATAGAAAATACCTGGAACTACACTCGAATGACTATGTAGTAGGTCGTTCATAACTTAGAGTTTGCTAATTATATTATCGAGGTACTTAACAATATTAGCTCTAGCTGCCTAGGGTGCGGCACTCCTTGTCAACATGACATCACGTTTATATTGTCTATGAAAGAAAAACTTCCGTATACTTTAGATAGCTTGTGTTATTGAAACGGCTGAACCCGATCATTTATTACTGCTCATCTTAGACTGATACAGTCTATTTTATAACATAGTTCATACGGACATATTATATCCTCGATATTATATGCTGATTAGAATCGTATCTGTAACTAAAATGTTGGTTGTAAATGTTCGAAGATGTATATGTAATTGTATGAATCGATTTATTTATTCAGTTCTATCCGCTGTGCTCTAAATTGAAAGGGGAAGAAGATCATTTTAAATTAACATGTGCATTTTGCAGTCATTATTCTATTAAACCATCGTCATAGTAACTCTTTTACTATATGCGGAAGATGTACTGGGCACAACGTAGTATAGCTAATAGTCAACCTATTTGTGGCTGCAACTGTATTTTATTTCATTTAATTATTTAAACATTTTGGCATGACCCTACGTTTTATTCGTATTGTTTTAATATGATAACTTTCTAGTTCATTGTAATAAAATATATACCAAACATCGCAAAATTAGCTAAGTGAGGTGCCGGAAGGGTTTTGTGAGAGCGGTATCAGGAAAATTGTTATTTTACATCCGGTACAGCGCTTGATCATTACCATAGATACGCTTTTGTTGAGAGGAAAAAAGGTTATCTGATTATTGGTTTGTTGTCAATCTGATCTCGGCTATTGTATCTACTTAACAATGAAAATATGGCTACATATATTTTATATGTAGATACAATACCTTTACAAAAGAAAACTGAAAGGAGGTCGTCTGTCATCTTGTAAACATGAGTGCCACGCCACCTGGAAAGACTGAATGAGATATTATATAGGCCTTGCTTAGATTTAAGTTGAAAATACTTTATTTCGAACCTATTTCTATACACTTATGACAATAAGGCACTTCATAAATTATTACAGTTTAAAAAATGTTTGTGTATATTTTCAGAGACATAAAGCCTGACAATTTACTACTGGACGCGCGCGGCCACATCAAATTGAGTGATTTCGGTCTCTGTACCGGCCTCAAGAAGAGTCATCGCACAGACTTCTACCGGGACCTATCGAGGGCAACACCCTCGGATTTCAGTAAGTTGATACCTTTATTTACTAATAAACATATTATAATCACATTACTCATGACTTCATAAACAATTTATAAACACACTTTTGTTGATAAAACGCTGTTAATTTTGTTTATTTCTTAACATCCTGCCACATCACCCTGTGCACGACATTAATTTGACACTCATTGATATCAGAAATAACTTAGTACTAATACAATGTAGTGTCATCTCCATATTTCCTAGAACAATGTATCCATCTTCATTATTACCAAATAAATACTTGACTTGACAGCGGTTTATTGACACTGCCCTCAGTTGCTTACCCATCAATTTAAGTTGCTCAACATCGACCAGTATTAACTGGTCAGCTTATAATGTGGGGGTGTTAGGTTTGGGTTGATGAAATAAAACTAAGTTTATTTATCAAATAGCAGAGGTGGAATTTATTATTTTACTTTAGGAGGTGTGTGTTGCCTGAAGGCGTTAGCAGAACCGAAAGAGGGCGAGATGCAAACATCTAAGTGAGGGTTAGCTGGCCACTTAAGGCACTTATAATAGTGGCGTGAGAATAATGAGTAGATTGATTTTTGTTATTCCAACACGCCCGCTCAAAAATTAATCTAAAATAAAATTAATTACAAACATAGTATCACACACCATCCTTTATCTGGGGTACAATCATTCAATGGTCCAACATTCGTTGCATAGGATTAGGGAAACCCAGAAAAACCTAATCAGACCATGTTATACTTATTCAAAATCTTAACCTAGTTAAGTATTTAATACTATAGATTTTATTCATATATAAAATATATTGTAATCTATTCTAGTCCCAATTTCTCTCTCAACTGGGAGAAACGAACAGTGGGTAACTGTTTCGTTAACACATCAGCCAACTGGTTACCTGTGGACACATAAATTATTTTAATAACATTTTTCTCAACTTGTTCTCTAGAGAAATGATATTTGATGTCGATATGTTTTGACCTTTTATGACATGTCGGATTATTTGCAATGCTTATGCAACCACTATTGTCCTCATAAATAGGAATCGGATCCAGTATTTTAATGTTTATACTGGTTACTAAAGACTTTAACCTTCTTAAAAGCTTCTTTTACGGCCTCAAATAGTGCCATGTACTCTGCTTCAGTACTAGGAACTGCTACTGTTGTTTGCCTTTTTGTTGTCCAACTTATAGTGCATTGCTCAAATAAGTTAAACAAATAACCCGTAGTACTTTTTCTATCCACTTCATCAGAACCCCAATCAGAATCAACATAACCACTTAACGGTATTTTATCTGAATTGCTCCGACGATAAGTCAATTTTAAATCAAGCGTCCCTTTTAAATAACGAAGCACTCTTTTTAAGTGTGACCAAAGTGCATGGTTGTTTTTGTTAGCAAATCTACTCAAGACGTTTAGACTATAACTCAAATCGGGTTGAGTGCAAACCATAATGTAAATTAAACATCCGATAAGGTTTTTACAAGGGGCATTCATTGTTTCACACGAATTTAAAGCTTCGTAATCAACTTTAGTTTCAAGTGGAGTACTGACATGTTTACAGTCACTCATGTTAAATTTATTAAGGACTGTTTCTATATACAGTTTTTGGTCTAAAGTTATTTTGTTATTGCTTCTTTCAATTTTAATCCCCAAGAAACACTTTATTTCTTTCAAATCTACCATTTTGAACCTTTTCATTAAGTATTGTTTAAAGGTGTTCATGGTTTTGATATCTGCCGTTGCGATAACAAGATCGTCAACATATAAAATCACATAAATGTTTTTAGAAATATCACCTGCATGTAATATATACAGACATCGGTCAGCTGATGAATATCGAAAACCTTTTTCAATCAAGACTTGTTCGAACGTTGCGAACCAACAACGTGCTGATTGCTTTAATCCATATAACGACTTATTTAATTTACAGACCAAGTTGTTATCTGTACATGGGATTCCTTGTGGTACTTTCATAAAAATCTCTTCCTCAAGTTTCCCATTTAAAAATGCCGTTTTTACATCCATATGATGCACTAGCAATCTATACTGATTTGCGAATGCTAAAATAAATCTGAAACTTGCTATTCTTGCAACAGGTGCAAACGTCTCATTATAATCAATAAGATATTCTTGATTGAAACCACGAGCTACTAAACGCGCTTTATATTTTAATGGTTTTCCAGATTCATCATTTTTAATAGAAAATACCCATTTACAATCAATGATATTTCTGTCAATAGTTTTTGTACCAGGGTCCAGGTTTCATTTTTGAGGAGTGAATTAATTTCCTCTTTTATAGCACTTTCCCATAAATGTCTATCATCCCTGGATTGGATTTCATCAAAAGATCTAGGTATAGAACATACTAATGATTGTGCATGCAGCAAATAATTATTTGATAGATCATCTTTACTGTCATCATAACACACTTTAGGTATGTTTTTAATCCTTTCACTCCTTCTTAGATTCGGAGATGTTTTATCATCTTGAGATATTGTCAATTCATTTGGAAATGCAGAGTCTGAGTACACATCTGTTTCACTTACAGATTTATTAGATGGTGGATCTAATGACATAGGTATTTCGAACGTTTGTCTCATACAACTATCTGATTTCATCTTATCAGATTTTTGCACCTCCCAACCATTGGAGTGCCCGTCAGATTTAATGGAATTTTTACTCACAATTCCTTCAGGCTTAACTGGCCTACTTGATAAGAAATTAATCTCATCAACTATTACATCTCTGACTTTCACAAACCTTTCGTCTACCAGTAACCACACCTTATATCCATTTGGTTCATATCCAACCAGGATACCTTTTGATGACTTTTCATCAAACTTATGTCTTTTTGTCTTATTCATAAAATAAACAGTTGAACCAAAGACTTTCAAATACTTAAGTTGCGGCTTTTTACCATGCCACAATTCAAATGGTGTGTTATCAACTCTCAGTGCTTTTGTGGGTGTGATATTTACTAGATAAGTAGCAGTTAACACAGCCTCACCCCAGAATGTTTTCTCTAATTTCGCACCGGACACCATAGCCCGACTGCGTTCCGTTAATGTTCTTATCATTCTTTCTGCTACACCATTCAAAGCTGGCGTATGCGGCACTGTTAAATGGTAGCTTATACCTTTTGTAACACAGTACTCTCTCATTTCTTTCGATAAATATTCACCACCATTATCACAATATAAATTGACAATACTCAGGTTAAAGTGTGCCATACTTTTTGTTGCATAATCCCGAAAAGCAGTAAAAACATCTGATTTATGAGCTAATAAGTATGTTGCACAATAATGAGTAAATTCATCGACAAAAACCACAAAATAGTTTTTGTTGTCAAGTGTCGAAGGAGTGACGGGACCCGACACACACATCGACATCTGTGTGCACCTTAAATAGTGGTCGTTTTGTTACCTTTGGCTTTGATTTGTTAAATGGTAAACATGCTTGTTTTCTATAAATACAAGCTTCACATAAGTTGTCACATGGCTTAATATGACTTATTTTCTCTATATCAGAAAACATTTCTTTATTCTTTATTTGCTTAAATTTTGATTTACTAATGTGGCCTAAACGTTGATGCCACAGTTCATAGTTATTTACGACTCTATTTAAAGAACACACAACAGACCCTTCAAGTAAAAAGTTAATTCCAATTAAATTGTTCAAACACTCACCCTTTGTTACCAATGTCTTACCCGTGTCGAATGTTTGTACGCTTCCATCTTTGCCAAAAATAATTGTCATACCAGCTTCTTGCATTTTCTTTACTGAAAACAAGTTGTATGGAATATCTTTACAGAATAAAACATCCTGTAATATACCTTTTAATCCCAAGTTACTAATAACCGGTAAGTTTCCCTTTCTTGTAGCCTGTATGTAAGTACCGTTCTTCGCCACGGAGATATTTACTGGTTTTTCTCTCTGTAAACTTTTCCGCTAAATCTGGCCTGTTGATGAAATGGTCTGAAGCGCCAGAGTCCAGCACAAATGTAATGGTTTCTTGGTTATTACGTTTTATGGCATTTGCTCCTACCATAAATGCAAATCCGGATATGTTTGGATCAGTTGTTTCAGTATTCACTACTTGTATTGTTCGATGGTATTCAGGCTTTTGAAACCGTTCAGTTGCCATCTTGTTGTAATAACAGTTTTTCATAATGTGACCTTTTCTTCCACAATGGTGACATTTCACGTTTTTAGATTTATAATTTCTTTTAAATCTGTTATTAAATAATTGTTGACCCCGTTTCTGTTGATGATAGGTCGCATTTGGGAATTTATTTATTTTTGAAAACGACGTAGTTTTAGCTTGTAATACTTTTAAACTTGTGTCTCGATTTTCATTGTTTAGTTTAATTTCGTGGTCTAGCAATCTAGTTTTCACGAACGTCAAGTTTAAATTTTCTTCGGCTAAAGTTTCGATCGCAGTAATAACACTATTATAAGAGTTGGGTAGTGTCATGAATAAATGCGTTATTTTATCGTTCGTTAAACGAGAACGTTGCTCCCGCCGATACTAGTTCGCATATTAAATCATCAAAATTTTGAAAATGCTTTACTAATTGGTCTTCTTTAAACTTCATATTGAGAAGTTGTTTTCTCAAAGTTAACTGATTAGATGTACTTTTTCGCTCATATATCATATCTAATTTATTGAAAATGTCTTTAGCTGAAAATTGTTCAGTAACTAAACCGAGTAAAGTGTCTGATAAATATTCTACCAAAATATTTTTCGCTATTTTGACACTTTTAATCCACTCAGTATTAGGTTCGTTTGGCAATTCTTCATCAATTACATGAAGTACATTACGTTCACTTAATAGATTATGAATTCTTAATTTCCAAACACTATATCTTGCACCGTCGAATTGTTTAATGTTCCGTTTTAAGTTGGAGCTGTCCATTTTCACTGATTTTAATTTCACAGTATATTTATAAAAATAAAGTCACTTAAAATTTATTAATTGTCTTTCAAAAGTATTTACGATACTTCTAGTAATTATTATTTACACTGTACTTTACTGCACTGCACTGGTGCACTGGTGCACTGGGCCCATAACCTGTTAGGTTTGGGTTGATGAAATAAAACTAAGTTTATTTATCAAATAGCAGAGGTGGAATTTATTATTTTACTTTAGGAGGTGTGTGTTGCCTGAAGGCGTTAGCAGAACCGAAAGAGGGCGAGATGCAAACATCTAAGTGAGGGTTAGCTGGCCACTTAAGGCACTTATAATAGTGGCGTGAGAATAATGAGTAGATTGATTTTTGTTATTCCAACAGGGGGCGCGGGTAACGCTCGCTTCGCTTATATTTCGCTTCGCACTGCTAACGAGACGTGTTCTCGGAAGTATAAAGCTGCTGCCGCAGCTGCTATGAAGAGGATTGGACGATGGGTATCATGTGCAATCATTTAGAATATTAATTAAGTGTTTATTACCTTTTTTTATTTAAGCTCTACACTTCAATTTCTCGTATGCAGTATCGACGTCGTCGTCGGCAATGGACTCGAAGCGGCGGGCCGAGTCGTGGAAGAGAAACAGACGGGCCCTGGCCTACTCGACTGTCGGCACGCCTGACTACATAGCCCCCGAGGTATTCCTGCAGACCGGGTACGGCCCGCAGGCTGACTGGTGGAGTCTCGGCGTTATCATGTTAGTATCTCACTTTCAACTGACCAACGTGCCGTTGTAACTCGATCATATTAGATTAGATCATATTTCCAGTAACATGTAAACACTAACACCTGATAAAAGTATCTGTTTGTATTTAAAAGCAATGCTGTAATACTTTGTGAAATAGCTAGCGCAATTTCTCTATTCAATTGTCTAAAAACACAGATTGAATTGGAATGTTATTGATATTTATGTGGGCGTAAATAAATTGAATTATTGTAAGTGTGATGCATTACTATGTGAACAGTGGTATAGTAGCATAACACTGGGTCATTGTTAACTTAGAACGTTTGTATGTTTACATTTTCAAAATTATTTGTGATTTGATTTAATCCTAAAGCGAATTAAAACTAAAACGTTTTGTAGTGTTTAAAGCGATACGAATGTATTCTGGCTTGCTAATATTAGTTCTAACAGCTCTGCGTTTCAAAACATGATATCAACTAATTGTGAGTCAATGAGGGACTACACATGTAAGCATGCAGAACAGACTTCGTGCTTACTACTGACGAATTTGCGTAAACCTGAAAAAATCAATAGTGTTCGGTTCGACCCCGATATCGATCTTAAGGATATTGACAAAGCAGTCGACAGGGCTCCTATCGAACTTCGGCTTAAATTAAAAAAATAGTGCTGAGTTTATTTAAAAAGATAGTACACAATGGTTTAACTTTAACCAAATTAACATTAGCCGCATAAAGCTTTGCGCAGTGAGGAATGGAAGGATGGTAGGGGTTGCAGGACAAAGGGTTCTGAAATGGAAAGACTATGGCTAATAATTAATTTTACATAAATATTTTATTTATAAGTAAGATAATCTTGACTCAATTTGGATTAGAGCTATAAAACAAGGTATATTCAATTACAATGATAATAAAATAACATGTTATATTTCTAAAAAGACGTATAGAGAACTAAATAATACATGATTATACGACAAAGATGTTATTATGGAAAACTCACTATTCACCAATAGTTTGTTCACTTTGTCAGACTCCGCATAATCATGTTATTGTACATTTCGAATTCAATGGAAACCTTTTTGTAAAAAGTACAGAGATGATAAAATGCAAGGAGCCAAGTAGTACTTAACGAACTAGCTTTTTAGGCTTCGCTCCTGCTCCATTCTTCTCGACACTAATCTGTTGTAATTTTCCCTATTCTTTCTCCCTGAATACTTTATCTTACTGTAGGATTGCTCAGCTAATTGTACCCTACTTTTCTTACTCAAGAAAATAATAAGCGAAATTGATTTCGTTGTTTTCGAGATTTGCGATTACCTACACAGCGATTCACTTTTGTTAACATATGACAAATGGCATATGAGGGGAACTGGCTGTTGCAAAATTACTTGGGTTCGATTCCCATAGAACGTGTAATACACAGTTTGTGGTTCCGGAGCTTGGTGTCTATGATTTTTATATTGTTTGTTTGAAACACCAACGATACAGAAAAAAAACTTTATGAAGGGCAAAGTATTTTAAAGGCTTAGCGTGTTAAGGCAGAACGTATCAACGAATATAAATTTGAGTATTTTTCTCAATAGTGGCTCTGCGACAGTGTTTAATTATTGTATTTTGCGAAACATCGAAAGTTCATTCTCATGTAAACTCCCAAAAAGGTTACGTAATGGAACGACAATCGGACCAATACGCCCATTACGCTAATCCTACATAATAATCATTGGCTATTAAACTGAAAAGTATACATCTAAATAATTGAACACGTCTCCTTGTAAATTGTCAGTAGTAAATACACTAATAACCTATCGAAAACCGTATTTGCCTACTTACTTGCGTAAAACGTGTAATTTTCCTCAATAAACCGGCTATAACAGGTGTTAACCAGTCATTATCTGTTTCCAGGTACGAAATGTTGATTGGCTACCCTCCATTCTGTTCGGAGTCCCCGCAGGAGACGTACAGAAAGGTGATGTCGTGGCGGGAGTCTCTCACCTTCCCGCCGGAGATACCCATCAGTGAGGAGGCACGGGAGACCATACTACGCTTTTGTTCAGAACCAGATCGCAGGTACACATGCCAAACAATTCTATGCTTCTTATACTATATAACCGAAGAGTTTTTGTTTAATTTCTGAAAATACTGCTTTTTGTGTATGCTTTTGTAGGCTGTAAGACATTTCGCTGCAACTAATACAAGCAGGGCAGTAGCTAAAATCTCAATGAAAGCCGACACGTGTTGTCGAGAGTTGTTGTATATGAAGAGCCGAATATTGTGCCCAGTCGGTATTATTGGAGGTGTCTGGCAGTGCATGGGCTGACTAAGTAGATACCATAAAAGTGAATGTTAAATAATTACAGATTGGGTTCTCAACGCGGCATCGAGGACGTGAAATCGGTATCGTTCTTCCGCGGTGTTGACTGGAGCCACGTTCGGGAGCGTCCCGCCGCCATCTCTGTGGAAGTGCGCTCCATAGACGACACCTCCAATTTCGACGACTTCCCAGACGTCAAGCTCGAAATACGTGAGTCACAGGATTATATTTTATACCATACAATTCGTTTCTGTTTTTCAGACAATCTGTTTATAATCATGACCATCTAATCATTCAGCAGCAACTATTATGAACATTGTGTACGTTGTTGCAGCATCAGCGCCAATCCCACAAGACGGCGAGGTAGCGTACAAAGACTGGGTGTTCATCAACTACACGTTCAAGAGGTTTGAGGGGCTTACGCAGCGCGGGACCCCCACCAAGAAGTGAAGTCTTGGCCCCTGAGTAACACTGCTTTCAGTCTAAACTGCTGCAGCCCCTGCGCTGCCTAGCCTTGCCAAGCAATATAGATGTTAACGTTTCGTTAGGCGGTCGATAGCAGCGCTAGACAGCCCCTGGCTTCGTATCTTACTGCCTGCTATGTTATTATTACTTAATAGTACGTACGATAGGCATACGGTAGGTGGTCTACACTTAAGAAAGCAGAAAGATAGACCTTAGTGCAGTTTAATGATAGAGTTATTTGAGACAAATCCTTAGTAATATCTCTCTTTACTTAATAAGATCTCGAAAGTTAACCCTTAGGCGTCATCCTCGGATATTAAGATCGTATCGTAATATATCAGTACATCGCTAGGTAGGTCTGCCCGCTCTTTGTTTCTAACTAATTGAAAAAAGTGCGATTATTTCATAATGTAACATGTATGATACGGCGTAAAGTTAAAGCTATAAGTCTCGTGTGCCTACCTCTATTTGTGCCTACCTCTGCATGCATTTGCGACACTTTAGTCTGAAAGCAGTCTGCAATAATAACCGATGACAATTCTTTAATCACCATTTGATTGTATGCATGTACTGATATGAATTGTGTGTCTGATAACCACTACCCCGGCCTGTTACACCTGGCTGTCGGCGGTGCAAGCTGACCACGTGGACTAGTGGATCAATTGGATTCATTTTTACTCTTATACTTCAATGTTTCGTCTGAATCGCTAAATTATGAAGCGGCGGACACAAATCGTGTGTTGTCGATGCCGCTGATTAACTCGACAATATTCTCGCACTGAATGCTATCGCAATATAAATATGAAGATGGAAATAGGAAATGCTATGATTTTGAATGTATATATTGCTCGTAGACAACTTTTCAACTACTATTTTACTAATCGAAGTCTTTACTTGCCATTTCTTTCTGCTTTTTTCTTTCGAGATAGGTAAAAATAGGATTGCCCGTAATTTTTCCTTACTAATACAAAAGTGACAATGAAATATTTTGATGTAATAATAATTGTACAGTGCATAGGTCTAGGCTAACATTGGATATTGATATTTTTAAAGTAATTGTATTAAAGAAACCAAATAATGAAATGTAAAAGAGAATACGATAAAACAATGATATTAATATTTCCGAAACAAATTTGCCCCTGATGTTGACAACACGCTTTTTTGTCTTTTTCATTTTAAAATGGTTTGCCTGATTGTTGTTATGATTTTATTGACTATCGAGGGATGTATCATCCTGTTGTAGATACTAATACGTCATATTTTTAGTGTACGTCGAAAGCATCGACCATCGAAAAATGCATACTGCCGACGAGGAGGCCAACTTCGCAATAAATCATCGATGATAACTCTTAAATTAAATTATACATATTTATTTGATTGCGCTATTTATACGATATCGCTGTTTGTTACTTGTTCGAACTGGCAATAAAATGTGTTCTAGTTTTGCCCATTTCTGGGGTTTGGTTATAGCCTTGTTAACATCTGTTGTCGAATGTTGGCTGCTTGAATAAATCAGTTCAAGAGATGTTTTTATTAAATTTTTGGATAGCGTTGAGGAGTCTAATCGTATTTCAATGTTTCGGAGTAGATAACGATATACTTATTCATTTCGACGATGCACTTGCTGATGGAGTTATATAGTTTTGTGTGAATTTCAGCCACGACTTGCCTTAACCCTAGCCTACCTACCCTAGTAAGGCATGAACACGAAACGAGCCAAAATGCACTTTAACCCCGAACTGCTTGAGACAATATTCTGTTGATTAAGTTAATAAAATACCTCATAAGCTGCAATAACATACGTGATAGGTTGTAATTGTAAAAATAAAAGTGTCTTTATATATAGTGGTGCGTCTAGAAGTATTGAACTTACTAATCTATAGCATAGGATGAGTTTTTGAAATTAAATAAGAGAAACGAAAAGAAAATACAATAATTATTATTATAGTATGCTTATTTTTGAGGAAATATACACTATACTATGCTTCCACTGTTCTCGTAAAAGTTTTGATGTGTCAGTTCAAAAACTTACCCTGTACACCGCATACGCAAAGTTATTGATAACGTACTAGTAGCTGAACTGTTGCTTCTGTTACATTTCTATTCGACGACGACCAATACGAAATGTGTTCCCACGTTTAGTCACCGCCACATCTATCCATGTCGGTGCCAGACACGATGGAAACGTGCTCCGCGTTGCTTGTCACATATTTCTTGTTTGTAAATTCGTACTTTCTTATCGTGAATTACTCATTAGGCACTCCTATCACAACTATTTCTAAATAATGAATTCGTTTATTTAATTAATGATTTATTTTATTATTATTTATAATTCGACTAATATACATAATTATTCTATTTTATCGGCAGGAATACTTGTCTCTCTCCCTTTCTCTCTTATAACTATAACTATTCGAAAGCAAATACTTACCTCTTTATATTTTATATTTATACAAAGAATAGTGTACGAAAATGTATATTTTGAAGGCCGCGTTCAATTCATTCGCAATAGAATTCCGTCCAAAATTATGTTACTATAGCAAAGTATTTTACCAAAAATATTAATATATTTACCTTCATGTAGTTGGCATAGTATGCTAGTTGGAAACTGTTCTTACCTATTTATTTTATGGATTTTTGAGGCTTGAACCGACTTTATTAGTAATCAGAACGAAGACGATTGCTGACTGAATCGGGAGACGCTGACTTGACGTGAATACGCGGCAACTTTTGGATTAACCTGGGCGAATGTTTTTTGATTTTCGGTTATATTACAGTCAAGGATACAGTTAAATAAAACATGGTTCTGCTTGATGAGGTTTTGAGGCATGCTAGGCTCCTCAGTCAGCTTGCTTGACTATGCCTTGTAAGACGGACATATAGAATCAAGTGCGACGCAACCAGTGTCCGGCCATAGGAAACCGCTCGCTTATTTATTATGAAAAGTTAAACCAACGTATTCATGTCAATTATTTTAAGAATTATATCTCTGCCTGTCCTGTTTACCTTGCAAACAAACTTATGAATTTAAAATTGTTAGAGCAATATTAGATATTAAAGAGAGAGGTTGGTATTCCTGACTTTACTTACTTTAGCAAAGTATTCCCGTCTTTGTCGCTCTAATATTTTCTGTATGCGCAGGACGGAGAACAACACTGCTGAAGCATGTAAATAATTTCTTGTATTCACAATATTTCTTCTTTCTATGTTTCTTCACTGCTCCGTAGTAGTTCGTGTGTGTTATATGTTTGTGTTCGTATAATATGTAGGACGGAAGTTACCGGCAATGTAATTTTTAAACACTAATTTTGAAATAATATTTTAATTTTTTAATTGTTATTGTAATTTAATAGTGAACGTATATTCGCCTCAAGTTATTATCAGTAAAATGAACTTAGCACAAACATTAAACCAGTGGCTAAAGAAGTGGGGTTTTCTATTATAGCAATAATGTGAAAAGTTGTCTTTGCTCAGGCGTGGGCTTATACGCTGATGATGATAGTAATGTAAAAGTGGTAAAAGAAGAGATAAATTTGCTCATCCATCGAAATTATTCCTTTTTATGAACGTTTTTTGGTTCAGTGTAATTAACGATTGAGCTGATAATGCAAGGTAGCCTTAGTTCGGTTCAGTCTCCAAGGGTCCTTGTTATACCTCGCATCCAACGGTCACTGTGAAATAGCACATTGCCGGTAACTGATATATCAAATGCACTTACAACTTTTGCTGTTATAATGAAGTAAGAAGTACTCTTTAGAGAATCTATTTCCATAAGATAGTGACTCCACGAATTACACCGTGCGAACAAGTTGCTTCCATTTTATCATAGTATTCTGATTGTACAAGTATACAATATAAATCAAGAAATTGTTAATTTTATACAAACGTACTTTTATGTATTATTATTATCCATCACATATTTATGTACATATACAGTGCGAATAAGAGGTACGAAGATATAAATTGACATATTTCGATGTAGATCAGAATATTTTTTGGCAAGGAAAATTGCGCTTAGTAGTAATATAGTTAAGGACGGCCTGCCACCAATTACATTTAGCAGAGGCTGCAGTCTCTATATGGAAATACATCGACTAATTATTCCTTATCGTACGTTCTTTATTGTGCGCACAAAATAATTGCAGTCAATATCTATCGACCCTCTTATATTCTAAACTATTTCTTCTATATACACTTTGAAATTAAATAATAAATCATACTAAAAGCGACACTTTTCGATTATAAGATATTCACAAGGCGATTTTTGACTCTTAATTTTAACTTTTACTTATTCTCAGCACGTTATTTAAATAAAACCTTGTTTGATACAAAATCACTGCTTTTTGCACACATTTTACCAAATTCTCTGCTACGCTATCGCACCTGAAGACATCAGAGTTTAGCCACGTGCAGTCACTGGCCCCGCGGAGGGCAGTGCGCAGTATGACTAGTGACTAGTGATACGTACCCGCTACACAATTCTAAGCATCACCGATATACGTAAGTTAGACGTTACGTGCGGCCGCGCGCCGTGTCCTACTCGATATCACAGATTCGCCAGCTTCCGAGCCGCAGTCATGCCACTCGTGCCGGAGGTGATAGATTATTTATAAGTATAGGTGTATTTTTGTGTCTGTTTAAATAACTTTAGAAATTCCTGACTACAGCGACAGGTCGCGTTCTAATCGTTAGAAAATAAATGAAACTGAAAATAATATTCTATAATATTTTTACACTAACATAGTAAGCACATTATAACTCTCATTGCGTAATATTAACTTGTACAAACTGACAAATTCTCTTTTTATAGATATTAATAAATAGTACAACTTAGTTGCACGCTAATACTGAAGTTCGTTTGTGTATTTATGAAGCTCTACAACTTTTGTAGATGCATGCTATGTTATGCTGTAATGATTGGCCATGCAATACGAGTCTGCCAATACAGCAAAAAATTGAGTTCTCATTACAAAATACCATAGCAAGTGTCGAATAACTTTGTGATTAAGTATGTTTGTATGGGAAACAATCTCTCTCGGCGGCGTCCAACATGACGTGACCAGTCGTACTATTTCTATGTGGGCCCTGGGTGTAACACATGCTCTTACTATGTGTACTCCTCCAGGGCCCGTACGTCGGCACAGGACCGACCGGAGCGGAGGACGACCACCTTAGTACAATTGTTACTCGACTTCATCTAACGCCTGACTCAATCAGTTAGCCTTCTGCTTAGCATAGTACTAATATGACAAGTTTGGTGTTGTATAATTTTAATGTTAGCGGTTTGTATAATTTTGAATTCGATGTGTGTTGATTTAGTTGACACGTTGGCTGCAGAAATCGCCCTGCACGCTGTGCATCATCGCATGTATGTATGTACCGATTGTAGCGTGATGCGCCGGCGCCGGCGGGGCTTTTCCGCGGTAAACTGCGTAGTGTGACGTTTGTGAGGGCTGTTCGTTCGGGCGGGCTCGGGGGCTCCACTAGCTCCATACTACTGTTTCCATGAACACTTGTTGCTGTACACTAGCATCCACCGCGAACTGTAAGAACGCCACGATATTGCCACGCACTGCTCACGACTATTGCAACGTCTGACATCAATATAATTGATGCGGCTCCTTTAGCTTGTACAGGTAAGGTCGACGCGTGTACTCTGCGAGAGTTGCTCACATTTGCCAAATTTTTTCTGTCAATTATATCATCTGTTCGGCTTACGTTCATTACGTATATAGCACATTATATTATATCGGTATAAACGAATATTCGTCACACTTCATAGAGGCTATAAGTAAGCAAGTCTCAGAGACTTATACAGTGCGCACCGTTCACACGAATAGCCCATTAGTGATGTAGATGTTAACTCCATTCAATTTAGTTGAATTATTTCGTTTTTGTCAATAATACATATTAATTTAAATGTTATTTAATTTAAAATTATTGTAATTGTTTGTTGTACACAAACGCGTACCACAGCTGAGGACGAGGTCGGCTCGCTATATGACGCTGTATTCGTGTAATGTCATGAACCACTGAACACGATAGTTACTATTTGTATACTTCACTGAACTGATAACAATAAAAATATCTAAATGTTATTTAGCGATAATTTGTCGTAAGGCGAGCAACTGCGTATTCCTTCGCAAGTAAACACAAAAGCATTGTGATGTCGCACCTTAGCAATTACATTGACACAAAAGCATATTCTTGAAATTACTTGATACCACTAACTGCTTTAAGTTAAGGGTTATTTTTGTATATAATTGAAGATATTTTTTATTAAATCATTATTATGCCTTCACTACGTCGTCGTCGCCTACTACGTCTTTGTATTTCATGTCTACGTTTTTGTTGTTTTATTGTAGTGAACCAATGACATTTGTATGGCGTTGTATAGTTTCAAAATCTGTTGACATAAAACTTGATGTGAAAGTCACATATTTTAGAAATATTGAAGGAAATCTAATGAACTATCTGCATACAGTTGGCTAAAAATGACTCAAGAGGTTTTCTTTACGTATGTTGTAATCAATCTGAATAGTTTCAACTGCCTATAGTTAGAAGCAGATTAGTAAACAAAACTTATTATTTTGTTTTGGCACTCACGTTAATGTAATTGTTATGGTGCGATGTGAGATATTGTTCAGTCAATGAATGTATTTTGTTTTATTACATGCAATGTGTTGATGAGAACAATCGTAGTCTGAGAAGCACGCGTTACATGCAGCCAGTGATACAATGACGCGACACTTTTAGTTACCTGACGCGAGAGCAATTTACAAAATAAGTGTGGATTATAATATAATTGTCACTGCATGTGACACGTGTCTCCCTGGTACCTTGATAAGATTATATCATGAAATAAATATGTATGATGGCCCTGGCCGTTCTATCAGGGATGTTGTTTTATTATTGTGATTGTAGAGCGTCGATGCGAAGTGCGCGGGACCCGGCCGCGATCAAATAAATCATAGCTATTCGCTTTGTTATTGTTGTTCGAAATAATGATAATGAAAAATAATTATGAGTTATTTAATTTCTTTAATTGTAAGTCTTTAAGTATTTTGTTTAATACTTTTATTGTTTCTTCCATGTGATTTAAGAAAGTGGCAATACAATTAAGCATTAAAGCGATATGAACTTTGATTGAAGATCTTTTTATTGCCATGGCTTACCTACCCCTTATCCCAAATCCTACAAGTATATTCCAAAGTTTTTTTCCTTATCGGAAACGTATATCGATACAATTTAACTTATAAAAGTCAAAAGTAAAGATTTGGGGTGTAAATAAAAGTGTATTGAATTATACATTTATATATTTCACTTACATAGTTTATTTATATAAGACTAAGAACAATAAAGAATTAATACCAACGTCAATCGGCAAGTAGCTTAGGTACACTTACATTTCGCTGATACAGTCAGCGTCAGTGAACCACATTAATTATTATTAAAAATCGATGTTTCCATATTTTTGAACACTTCCAATTCTTAGACATGAATGGCGATTTGAGTGAATATATCAATATAAAACGTCTCGAAATAATGCGACTATGATGTTGACAATAATATGGAAACTGTTTCTATGTACGGGACGTGTGTGGAACCTTTTGAGTGCGTCCATTATTCGAATACCCTTCGTGTCAATATTTGATATTCACTGCGCCTTACAATTGCTAAGTAACCTGCCGATATATTCGGAGGCTGTAAATAAAGCTAGTGTTTAAAAACATTAACAGCCAAGAAATTAATTCAATAACATATTATTATATACAAAATAACATCATTGTCAGTAACTCCTACTTTTGAATATGGGGTGAGAGCATGCGCCTCATAATGAGTTTTTCAACAAGTATTCAAACAGCTACAACAAAAAGATACTCGGGCATCTTAAACTCGGCAAGTAGCAAGCTCGTCTCTACACAAAAGTACAGATTTCATGAGATCGATTATCTGCCGATTGCTTTTAAACGTAGGTATGCACACAATATTTAATATTAGCTATTAATTAATTCCATTTCAACTTGCACTCCGTTGTATTAGGACTATGTCAATAATGTCACAAACGATATATATACCAACTGCCACTGTCACTTATAATTCAATAAAATAATATGTTGTCTCATAAAACAAGTGTAAGTAATTAAATACATTGAAAATCATTCTCTCTATAACCTTATATTAAAACGACAGCAAATAAAACTTGTTTCAAGTAAATCTAGACTTAAATGTTGCGCTACGAACAACAAAGAAACACAATAAGTACTAACCCCTACATCGACATCTTACAGTAAACTATTATGATTATTATGTTATAAAACCTTAAAGGAGCAAATGCTGAGTAAATGCAAACGCAATACCGTTAAAAAGTTTGTGTCTAGAGTTCCAGTGTAGGTACCTAAATAATATAACATGCAGATTTTGGTTCCAAGAGTCGCATTGTGCTAACTTAAATAGAAAGCAAACTTATTCATTCAGAATAACACAATACGATTAAAAGTAATACAAAAACAATAAAATATTTGAGCTAAACAATAATTAGGTACTAATATTTAAAAGTCATAACCTGTTTTACCGTAAATAACACATATACTTAAAATGTTGAGGATTCTAACATTTTCAGTTTAAAATCCGTTACACTTTTTAAATACTTAGACTAAAGCGATGGAAAGCTAAACTCTAAGCAGTAGTTACAACAAGGAAATGTAATGTACTTATAACGCTAGTTCCTTATTCAAATAAAAACAAACAAAATAGTTACAAGCAATGACTTAAATGTAAAAATATAAAGATAGTATTACCATGTATTAATTATATAAACCTTTGAATTTGATGCTCATTCCAAGGTACAGATAACAAAGGAAATGTTATTTTTTTTAAATAACTTTTTTTTCCTTTTACTTATGTCAATCACATGTTCAAATTCACGATCAACTGAATGATTAAATATGTTTAATCAATTTTACTTATTATTAATACATCGTAATACCATTGTTACCTATATATTATCACACGCGTGTTTATTTAGCACACACTTGTATTCGAATCACATTACTGCACTACGGAACACATGGGAGAGGAGGGGACACTATTCACAGTGTAAAAATAAGTTGATATAAATATGATTATTTCTTCTTCTATCTTATGAACAGAACCGATGATGTAGTTGGTTGTAAAGTGTCTACTAAGTGTTAGAGAATAGAGACATCAAAATAATAAGATTTATAAACGAATGAAACTAAATGTGTTTGAAGGTATATATCTAAAAATTCCTTTTTTTCATGTGGACATGTAGGTTCGTCACGTTTCGTCCTTCCTTCTCCCATTACGTACAAAGGACTTATCTACTAGGTACCTACTAACATACTTATCATGTACGAAATTCAGTTCTTAATCTATCAGAGTCGTTATAGACGAGAATAACTTTCGAAATACAGCCCTTAAAATAATTTATAATATGACTTCGTCATTTTAACTAAACATAATAGAATTGAACATATCGGGTGGCAATACCTTCTCCTTTAGAAGTCGGTTCAAATAAAATAATTATTAAATTTTAGCAATTAACTCAAAATACAATATATCAATCAAAATACTTATTTGAAACTTAAATGTACTACGTACAACTTAATATTACGAGAAATCAACCAAAAATTATGACGATTTGACGATTCGAAAAATTACGTGTAACCTTACTGTAAATTTATTAAAATGAAGATATTCTAAAACAAGGAACATTTAAAATAAATAAATGATAATAGCAAAATCAAAATGACCTACTTGTTGAAAAACGATATGTATAGTGATTCCTAGGGTCGATACGATAGCTCCTAAGTCGTGCGTTTGACTACCTTACCTACGGCACGGTCAGCATGCGTCGTGCACACTGCGTCACATGCAATCTGCTGCGGCGTGTGCCACGTGTGCTACGCCACCCAACCACCGCACTCTGAAAGCACGTCTGCGAGATCTGACACTCAAACATTGCACAACAGCTTATTCGAATAGCTACCAGATTAATTACAATCTTTGCTTATAAAACTTGTGTTATAAATATTTTAATACTTTTAGTGGTCATATTTATCCTTAGGAATAATACAACTTTAATAACTATCCCTAGAGTTTCTGCGAAACTTTGGCGCTAGTTATTCTAAACCTTTAATGATATTACCAATAATTGTATCAGTCATGCCTTTATTACTATTGGCGTTCTCTTTGATTTTTTTATATTTATCCTTGTTGCTGAACTTGTGGATGCGACGAGTGCGGAGACTGGGGTGACTTGGGGACAGGGCCCGCAGCAGCTTCAGTGCCAGCCGGTGACGAGGACGCGGCGGGATCCCCGTTCGCGTCCTCGTCTTGTTTCGGAATATCAAAAATTTCTGAGAAGAGAGGCGGGAGCAGCAGGCGCGGCCAGTGCTCGCGCGGCCAGCCCAGCAGCACGTTGTGTCGGGTACCCAGCAGCCGCACCTCGTTCCTGGCTGCTGCGAAGGCTTCGTAGCGCGCACGAGATATTGCCACGGACTCCGGCCCGCCATGCGCCACCGCCTGGTGGAAATTATATATCATACAATAGTAGAAGAATATGTTGTACATACAAATATTGAACTGTGAACGTAACGCCTTACACTATTCTGGAGCGCGTCGTTCATGGCATGTTGTAGCCCGCTGATGCGGTCTGCCGCGCTGAGTCCGTTGCGGTGTGGGCAGAGTAGCAGGGTGCCCGTGTACACTGCCATCTCCTCTTCGGTTACGTTCATGCGAGTAATATTCCAAATATAGGTGAGCATGGCCGTAGCGAATGGCGCCTGAAACATGATTAGTTTTAATAATATAATTATCTATTATATTTCGTGGTCTTTGATTTTAAAAGTTAAACATAATGGGAATATAACATTGTTTTAGGATATTTTTAATTTATCAAAAAAAAACTAACGTATTTTAGTAAATGATTTTTTTTTTTTTAGTAATTAGTTTAGAAGCTGCGTGTTGCATCTACGAGACATGCGTAGCGCAGGCCGTCGACGCCGCGTAGCGCCACGTAGGCCAATGTCTACGCTCGTAGCAGCTACTAGAATTTATTGATAAACGTTCCTATTTTGAATATCTAGTATTTTATGTCGGTACCTATTTACCAACATATTTTATGTTTAACGTTCTAATTACATTGCAAAGTAAGCGGTTACTACAATATGGTATGTTGTCACAATCGCGCCTATTTATTTAGTCTACTACTTAAAGCACTTTGATGTTACCAGGTCATCCAGCAAACAATGACAGCTGACTTACGGAATAATTACGATTCCCTGGTAATGCATTTAATATTAAACTCGAACTTGATCGTGTCATGATTGCGGTAATTTTACTTTATCTGTAAATCTTTTTTATTATATGTTACCTTGCAGATAATCACGTACAATAATTGCTTACAGAATAATTACTGCAAAACGACGATGACTTAGAGACGAGTTCTATTTTTTTATTTCGAAAAAATCATTAACTGCAGATTGTCAATTGTCGGTTTTAGTATGAGAAATACTCATTACAAAAAATAGTAGTTAGAAGGTGAACGTGATCTCGTGGTATACTCACATCGTAGGTGATAACCAGTTGATTATGTGTGAACGTGGTTCCATCCTCGAAGACAATGCGGTCTGGAGCTGAGAGCGCGGTGATGCGGGTCAACCAGACCTCGAAGAACCCTAGCTGCGGACACAAACACACTGACAGGTACGAAGTTATACTGAAGATGCGCAGCGTTAATGGTGGTGAATGATGAGAATCGCAAAGCGAGAACTCGCATGGAAATAGTACTTAAATATAAAGTCGCAGACATAATAGGCTAGCGAAAAGTGTCCCTATAATAAATAAAAAGAAGTTATTCTGAGGAGTCTATTAGCCTATAAACTTTTTTGGAATATTTGGCTTTATTTTAATAAATTAGTAAAATAATAATGTGAGTGGCAATCGAGTGACGGAGCGCAGTTTACAGCTGTTCTAAATTAAGTATGTAAGTAGGTACGTAAATTCAAAATAGAGCGGCAAGTTTCACAGATAGCCAACTTAATGAAATAGGTTTCTATGCTACGTCAAATTAAAACTTAAACTCATTAATGTACTATTACCGCGTTTTCTCTGCTGCAAACTAAAGAGAAAACTACGCGGGCGAGAACTTTGTGGAACTCTTTATTTAAATAAGAAAACAGGCATGAGTACAAGTTCGCTTAGCTGCATCGGCTGAATTCCGTTTGGTTACCTTAATCAGGATAAGTTGGTCATCTTGAGGCAGTGTGTGGAAGCCAGGGAGCCGCTTTGCAAACTCTACAACTTGCTGCACGGCCGGAGTCATGCGGAGGGCTATGTTGTGCCAGAGCACGGAGCGCACGTCCGTTGCGCGGTCCGTCGTGGAAGAGGCCGCGTCCTCGCCGCCGCTGCCTATGTCGTACCAATATACAACTGCATTAATATATTCCTATAAGATGTCTCCAAAACTAAAGCTTAAGTGTCCTTAGAAACTTTTATCATTTTTTCTAAAGCCCCGCTTTGTACCCTTATTCTAACACTTTCCTGACAAAATTAAATAGTTAATACTAATTACATCCTAAATTCAAAATTATCTCGTACTAAGCGGTTATCCAGAGCTTGTGAAATAAGCCCTAGACGTTTCTGATGATGTTTTACAATACATTTACGACGCGTGGGAGGACTCAAGCGACGCTTTGGGAATATTTTGTGATTTATCCAAGGCGTTCGATTGTGTGCTTCATGATACACTGATCAGGAAGCTATCCCATTACGGAATAAGAGGTGCATCTCTGGACCTTCTTACCTCATACCTGAGTAATAGGGTTCAGAGAGTTGAAGTAAACGGAGTGGTTTCTGCCGGGTCTGTTGTGAAGATGGGTGTTCCGCAGGGTTCTATTCTCGGCCCGTTTTTATTTCTTATCTATATTAATGACTTGCCTTACCTTGTAAGGGATAAACACGAGATAGTGCTGTTTGCTGATGATACCTCACTATTATTCAAACTCAGACGACGACAATTAGTTATTGACAATGTAAACAGTGCTCTCTCAGAAATAGTTCACTGGTTTGGTGTTAATAACTTATTACTAAACGAAACTAAAACTAAATGTATTAAATTCACAACACCAAATGTTAAACAGGTAAAAACCAGTGTGCTTGTCAAGGGCGAGGAGTTGAGTCCTGTAGATACAACTGTCTTTTTAGGTATAACCCTGGACGCTAAGCTCCAGTGGGGCCCTCATATTAAGAAGAAGCAGTCGAAGAAGCTCAGTTCTGCAGCATATGCCGTTAAAAAAATTAGAAATTTAACAGATGTAGATACAGCGCGGTTAGTTTATTTTAGTTATTTCCACAGCATCATGTCATACGGTATTTTGTTGTGGGGGAATGCTGCTGACATTCAGTCTATTTTTGTTCTGCAGAAAAGGGCTATTCGATCAATCTATAATCTTAGTCCGAGGCATTCGCTCAGAGAATTATTTAAGGAAACTAAGATAATGACGGTTGCCTCACAATATATTTATGAAAATGTAATTCACGCTCATAAAAACAAAAGCTTATTTAAGAAGCATAGTGATATACATAATATTAACACGAGGGGGAAAAACAAATATGTTGTCCCTGCCTCCAGGCTTCAGAAAATAACTAGTTCGTTTAGATGTCAATGTATACGCTTTTACAATAAAATTCCTAGCGATATTCAAAATTTGAGCCTCAATAAATTTAAAAGTGTAATAAAGGCTAAACTTTGCTGTAAAGCATTTTATAAAATAAAAGACTACTTAGAGGATAGTCAGGCATGGGAATGAGCCGCTGTAATGTCTGCACAGGTCATGTTGACATGTTTGTAACATTAGTTACAATTTTATATACAATTTGACATTACGTTTATTTTTTATTTTTTATACAATGACATAATCACCTATTGTGACATTTTATTTTTTATTTGACATTTTTTTTTTATTTATTTATTGACATTTTTATTATTTTATATTATTGTTAGTGTAAGGACCGTGTGAGACTTGCCGTGCTTTTTGATTACCAGTTATCTGCGTTCTGACAGTTTGAGTACTTGCGCGACCCACCCAAATGTTCTTTAGATCGGTATTGTTCGTCGGACAACTCAGCAGCACTAGCTATACTGGTTGCAAACTGACACTTGCATGCCTATCTTCAGAACGGGTCCACTTAAACTGGTGTGGTTCTTTCCTCAAAAGACCACTACAGAATGAACTTGCACGATTCTCTCACATTATGTTATTTTTACATTGTCTGGACTTGAAAAGAGACTGACCTCTGAGTTTGTTTCGGCATTTCTTCTCAGAGTAGTCAGATAGGAAATGCCGGCTTCATCTAGTTTTTCACATATAAATTGACGTGTAAAAGTGCCGTTTTATGGCCTATTTGCAAAAATAAATTCATTGTTTCATTGTTTCAATAATTTTGATTTTCGAATGTATCTTAACAGGTTAAAATCGGGTGTTCATTAAACCTTCACCTTTTTAATTGAATTAAAATTTAAAAAAAAAACTGTTACTTAAAATTATGCCACACTAAGCTGTATTGTATTTTATAGAGATATCAGTGCTAAGACTGAAGGTTAAAAATAAAGTGGATCTAGAACTAAAGATCTATGAATATTTAATACCGACGTCATCTAGCTTTCTTTTTGAAATATTGATTGTGCTACTTTGTGGCCTATTTGTTGAAGTAAAGATATTTTTTTATTCAGCTAGCACTGTGTTTAGCGTTATTTCATTGGATTATTGTTCTGGGCGACTGAGCCACTCTCGCTGCCTGATATAGCTATGAATGTTCTTTTGTTTAAACTATTCTCAATTAAGTTGACATAATTAAAAAGCGACGTTTGTGTTTTTTTCTTATCAAATAAAAAGTAATAAAGGTGTCGCTTTTAAGCAGTTAAGTTTTTTTTGAGGGAAATTCTTCTATTTTCCTATACCGCCTTGACTAAAGCGAGAGGGATTAACAGATTCTTACTGACTAAAAACCAATTCGTTCTTTCTCGTGCTTCGGGCCGGGGCGGGGCCGCGATATATTATTGCGTTTTCACTACTGCGGCTAAAGCAGTTTAGTTTAATGGTTGCTTTACTTGCTTTAATTCATCAAATCCCAAGCGAACTCAGGCGATCGCGCACGTATTGTTCTACTATATGGTGTTTCGAATTACTGCGATTGAAAGGTTAAAACGTCTCCATCCTATCATCAATTCAGTTTTGTGTTCATATGTACAGTACAATAATAAAGCTGATGAGACCTTTGATTTGTCTTAACATTAGTAGGTATTACAGGGCTTTTTTTTGTCAGGGGAAAATCATCAAATCACTTCTCCCGCCCAGGATAAGGCGAGAGAGTGTCAGACTCTTACTGACTAAAAACACCCGCGTTCCTTCTCCTGCTCTGAGTAGACACCTCGGTGACTGATTGCCCTTAACCCACAACCCCGGCTGAAGTACTACAAGGCTGGGAATGAGGTGCATACATTGTTGAGCGATTGTTCTTGAAAAATTATCCTTCTGCTTTTACTAGGTACTTATTTTAAATTCAAAAGTTTATGTGTTTGCCATAGAATTAATAACGTAAATAGTTAATTTTATTAATAATCCGTGATTTTCTTTTAACTTAAACCAACTCTAATCACTAATATTATGTTCAAACATTATTTTTTTGTTAGTCGATCTCATTGTATTATACCTACCTACACGGGTAGACACTCAAAGTCAATGAACGTCCTATTTCGAATTAATTAGGCACTTAGACGATATACAACGACGTCTTCTTATGTTTAAAATAAATTAAAATATATAAAATTTTATTCGAATTCATAAACTGATAAACACTTGAACGGCTAATGCTACTCGAGATAGCTAGTCAAATATTCGAATAATTTCAAAGTACCATTTAAGTATATCGAAGGACCCTTCCAGATAAATGTATCAACACCTAAATATAAAATAAGTTTTTTTCAATCATAATTATTAGCCTATTAGTGTCCTTTGTTGAGCAACAAATGTCTCTTCTCATTGAGAGGACAAAATGCATTTTGTATTTTGAATTAGCCGCAAGTTAATTACTCTTCGATGACCTCTTATTTTGTCAAAAAAACAACAGAACAGTGAAGTTAGCCTCAGGGAATTAGTATGTAAAATTATATTTATTAGTCATGTCAATGACAGCTTAGTAATAAAACTAATAATTTGAAGAATTTTAAACATCTTATTTCTTCTAGTTTGTTGACGCCGCCAAGATATTTGAGCACAGATACGAACAATTATACACATAACGCATGCACTTGTATAATATTTTCTAAATAATAACTTGATTATTGACTGTAAAGAAGTTTATGAATGGAGTTCCGTATCTATCCAATGAGACAGGCGACGTTCAGGGTTGTTAACATGTAACGTCTCTTTTTAACTGACCTACGCGACACTAACTTGAAGTTTGCTCCACCTCACAAATGGAGGCGCGACAACATACCTACTACTACATACCTAAGAAAAAAAATACAAAAATAATAATGTTAATATCTATTGCCGAATACGAAATTATTTCGCCTACTGATGAGGTATTTGTTTTACAATCGTATCAGCGGTTTCCAATAAATAACAACGTACTTCCTACTAATAGTGAAACTCGACACCGTCTAGTAAAACGGCCACGTTTACTTAACTCGACAAATTATTATGAATGGATGAATTGCTTAATGCTTATGTATTTTGTAATATCTAGGCTGCCGAAATGTTTAGTTTTGTAAAGTTGCAACTTGCAACGTGACATGAGTTGCTGCATGCGACTAAAAACACTATGAAAGCCAAAAATGAAATACGACTAGTTGAAGTAACTAGCGCGGTCAAACAACAAACTAACCTGCCAACTGAGTATTACTAGGAATATGCGAAGTGCCTATTTCCTCTGGCACTGGCCTTACCAATGGTCGGACCGTAGTAAAAATGTGTCAAGTGCTTATATTTTTCCGAACGAGGGCTCCACGAGACTCGTTGACCGCCCTAACAGAATGTGCTTAGTATTTCCACTACTTTAAGATTCCTTTGCTTTCAATTAACTTGTACAGGTGGTATTATAGCGCCATCATGATGTTTTATACAGAGTGATTAAGATGCAGTTATTCAAAATCCAAACAGTTTAAACAAGAGCTGATGAATAATCGCGTATTAGTTATGCTGTTGAGAGCTAAATTAAAATGCATGATGGTGTAAATAGGAAAGATGCACCCGTATAGAGTGCAACGTTAATGGAAGGCTACATGGCGCGGATGACGGGGGCGGCGAGTGACGCCGCGCGGCGCGCCATACACCCACGACTTCACAGCTCCGAAGATTATACTCCATTCATATTATTATAAGCTTCGACAAACACAGTGTCATTGTCCTCTTATCTATTATAATACCTTTATCGGTAGACAAAAGCCAGTCTGCTTGCCATTTCATGATTTGTTATACTATGTGTGTACTGTGTGTGTTGCTTTTGGAAATTTTGTGAGTAGATATGCAAGAAATTCTCAAAAATATAATTAAAGTAAAGAGAATAAGACCCGACTGTATCTTCTACAAAATATTGTTATGACAACGATTTATTAAACACTTTTTTGTATATTTAAATACGTTTTATTTTTAAAAGTGTTATAGAATTCTTTTTAATTGCTACTCCTCCGGTATATGACAAACAATAAAAAACACATTGTGTCTCGCGTGGATCGACGCTTCAGCATACCACGGGTTAAGGAGGTCTAAATATCCTTAATCTTGTTTGGCTTTAAGTCACTGATTTTTTGTACTAACATAAAACAGTTGAAACTTCACATTCTAAATAATTTACAAACTTTGATAACTTTTTTATGTAAATCTAAATGAAAAACCTCTTGATCGATTCTATTGAACTATCTCCAAAGAACAGTGGATATATATCTATTATTCTGGTGTTCTCAAGGGCCAGGAACATGGGGATTAAGTACCGGACCGTCTTTCTTTTGAACCATGAAAATATATGAATAAAAGCTTAAAGACGTGATGTCCTATTAGAGGCTTAATCACTGTAGTGGTCGGAAGATAGAAATAAATCTACCAGTATTCAAGATTCTTCAAGGGAACTTGAACAATATGGTAAGTGATTTAAATTCTGGCCGAAGTCATTAATCCAAGCGGACGAAGTCGCGATCTAAAACTAGAGCAAGAACATTATTCTGAAAAGTTTTGCTCATTAAACTGTGATGGTGCTAATATTTTTATAGGCGAAACTGGGGCATTGAAGGGTTGCTTGCATATTGTATGCAATGCTCCAGGGTGCAGCAGTCGGTGGATTATTAATTCACCACGTTTGGTCGAGTTCGTGTAGCAAATATTGTTGTCGTGTGTTGACAGTGAATGTAAGGCCGGTCGACTTCCACAATATGTAAACGCGTACAATTAGGTACCTATTATAATTGAGGAGTTTCTTCGTTCAAAAAGAAATTATTTCAACAATTTAATACATTTAAATATTAATAAATAATCACACGTTCATTCCTTGATTTGATGTTATGCTTATAGTTTTATATATGCTAATGAAATGACGTAACATTATTCTTACAAAAAAACTGACAATTACGTTGATTCCACGTTTCTTTTAATATTGAAGAACGTACTGAATTTGACTATATAGTTTACCTCGTGTTTGCATCATTTTTATCTCATTATGCGCATGAATTTTGTATCAATTTTATATCGGTAAATAACATGAACTGGTAACTACTTGCGTATAAAAACTTAAGATTTTTGATTTGCCTCGTTCATAACGTGACGTAACTAAACACTTATTTACTGGCTCGACATAAAATTATCGCTGAAGACATGTTGATATGAAAATTTAAGTAGTTTATCTAAAAGTTATTACTCAAAGAAATTGTTTAAACCAGACACTTCTCAAACGAATTTCGTAATAAGTACAAAGTCTATGACGTGATAATATTTACGTAGAATAATATAATAATTAAATGATTGATGAAAACGATATACGAAAGTGCGGTTTTTTGGTATTTATTTACTTTTTGTTTTATGTTTAGGAAAGTAAAATATACAATCATTTGAATTAATAAAAAAAACCTTTGTGCCACACTACACTAGGATTTCTTCCTGTTAGTGTGGCGTGTACAAACATACGACTATTTCAGCATACCCCAAGCAAACGCCGGCGTTCGCGTCCCTATTGTTCTTCTACTACCATGACAGCAAGGTTAAATATAAACGATTTTATATATTCATCATAGTCATTTGTGGATCACACAAATAGCTGTTCCGTGCGGGAATCAAACCAGACACGTTGTGCGGCAGCCGGTTGCCACCGCGCCGTTAGTCATATTATTGTACTTCTAATCGCGGACAAATACATTGACACATTATAACGAAAGTACATTGAGTTTATATGTAACAGTACTACATGTGTGTTGATTCACCATTTATTTATTTATGTATTCTTCAACTTCAATGCACACGTGATAAGTAAAGGTACGTAACCTAAGGGTACCTACTTAATGCAATGCAATTATTTCCCAGTCAACCTTTTAGTGAGATGTCAACAAAACTGGACTTGTGAAGATACAGCATATGTAAAGTTCTAGTAATAAAGGTGATCTAACATATCTTAAGGGGAACTCCGTTGCAAGACTTTAGTATACGAAGTAAGTATGGACGCTTAAGCTTCGATATTTATGATAGGTAACATTTCCTGAAGTCGAAAAGTATCAATGTACCTTATGTATGTAATTTTTAAACACGTGTCCATCCAAGTACCTAGTATGCTGGGTAGCTGTCTTATTTAACCTTGAATATTTGCTACTATTGCACAGGAATGTGTTGGCTGAATTTGAAACTCGGACCACTCAGTGACCTACTTATGTAAAGAGCTTACGAAGTACTTTTAAAAGTGCTGTAGTTTTGATTTGCAGTTTCAATAGATTTTTGTTTTTAGGATATCTGGTTACAGTGGTAGTTAAACATTTTTTAGGCTAAATGTGATCATTATTACAAACTAGCTTCTGCTTGCGGCTTCGCCCGCGTGATATGTTGATAAAAAGTAGCCTATGTCCTATTCAGGAGTGTATCTTATGCCTATGCCAAAATTCATCCAGCCAGCCGTTAACTTTCGCATTTATAATATTAGAAAGATAAATGCTTTGACGAATATTTACGCATACATGACCGGCAATAGAAGTGTTAGGACTAGAATGAATGCATACAAACCTTCCCCTTCAGAGTCCTCGACACGGAGGACGATGGCGCGCTGCTGCAGGGTGGCCTTCACTTCTTCGGTGTAGGTGTTGGTGCCGCGGTGTGCTGCGGTGATGAGCTTCACAAGTTCTCTCGACATCTCTTGCCTTAATAGCTCCGCTTCCATGGGGTCTGTTGGGGGTAACGTGGCTGCGCTGGTGTGAACTGCTCGCTTGGGAGGCTCGGGCAGACTTTCGGCTGCGGAGGGCTCTCGGGGTCGCTTCGGTACTCTGCCGTATCGCACGGCTGGGGAAAAGGGCCACATTATTACTACGTAGTGGCAGCGCCCACGCCGCTCGCGTCCTATGCGCAGCGGTGCACTTCGCACGCCGCTGTGCACTCGAATGGGCTCGATTCGACAATTGGAAAATAGGTGCGACTGCGACTATTTGTACATTGACACCGCTGTGTTTCTGCGCCGCGTCGATCGTAATTTCCTGTTGGATATTAATTGCGATTCTCCTGAACAGATTGGCCTGGGAATCTAGGTTGTATTATGCCATAGCCAACGAGGCTTAGATACTGCGCTTCGTTTTAATTGAGAGCTAACTTACTACGATATTACAGATCTTGATCTTGATGTGGAAGAAACATATTTTTCAAAATATTCCGACTATCGAGTATAGTATTATTACCAGTTTACCGAATATATTTTTAAATATTGTTAGAATCGTGTCATTTGGCGTTACATGGTCGCTGCCTACCCCAATGGTAGATGAGAGTGACTTTACCTACATTGTATAAAGAAACAGCTATTAATTGAAGTGGACCAATATATGAAAACCAATGGTCGATTAGGTAGATGCGATCTGGGATGCAAATCTCGTTTAGTTAAACTTAGTCCCAAGGGTTGGGTTGTCGCAGCCGCAACTGCTTACAAGGCCATCGAGCTTTCGACACCTTGGTAGGGTAAAATATTTTAGAGTTGCTATCAGAGTATCAGAGTATTTCTATTTATTTTTCTCAGATATCCTGTACGAAAGTAGGCGTTACATCTAATTGTTACAATTCTGACAAATCCGCAGACTGTACAATGCATTATTTTGAATAACTACACGTCAAAGGAGTTGTGAATATAAAAAAAACTATCTCTAAATCAAGTGTCTAATACACTGAACTAAGTAACATTTTAATTTCACCTTTAATACATAGATAGTTTTCTAACTTATTGCATCATACATCGGGCACAATGCCAGAATCTGTCCAATAAAAACCGTTAACTTTGAAATTCTATAATCCCAAAAATATTCTGTCCGACACGGAAATCGATCTAGAGACCGACCCGACTGTCGCACTACAGCTACTACACTAAGGAGACAGGTTGAACAAGTACGATAATGCTCTAAAAACTATATGTACCTACCTACTTTGTAAAATTATATTATTAAAAGGGTATTATTACAATTAGCTTAACCATTGGATATAGTCATAATTTACATCAAATATATATTTAAATATTATCTAGAACCTAATAAATGAATTAATTGTTATTAAAAATTAATGTGTATGAGCCCATTCGTAATTCACATGATGAGGGTAATTTTGAAATCATAATTAGCTAAAAATATTACAACGAATTAGTAGCTAATTCTCTTTTTAAAAAAATATAAAGGTACTTACAGTCTTTACTCATGCCAACCGCCAGGCACTTCTTGAATCTGCAGAACTGGCAGCGGTTCCTGTTCAATCTGATGACCAGACACTTGCCGTCACGAAGGCACCTATATTCAATTTGTTTCTGTATGCTGCGTCGAAAGAACCCCTGCGACCGGACAACGAGAACTCATATCAGTATATTAGACATCCACTCGAAAATATAACATCCATTTTATACGCGTATAATGTATAATGAAAATAAAATAAAATGTGAAAAAAGTTTGCAAACAAAAATAAAATCTTTTAAAAATTTACGTATAAAGTTTTAAATTAAAAGTTTCACATCATTGAATACTAATAGAAAATAAAAAAGTATTATTAATGTAACTAACACTCAACACCGAGGTACTATGAGCACAATATGAGAACTGGAGACGAGGAGCTGTCCATTAGGTAGCTATGCCGAAGGCTTTATGGCACAGAGCTCTGTTCGCACAACATCGACGGGGCGTAGGGCGGTAACTTGTATGCTAGGGTTCCCGGGCGGACTCAATTATAACAACAAGCTCTGTTCACCGACATCGACAACCCTAAACACCATTGTTAGAAATATTACATTATTTATTTAATGTTTTATAAAACAATATTTTATGCTTCATTTTTTATATTTTTCACCATAGATTAATTTAACCATAGATAAAATATTTTTTCATTAAAATTCTGATTGAAAGTTACATTAGATATTTGTAATTTTGGTAATACCGTCAAAACAAAAGATGTCAATAACATTATATAGCTTCTTAAGTAGAATTTACGCGTGCTTGCAGATTGATACATATTTAAACAAGAATCGATACAATATTATTTCCAACGAAACGTATGCAGTTAAGTAGGGAACTTGTAGTCAGTTGTATTGAATAACTTTTGTAACGGAATCCGACGTTGCCAATGTTTGGAAGGAAATAAAAAGAGATCCCGCTAATAGCTAAGAAAACATAGGGCATAAATAGCACGGAAAATAACTTAATAACTTTTTAAATTTCTTACTAACTACAACTTCTACTAAACGCGGTACCCCCTTTCGAACTTTACCGATAATTAGAGCCTGGGTCCCACGCACTGCACTGTTTAAATGTTCATTTAATTAGTCATTTGAAATCAAGAACCTTAACTGAAAATTACGGAAATGCAATGTTAGACATTGCAGGGTATTTTTAAGTTTTATTACTTTGACAATGCAATGGTTAAATAGACTATGTCTCACGGTATCGTTTAATCAGTAAATAACAATGTCGGGAACGTATAAAATATGAAATAACGTCAGTGGGGAGTGGTACGTATCTAGTGGTACTGCACGTGAACGTGATCCCCATTAAATGTGGGGGTCACGCGGCGGCTAAACATCCCGCGGTCACGTGACCGACCCTCAGCACTCCAATACAGGCCCCAAGTATTTTTGTATTGTCTCGAACCCGCTCACTAACCAAACTTTGCACAAACATTGGAAAAAATCGGGGGAAAAATGTTCTGAAAGTCAAGCAACAAGTTACTACTCTGTCTATTGTTTGAAAATATTTTTTATTCAACACTGGGTCAAGTTAATGAAAAGATTTTTTTTCTGTACAAGTTGAGTGATAACTTTTTACATAATACTTTAAGTTTTATTTTTAAATTATGAAGGTATAGAGTTGTATAGCATTTAAGCTGCTTGATAGCATCACTCGACTACACGTTTATAATCTGCTAAGATCTGTGTCGGCCTATTGTTGGGATGCAGGGCGACTGCGCTGAATAATTTACCATAATATATAGATCAGCATTTGTGTTTGAGTTACCTGAAGGGACTCACTGGAACTGGCACGTTGTCACAAATTTCCGATGTTATTTCGTAACAATCAAAGCACAGCGCGAACACTTGGTAAATAGGTAGTTAGTGTCGTTGCAATTAACACACGCGGCTGGGAACTGATTAGCGCGGCTGCTTACTGCACATAATATGAATGTGTGCACCGTGCCTGGTAATGCCTATGTACATCGCACGTCAGCTGACAAGCGATCATCTTACAGCGTTGTCAATGCAAAAAACTAATTCAATTTTCGCAAGCCCCCACAGTTGACATCCGTGTAATCATTACCGAGGATATTATTACAACTATTCAGCACATTGTTCGAGTTGTGAATGGTGTTTTGCCAACCTCGGTAATGATATGACCGATATTTATACCTAAAATTTACATGAAAGTAGATAAAATTTGTAAACTGAATTTTCTACCACTTTATCATTTACTTATTAATTTCCTGTTTGCTTAATGTATTTAGTTGTGCGGAAACCCTCAAGAGGAGTGTCTTGGTAGACGTAACGGAGATGATGATAGCAGAATAAAATAAGTACAAGTTAAGGCTGCAGGGTACTTGTGCGACGGGCTGACTTAAACGCAATTTCATCATTGGTTTGACCATTGATAGTATGGCATTTAATAAGTTAGTTGTACGAAGGGCGCGCAGTCTGTCCGCGCGGCCTTTTGAGCTCTTCAAGCACCACTTCGGTTCCGATTGATAGTAATATGCTTGTGAGAATCTATAGGTTCAATGAGATAATAAAACCAAATCCATATTTGATTTCAGTATAAAATTCGAATTATTTAACGATTAACGTAAAGTGTCATTTCAACAATAATAGCCGTGGTTGCGGGGCAAGCGCATTAAGGTATCGAGGCCTCGGCCTAGACCAGGAGAAGCGACAAGGGGATTTTAGTCAGTAAGAGATATATGACTCCCTCTCGGCTCATACCGAGAGATTATTTTTTATGATTTTGCCCTCACAAAAAGAACAATAGAAAATCCAACCAGACTTTATCTAGTTTATATTTTTTCAGAGGTCAAGTCGTAATAGGGGACATTGTCGTAAGTATCCCATAAATCGGTTTCCAAGAATTGAGCTTTCAAGCACCTAATTCCCCTTACATATTCTATTAGACAATTAAGTTCGTACACCGATGCGATATTAACGAGGGCAGTGCATAGCGCGGTAACTCAACGTAATAATTATCGAGTGACACAGAGCGCTCGTTACTATTGTTATAATTCATAGTGTATTTGATGCAGCGACGCCGGATCCCCCTTTCACATTCCTATGGCACGCCCATAGATGTCGTTACCTATAATTTTACAACATTTTGTGGCGATATTTTTTCTTTTGTTTTTGAAAAACGCTGCCTGACACTACAATTTTTTCCTGCGTCGTGAATGCGTTTACAGATATACAATTATTATACAATTTCACATAGACATGACAATGAAACAACAACGTAAGGATCATGCGACGATTTCCGTTCGGGAAAATAGCCTAGCCACCGCCGATAATCTTAAATGAAAGTAAGAATGTCACACCTTTGTGTTCTGTCGGGGTAAGTGAGTGTATCATTACGTCCATAACTACAACGTAACTAGACATCTGAGTTACAGGTTCTATGGCAACATTTTGTACATGGTGTGTAATGTGTGGCCACGTCACAGACAGCAGACACTACTGTGAAGGAACAACCAAAGCAATGACTATCAAGCAAAATTAAACTTTATAAAGGGCCTCTTTCAGTTGCATTTGTAATGTAATCATTAGGCGGGAAAGTTTGCAATTATTTTAAGCTGACTATCTATAAACACCCGACACGTTGCTTCACTAACACGTGTGAACATGAACCGAACAATTAATAAATTGCTGGAATGCATTCTGCATTTCATTGTACTTAAATTATCATTGAATATGAATATGTTTTGAAAATCTGAAACTAGGCTAAGGGTGGCCCTATTAAAATTCGGATGTACAGTAAGCATTGGCTCTTGTACCAAGCTTCGTAACTACAATTTAATCTACCACGTTTGTATTTTCTAATTTGTTGTTGAGAAATTATACATATACGAGTACCTTAACCATCCACTTCATCATCATGGCTGTCTTTTAAAAAAACTGCATCAAAATCCATTGCCTAGTTTTAAAGATTTAACCATACATAGGGATATAGGGGTAGAGGATGCAGCTTTGATTTATACTACATATGTGAGTGATTCGTTTTTGTAAAAAATAGTTTCTGTTCGTTAATCTCGCTATAACTCTGTAATTTTTAGATACAGTTAATATTGGTCTTGACATAAAATTGTGGTAGCTCAGGGAAAGTTTAAAAGATAAGATAACAGGAATATTTAAATAAATGCAAAAATATTAAAAAACATTTTCAAATCTACCATACCTTTTCTATAAGTAACAGATATTTGACAAGGTACCGAACTATGTAAAATAGCTTAAATTTCAGATAATAGTGAATTTTGAAGCAGCGCGGAGTTTTTTATGTTAGCTATGTTTTTTGTATAATTGGCCATTATATACTTACCTTACATTATGTGCGTAATAACCAATATTAATGCGTATAAGTCTACGTAGACATCGAGTACTCAAAACGGAGTTAGTATAGTCATAATGAATGAGGAAATATAATCATAGAGTAGAAAGATGTAAGTAATTAATGACAAAGCAATGACGAAATATTGCATACGTACTCAAAGGCAAAAATAGCTTCGTAAGTAATAAATAACACATGTCCTGTATGAATAGAGAACTGAACCCATGACACTAGACACCGAAACACCCGCGCACTTTCCTATAATGTAAAAATGTTAACGCCATAATCCATTGTTTGAATTAATTGAAGAATAAAATAAGAATCCTATTGTCGTTAATGTGTTACTGACAGCTTATTGTTTGTTAATAAAACCTATTGAATTGGTCAGACGTCATTGGAACGAACGAACAAGGTGTCTGACAAAATAGTAATGCATTCATTTTGTTTATCTCATGTGAAAGTTCTAGAAAATGATAACATTTTTTCCTTTGTTGGTTACTCATTAGTACTTAATATACTGGTTTCAAAGAGTATATGACACAAGTCTGCACTCTGTTGGGTATGAGTGGACGGCTGATTTACTCGCCGCCATAATTGATTTTGAATTAGACAGGGTTTCAACCCATGCCTGCTACATGATACCAGCCACCGTCAGCAAGGAGCATGTTTCGATTAACGGATAGCCACTATCCATATATGTAGTTAGTGAGTAACATATTTAGAGGGAATTGATTTATACGTGAAATAATAAGGCTGAAACAACTTACTCAGATAAAGAGTGCTAGATATTATTATGTATTGAAACAAAACTAGTGCTGTCATATTAATTAATTGTAAATTTACTTTTGAATTGTTAGAAAGGCATGCACCAGCAGGAACGCATTGTCAGCGCGGCAAAGTATTGAATAAGTATTACAACTTCCTTCAAGAGTGTCTTATCTAAGTTTTCTATCTTACCAAAAGTGACTGCTTCTCAGGTTCGACTCTTGTCGGCTGCCGATCAGTGCAATTTTATCTACGTTTAGTTGACTTTGACTTTTATGTTACAACATAACTATCCAATATAGTCCATAGATTACTCAATAAAAACGATTGATATTTATACATTCGTGGTTTAGACCCTCGCACATAATATCATCTGTTCGCGTGGGCAACAAACAGACATAGCCGCCCGCATTGTCATATTTACCTTTAACAAGATGTAATACATCGATTGTACTATTAAGACAAAAACATTAATATGCTACAAAACAATAGGATAAAATTCTCACTGCACAATGTACGCAAGTGTACCACTGCTCAATTTTGACGTATCAATGTTCAGTAGCGGACTAAGAACGCTCGGGTGCCGTATTAAATAATGAGAAGCAATTAATTACTTTAGCGCAGCGGTAGGTCTGGTTAGGTGAAGCGGGTGTGTCCAGTTGTGACGGCCGTCCTGGGACCCTTACCACTGCACCGGCTACTCTTGCTGCATGGTTAATCCATTACTGGATATGTGCGTCTTACCTTACATCCCTCACATGATGTTACGCCGTAGTGATAGCCAGAAGCTTTATCACCACACACCTTGCAAGGGGTAGCTGCCTTTGTGACGGTGCCAGAAGTCGCGCTGTCTGCCGAGTACGTAGAAAGGTCTGTCGACAAACATACCCATGTGAGCACAAACAAAATTAAATATAATCATTACTAAACATCATCATCATCATCAGCAGATGGAAAACGCTAACTGCTGAGCGAAAACCGTGAGAGGTCATTTAAAAAAGAATGTGTTCGAAAATCAATTTGGTACATATGTTTTACAACATTAGCTGTGAGTGCAGCATTAGGTATTGTCGCTTGTATTGCGGCTATCACATATTAAAATATTTGACAATTGCACGCCACTTCAGGATGACGCTGCCACTCGTTCTTTATTTGTGGCTGATCGCATATAGGCTTTGTCCGTTTTGGAATAGCACAGGACACTCCATCTTAATTTAGGGAATTTTGAATACAATAATAACTATTTTATCGAATTCAAATTATTATCGTTTACAATAATAACTATTTGAATGCATCAAACGTCACGCGAACATAAGCCGGCGTTCGCTTACTTAGTGTCTTAATATTGTATCTCTAAATACCATGATTGAAAGGTTAATAATATTAATACATGTCTATGATTTATTATTTGTGATATGACAATACTATACGTTTATTTATTGTTAGCTTTCAAAATATAGTAACATCAACCTAAAAGTAAGTGTTGAGAAATAACGACATTCATCCTCTGATTCTATATTATAATATTCATATTACATCCTTCGAAGAAATAGGGTATTCTTCTAGGGAAAGTTTGATTAATTTCTAGAAGTTACAATTTTATTGCAAGCTTTTTCTTTTCCTGAAAGGTAACATTTTATAAAAAAAAATTTAATTTTCTTAGAAAATTAGATAGGTAAATAAAACGTTGCCCTACATTAGGAATTTCTCCTGTACCGTCGATGCGTTTACACAAACATACATATCACACTCAGACCCGAAACAACAGTTTTGGAGAAATAGACAACTATTCTTAAAGCTTCAGAAAATAGTTGCCATATATAAACAGACCTGAAAGGAAGTCCATTTTGCATTGCATTAGATGAATATTGCCGATAAACTATGACAGATTTAAAAACTTATTAACTTACTTCACATTTCGTTTCACAGGAAAATGTATGTAGGTGTGTCTTTTCAGAAGGAATCTTACAGATAAATATTGAATCAGATATTAAATGTGAAGACTGCATTGAATGGTTTGTAGTTGATGTGCGCACAGCGCATCTCTAATATAGTGAGTGCACCTGACAAACTTCCCACTGAGCGACCTTTTACCATTTAACAAGTTTCTTTTCGATTTCCGTTCGCTGACGTGAAATATCTGGAGAGGACTGCACTGCCTCCATACAACTCAACATTTTCGTCGATTTTTTTCGTCGAGAGGAAATTAATTCCTCCATGTCCATACGAAAGAAATATATAAATTGAATTCACTCGCGTATATGAATGTCGTCTCCCTATCTAGTTCCCAATTACTAAATCAGCGGCCATGTTTGAACTGCGGCCCAAATTGCAGTGTCTTGAAATCAATTTCATGGGAGCGACGTGCACGGCCTCCACAAAGTGACGTCATATGAACGGTCACAAAGCAAATCATTCATTGTTGACATGGACTGTCAGAAGTCAGAAACCATGATTTTACAAAGCAAAACATTGGAGAGAGAACTGTGATACACTTTTAGTTCGAAAATGAATTAACGAGTTCAAAGCTGAGGATTTTTTCATTCGTGTCGGAGCTTGGGCTGGATGTTATATTTTTATTATTAGTATTGATATTGTAATTGGAATATTATATATGTATTTAGTTTAAAACAAAGTCGCTTTTTCTGTCCCTATATCCCTGTATATGCTTAAATATATTTAAAACTACAAAACTGTATCAGAATGATGCAGTTTTTTTTTTATAAACAGAGTGATAAAAAGTAGAAAAAAATTGGTGGATTGAAGAGGATCTATTAACAACCGTTATTGTCAAATTATATTATTATATATACTATTTGCGTAGTTAGGTACATTTCTATGAAGAATGTAATAATGATGAAGATATAATGAATTTTAAACTCAACATCAAATTTGTAAAATAAACCACAGCAAACGATCATGAAAATATCTGTGAACACCGCAAAACCAAACGATTCGATAATACGTGGATAATTCAGACAGGGGACCTAATATTAATTCAGTATTTCCAATTTACCACATAATAATTTTGCTCATATCAGTGTCTGTGGATGGGTAATGAATGCGGTTGTCACATCCAACAAAATACGTTTAGATTTGTTTGTAGTACAAGACAAACCACAGGGTGGTAGCTGTGATGCTGTCAAATTAGGTGGTTGTATGCCGCCCGTCGACGCTTCTCGCTGCACCCGGCAAAGGGCTTGTGTCGACAGTTTTATGAAATATTCGATGTAAATTTATAAAGCAATCACTAATACTGGGAAAGCGCTAATTAATCCCAATTTTGTTGTACGTTTGTAAGAAAATTAGTATCAGCAGTACCCGTACGTCGCCGGGATATGTCGCTTGTATGTCATAAAATCAATCTGCTTGTTTAATAAAAAAATAAATGTGGTGGATTGAAGAGGATCTATTAACAACCGTATTGTCAAATTATATTATTATATATACTACTAGCTATTCTCGCGCGGTTTCGCCCGCTGTCAGCTCCATTAGATCGTAGCGTGATATTTTATAGCCTACAGCACTCAGAAACCTTGTAGCTATCTACCAGTGAAATAATTTTGGCAATCCGACCAGCGTTTCCAAAGATTACCCCTTAGGTACATACAAACTTACAAATTTTACCTCTTTATAATATTAGTATAGGTAGGTAGATAGTATAGATTTTTGTAGGTAGATACATTCCTATGAAGAATGTTATAATGGTGAAGGTATAATGAATTTTGAATTCAACATCACATTTGTAAAATAAACCACAGCAAACGATCATGAAAATGTCTGTGACCACCGCATAAACCAAACGATTCGATAATACGTGGATAATTCAGACAGGGGAACTAATATTAATTCAGTATTTCCAATTAACCACATAATCATTTTGCTCATATCTGTGACTGTGGATGGGTAATTAATGCGGTTGTCACATCCAACAAAATACGTTTAGATTTGTTTGTAGTACAAGACAAACCACAGGGTGGTAGCTGTGATGCTGTCAAATTAGGTGGTTGTATGCCGCCCGTCGGCGCTTCCCGGTGCCCCCGCAAAGGGCTTGTGTCGACAATTTTATGAAATATTCGATGTAAATTTATAAAGCAATCACTAATACTGGGGAAGCGCTAATTAATCCCAATTTTGTTGTACGTTTGGTATACAGTACCATTTTTTTTATGGATGTCTTTGTATTTACTGACGTGCTGATTGGTATTCGGCTGTGCGTTTGCTCCTGCTACGAAGAAACCGATTATTCTGTTCGTAATAAATTAACGTATAGATTTTATCATTGGTAAACCTTATTCGTAAGCTTTCTGGAATATATAGCCATGATGATGTCAGTTCTTATGCTGGCTAAACTCTGGTAAAACGCGACGAGCTGGTGCCGAAATCAAGTTAATAATATAATGGTAAGCTAAGCGTGGCGTGGAGCTGACCTAATTTAACATAAACACAAGGCCGAATGCTGAGCGCTCAGGCCTAAATCATCATGACCTGGAATATTCGGCCTTCAGCTGCATAACGTATTAATGCTGTACGTATTGTACTTCGAAATTATAAACGAAATTGCAGATTTCAGCGAATTCCCGGATTTAACTTCATTTATGCCAAGTAAACCACGGAAATTGTTACGGTGGTTAAGGCTCCCGCTTCTCATGCATGAGGAACGGGTTCAAAACCTGGTAAGTACCAATTTGACTTTTTCCGAGTTATATGTTTATATAGACACCAACATACGGTGAAAGAGACAACATCGTGAGGAAACCTAACTTATGATTTATAATTATAAGACTCATTGTAAACAGATTTATAATTTATACTTATGATTTATAATTATAAGTTTTAAATTGCCAATCCACGATAGATGATGATTAATACTCTAACCTACTCCGTGGAAGAAGAGCCCCTTTGCTCACCAATGGGCACTTATAGGCTGGGCTGATGATGCTGATCAAACCACGAAAAGGTACTTTTGACAAGTTAAAATAGAGTATCGACTCTAAGTCTATTCGTCAGTGAAGTTAGGAGATCGATTTGGCTGCAAGTGTATTCTATTGAGCAAAGGTGACATCTCTCACGGAGGAGGTATGAACATTATTAAAGGTAAAAATTAAAAAAAAAATCGCTATTCCATTTTAAACTTAGAATAAGAGGGGTAAATAGATGCAGAAGAAGGGTGAATATTTACTAGAACATAATTTCAACTTAAATTCACCTATTTTTTGGATACACATATACAAATATACAAATATATATAAAGAAAATTATCCGTAAGAAGCTGGTGCGTAACTTGACCACTTGGTGTTACAAAGTACGAATAATTTTGAACCTTTTAAAGGGTTAAGGGGGTTTCAAAAATAGGTCAGTGACCTTTTGTTAGTTCAACTGTTTCTTTACAATGAGTCTTATGAAAAACTTTCAAACTTTTTTATTTATTTTCACTGTGATGGTTGAAGTATTTTGTTTTTGTCTTTTTTAAAACTTTATTGATTATTATTAGAATGCTTATTTGAGAGTTCTCTGAAATTGTGAGCCTTGAAGATCTTTCTTGTTTATTACTAGAAATACAATTTTCAGGTACACTAGTGCGTTAATTTTAGCGATATGTTTAGAGGGAATGTTTCTGATTTTGGGAAACAAGTCAGATATTCCGCGTGCTTTAGACATTTCAAATCTCGAGGATGAGCCTTCGAGCCTCATCCTGGTATGTCAGTCCGCCATGACAGCTGCCTCGCACAGACACCGCGTCGGGGAGTGCACTCGATAGTGCGTGATTTGGCATCTACATGGTAAACTGAATGAAGACAATACTCGCGGAGATTGCTTTGTTAATTCCATATAAAATATATGGAAATAACATTCAAAGTTTTAATTTTAA